GGCAATAAGCTGACTTTGTATAAATATACAAAAAGTATGAAGGCTATTGCTTAACGCATTGTAAGCCACCCTGAGTCTCCGGAGAAGGGCGGCATATAAATCAAATTTTTAAAAAAATAAAATTTAGCACCTTGAAGGATTATTTGCTAGCTGATTTTTTTTAAAAAAAGCATAAAAATCAGTGTTAACCAGTGATTTTTCTAACTAGTCTTAGATGGGCATAATCCAGGGGTGAAATCCAGCAGGTTCTGACAGGTTCTGGAGAACCAGTAGCAGAAATTTTGAGTAGTTCGGAGAACTGGCAAATACCACCTCTGGCTGGCCCCAGAGTGGGATGGGGATGGAGATTTTGCAATATCCTTCCCCCAGGAGTGGGGAGGGAATGGGGATTTTGCAGTATCCTTCCCCTGCCACGCCACCAACCCACACCACGTCCACTAAGCCATGCCCACAGAACTGATAGTAAAAAAAATTGGATTTCACCACTGGCATAATCTAATATATTTGGAAACGTACCCTGTTCAGACATTAGCTTCATGAATCAGTCCACATGGAAGGGTTGAGATACCTCGTCTCTCCGATGATGCCACGATGTAAAACAAATATTGAGACTCTAGAAAGAGTGCAGAGAAGAGCAACAAAGAGGATTAGGGGACTGGAGGCTAAAACATATGAAGAATGGTTGCAGGAATTGGGTATGTCTATTTTAATGAAATAAAGGACTAGGGGAGACATGATAGCAGTGTTGCAATATCTCAGGGGCTGCCACAAAGAAGAGGGAGTCAAGCTATTCTCCAAAGCACCTAAGGGTAGAACAAGAAGCAATGGGTGGAAACTAATCAAGGAGAGAAGCAATTTAGAAACCAAGGAGAAATTTCCTGACAGAACAATCAATCAATGGAACAACTTGCCTCCAGAAGTTGTGAATGCTCCAACACTGGAAGTTTTTAAGAAGATGTTGGATAACTATTTGTCTGAAGTAGTGTAGGGTTTCCTGCCTAAGCAGGGGATTGGACTAGAAGACCTCCAAGATCCCTTCCAACTCTGTTATTCTATATTCTAAATTCTTCTTCAAATGGCACTATAGAAGGACAAGTCTCTGGGCTCTGCCAACCCTTCAAGAGAAGAAAGATCAAGAGAGAGATAACACAGGAATTGCAAAAATATTGTATTGTTATAAGGTATTATAACAGAATCTTGAAAGCCTATCAAAATTTCGGACACAGCTTTTACTAAACAAAATCAAAGTGAGGTTATTTTGAGTTTCTTTCTCACACTTCCTTCAATCTCTGGAGGGTTAAATCTCTTTATCCAAGTCTTCTTCAGCCATTTGTACCTTCTTTCTACCCCCAATTATTTTAACAGTTTTTTTCATATCTTTACCAAGGTCAACTCTAAAGATCCTTACACCTTGCAGCCTGGTTATCTGCAGTGAAAAGCTTTCCACATTACAGGGGGGAAAAAACCATTGCCACGTAAGCCAGAACCTCAGCCATCATTGGAGCATAAACCTGGAAAACATCTCTTCACTACATCACTAGTTCAACATGGAAGCACAAAAGTGCTCATTCTTGTTCACACGTTTGATTTCTGGGCAAAGTTAATATCTATGTTTGGTAGAATATCATCAATGCCTTTCCGGAATTAGCTCCACTACCGCCCACAAAATAAAGTGTGATTTTTCTCTTAAGAGATCATGACAGGTAATGAAGCAAATGACCAATCAGCTCCAGCTTTTCAAATATCCCTCTAAATGTCTCCACTACAGGTAGTCCTCAACTTATAACACTTCATTTGGTGACCGCCCGAAGTTACAATGGCACTGAAAAAAGTGACTGTTTTTCACACTTATGGCTGTTGAATCATCCCTGTGGCAGGGTGAAATACTACCGGTTAGGGCCGGTTCATGTGAACCGGTACTAATAAAAGCTACCAGTTCAGGTGAACCGGTAGTAAAAAAATGCTGCGGGTTCCGGCGAACTGGTATTTCCGACGATCAGCTGTGCCGTACAATTTTGATTCTCTAGAAAGCAGGAAATCCTGCTTTCTAGTGAATCTAAATCGTGCGGCACAGCTGTTTCCTCCCCTTTGCTGTTCTACTTACCTTAGAAAAGGCTTCTTAAGCCTTCTTTTTTAGCGCTGTGCGGTAGCGCATGCAGTGCACGCAGTGCACATGCACATGAAGCATGTGTTTGGCATGCACCGTGCATGCGCGCACGCAGCAAACCGGTAACAGGCCGGATTTCATCACTGCCCTGTGGTCACGTGATCAAAATTCTGATGCTTGGCAACTGACTCGTATATATGACAGTTGCTGTGTCCCGGAGTCATGTGATCACTTTTTGCAACCTTCTGACAAGTAAAGTCAATGGGGAAACCCCACTCACTTAACAACTGGGTTGCTAGTTTAACAACTGTAGTGATTCACTTAACAACAGTGGCAAGCAAGGTCGTAAAATGAGGCTTCCCCTTGACTTTGCTTGTCAGAACATTTCAAAAGGGGGTCACATGGTCATAAACATTAAAAACAGTCATAAGTCACTTTTTTCAATGCTGGTGTAACTTCAGATAGTCACTAAAAAAAACTGTTGTAAGTCGAGGACTAGCTGGACTCTTCCATGGAAGCTGAGATTTGGCCTGATCTTCTGTCAGCCTTTTAAAGTAGACCACCTCAGAAACAAGACACCAAATTTTTAAAAAACCCTCCCTTTTTATGACCCTGTACTCCCTTAATTTGGGGTAATTTGAGTCGGAGTGATTGGATGGCGCTGAGCATTTACTGGCCGGATGCCCTTTCTGACGCCACGCAGAGTTCACAGCAGATATTTTCTCTTTGTGCTCTAGGAGAGAAACATCTGCCGCTATCTAGAATTGAATTCTCAACTTTCTGAGTGGGAAGTGAGTCTCTTTACCACTAGGCCACCATGCCGCTCTGTATCAAATGAGATACTAGAATTCAGTTCTAGTGATAATTGGCTGTAGTAACACAGTCTTATTTATTTATTTATTAATCAAATTTCTATACCGCCCTACTCCCGAAGGACTCAGGGCGGTGAACAGCCAAGATAAAATACAGATAATACAAATATTAAAAATCCCTTAAAATTATTAAATATTTTGGCCGAAACACAGATTAAAACACCCAATTTATAAAATCATGAATTAAAAAATTTAAAAGAGGGGAGTTAGGCCAGGCCAGCTTGCTGAAATAAAAAAGCTTTGAAAGCACGGCGAAAAGTGCGCAGGTCCGGGATCCTCCGTATCTCTAGGGGGAGCTCGTTCCAGATGGCAGGTGCCCCCACAGAGAAGGCTCTCCCCCTGGGGGCTGCCAGTCGACACTGTTTGGCCGACGGCACCCTGAGGAGCCCCTCTCTATGGGAGCGTACTGGTCGGTGAGAGGCTATTGGTAGCAGAAGGCGGTCTCGTAAATACCCCGGTCCAATGCCATGGAGCGCTCTAAAGGTGGTAACCAAAACCTTGAAGCGCACCCGGAAGACCACCGGGAGCCAGTGCAGCTCACGCAGGAGGGGGGTCACATGGGAGCGCCACGTCGCTCCCATAACCACCCGCGCGGCCGCATTCTTGAAAGCCTGACAACATTTCTCTTATTCCAGTTAGAGTCAAGATAGGGAAATCTGAAGTCTATTTTTCCTGCTTTCCTGTTTTTCCAAGCTAGGTTCATATTTTACTCACAGTTGCTGCTCATTTCTTCATTTCCACATCCTTCTACATTCCTTTGACTTTCTGGAAGCTAATTAAAATGGAGCTGTTCTGGAGGGCTTTTTTTTAAATAGTTAAGAAAGAGCTATATATTGCTTAAGCAAACTCGTGGTTTTTTATTGTTGTAATTACATTTATCGTAATGCCATGGATGTTTTGTTTTCTATAAACTGCCAAAATTCACAAAACTGAAGTGGGCCTCAAATCTAATGAATAAGCATGCAAATAAACAAGATGATCCTATTTAATTGTGTTGTAAAACTACAAGGAGTTTTGTGGCCTCTTAAAAACCGATTTATAACAACAAAAATTCCTCTGGTAGTCTGGCTGTTCGGATAGATACACAACCAGGAGGTTTATTCATATTTAAAAGAACGCTCATAAAGCTCTTTCTGAGCTCTTCTTGTTCGTTGTGGGGTTCTGAGAGTGTGAGGCTATTTCACACCCCAAGATATAGGCAAAAACAACAGCTCTCCCCAATTTGAACTCTGATATGGTCAAGCAAATGGCCATCTTTCATATCACTTGCTTTAGTTGTGCTTTTTTAAAAAGAAAACATTAATACAGGTAGTCTTCAACTTACAACAGTTCATTCAGTGACCAATCAAAGTTGAATGGCACTGAGAAAAGGAGTTTATGACTGTTTTTCATACTTACGACCGTTCCCTGCGGTCATGCGGTCAAAATTCAGATGTTTGGCAGCTAACTCATATTTATGACAGTTGCAATTTCCTGGGGTCACCCAAGCCCCTTTTGCAAATCTTCTGACCAGCAAAATCAATGGGGAAGCCAGATTCACTTAACAACCAGGCTACTCACTTAACAACCGCAGCAATTCACTTAACAAATGTGTCAAGAAAAGTCGTAAGGGCGGGGCAAAACTTGGCTTGCTTAGCAACAGAACTTTGGGGTTCAATGATGGTCACAAGTTGAAGATTACCTGTAAAAGCCACGGTGGCGCAGTGGTTAGAGTGCAGTACTGCAGGCTACTTCTGCTGATCACTGGCTGCCTGCAATTTGGCAGTTCGAATCTCACCAGGCTCAAGGTTGACTCAGACTTCCATCCTTCCGAGGTGGGTAAAATGAGGATCCAGATTGTTGGGGGCAATAGGCTGACTCTGTAAACCGCTTAGAGAGGGCTGTAAAGTACTGTGAAGCCGTATATAAGTCTAAATGCTATTGCTATTGCTACTTACTGCAGAAGGAATCAAATGAATTCTTATTGCACTGTCATGACAATGGGTCTATGCGTGTATCTTTATTTGTTTTGTAAATAACAGGGATTGTCCATAAAGGCAATGGAGAGAACATCTTCATCTCACAACAACCAGCAGTCATCTCCACCGTCATGGGCAATGGGCACCAGAGGAGTGTCTCCTGTACCAATTGCAACGGCCCTTCTCACAGCAGTAAACTGTTTGCGCCTGTGGCCCTTGCGTCCGGCACCGATGGGAGCATCTACATTGGCGATTTCAATTTTGTTCGAAGGCTTCTTCCTTCAGGAAACTCTATTAGCATCCTGGAACTAAGGTAAAAATATCACAGGACTGATGCAGTAAAATCCTCAGCAAGGGGTACAATAAGGTGTCTTTTGTATCATCTTTTCTCTTTTCCAAAGCAAAATAATAATAATAATAATCCATGCATTCAGAAAGTAACAGGTCAAAACACTTGGCATCTTTTGCAACCTATACATTTAGCTGACTCCAGTTATGAACAGAATATAACAGGCTCAAGGTTGACTCAGCCTTCCATCCTTTCTAAGGTAGGTGAAATGAGGACCCAGTTTGTGGGGGCAATAAGCTGACTTTGTATAAATATACAAAGAATGAAGGCTATTGCTTAACGCATTGTAAGCCGCTCTGAGTCTCCGGAGAAGGGCGGCATATAAATCAAATTAAAAAAAAAAAAAACAGAGTTGGAAGGAACTCCTGTTCAAACAGGAGACCCTATACCCATGATGGTGAACCTATGGCATGCGTGCCAGAGGTGGCACACAGAGCCCTCTCTATGGGCGTGCACTGTCACCAGATGCTCTGGCACCAGAGTGCCGGAAAACGGCCTGAAAACAGCCCAAAAAGCCCCCCCAAAACAGGCCATTTTTCAGACCGTTTTCCAGGCTGATTTTTGGGTCGTTCGCCATCCCTGCCCTCTACCATTCGAGACAAATGGCTATCCAATCTCTTCTTAAGCACCTCCAGTGATGGAGCACCCACAACTGCTGGAGGCAAACTGGTTAATTGTTCCCCTGATTGATTATTAATAATATAATAATTACTCATGATTGTCGCTTTTTTGCACATGTATTTAGCAAGATAAATGTGAATCACGACACAGAGAAATAAAACTAGGGCTTGTATTTAAATGCTCACCCTACTGTTTCCTTAGGAACTTTTTTTTGAAGTAGAATTTATTACAAAGTTAAGTTTATTATGCAGATTCAATAAGATGCATGATGGCAAATATGTCACTTGCCTAAATAAATATTTATGATTGTTCCTGTTAATACATTTATGTTATTGCATTTTCTTTCACCTTTTTTTTTTTTACTTTTACCTCTGCGTGAATCTCCATTCAAGAAACAGAGACACCAGACACAGGTATGAAAATTATGATTTTATGACTGGGAATTGGAGTTATTTGGATGAATGCACAATTCTTCTCCTTCTTCCTCTACTACTACTACTACTACTACTACTACTACCACTACTACTACTACTACTACTTCTTCTTCTTCTTCTTCTTCTTCTTCTTCTTCTTCTTCTTCTTCTTTCTTCTTCTTCTTCTTCTTCTCTTCTCCTTCTCCTTCTCCCTTCTCCTTCTCCTTCTCCTTCTCCTTCTCCTTCTCCTTCTCCTTCTTCCTCTTCTTCTTCCTAGCGTATTCCCGCAGATGCAGGGTCCAGAAAGCAATCAAAATTATCACTATCTCTATTGAAAAACCATATAGCAATCTGCGTTATAAAAATTGCCAAGGTGGCTTTCCATGCAACTCTTCTATAAAACTGATGATAATTTTGAATTATTTATAATTAGAATTTTACAAAATATACACAAACAAGATAGAAGGCAACTGAAAGTCACAGCATTTAAATTTGGAGAAAAAGATAAATTCATATATTGAGGGAAAGAGTTAATTGCTTTACTCTTTAAAAAAATGCATACAATTCTGGTTTGTTTGGCTTGTTAATGATATGAAAGCTTGGTCCCCACCTTCTCCAGTCTAAAAAATACAAAACATGGACATTTTCATGTTAGAGAACATCTCTACCTATTGAAATTGTTCACTAGAAATGGATGAGAGCATTGGTCACTTACTTGTAAGACTGTGCTAAAGAAACTTTACAATCCTTCGTAAGTAGAATGATGAGAATCTGACAGTTAAAATAAATAAGTGTGGGAAAAAGCAAAATTGAAAACTTTTCCCCAGTTCTAGCTTCAGGGGCTGATACAGCTGAATAAATCCTTAGATAAATGTGTGAAAGGCAACTTCTGAACAGAAGATTATAATTGGGTCTTCCCATTACCAGTAGAAGCAACAAAACACTTTCTCTGACTGGCTATTTTCCAGCATAATTTTTCTTCAGAGTTTGACTCAGAAGCTTTAGCATCTGTTGCCTCATGGCAGTGATTTTTTTTAAAAAAATGTATACTTAGTGGTGAATTCAGGATTGTTGTTTTTTCCCAGTGGGGGACAAAAAGGGAGCTTTGTCTGATGTGTAGAAAATGGAAATGAAAATAAGTGGAGGAATTCATTGTTCAAAAAAAAAACACCAAACCCATTTTGAATTATACTCTTATCACAAAGTGGATTCTAGAGCATCTTGTAATACAGGGATGTGAAACCTGGGTAACTTTAAGACTTGTGGACTTCAGCTTCCAGAATTCCCCAGCCTAGTCTACCTTGACATCAGTTACTTTAAGACACAGCCTTCTCCTATTTGACCTCAGCTCTCTATGAAGATGTATCCATGAAATTTGACTCTGAAGGTTCACTTAATACAGGGATGGGCAACTGTGGCCCTTTTACAACCTGTGGACTTCAACTCGCTGGCTCAGGAATTCTGGCAGTTGAAGTCCACAGGTCATAAAGGGGCCATATTTGCCCACCCCTGACTTAATACAAGCTAGATACAGAAAGCACTGAATTTATAATTGATCAATATCTGCTTTGAGACCTCTAGGCTTTGAATTCCAAAATTGCAATAGTCTGTTATAAATGTATGGGCGTAGGCTTTCATAGGTGTCAAACTCTCGGCATCACGTGACGTTTCTTATTGTTTTTCCTCTTTGCGGAGCTGGAGTGGGCGTGGCCTGCGCATGACTCATCCGCCCCGCAGGCCGCCAGTTTGACACCCCTGGTCTAAATGATCATGGTCTACTTATCTAATATCTTTGAGGGCACTTTAAAAAAAACAAAATCAAAACCTCATTACAATGTGTTATAAATATTTGGCCCTTGATTAATAATATTGTTCAAAATAGATAGATGGAACGGTCTCCACCTGGGTCAAATAAATATTCCATTGTCTTGCTTTCAGTAGAATCTCCTGCCCCTAATTATGATTGTGTTTTCCTGCCTATGAAGATTCTGAGTCATCCAGGTCACGATTGTCCCAAAAGTGCTCTTCAAAAGGCAACTGGACTCTTTTTGTTTATTTTTTTTCCTTGAAGATGTTTCACTTCTCATGGCTTCTCATCCAAGAAGCTTCTTCAGAACTGTGGAAGCTTTTTAGATGAGAAGCGAAACGTCTTCAAAGAAAAAAACAAAGGAAGTCCAATTGCCTGTTGAAAAGCAAGTTTGGAACATAGTGTTTTCTTATTTTTTTGTCCCGCATTCGTTTCTACTCAGTCCAATCATGCCGTCAATGCCTGTCCCAGAGTAAAGTCACTTGTAACTAGCTACTTGAAGGTGCTATGATGTCAGTGGAAGATAATAGGCACCTTCCAATATCAGCCTCTAATTAGCAACTGATTAGCAACCTCCAAAGATTCATCTAATCCCTCTTCATTAAGAAAGTTCAGATTGGCTATCTGACCCTCTATTAAAACTCCCTTGGCAACCATATCAACTTACACGTCAAAAATAGCTGTAAGAGAACTTGAAGACCTCAAATAAAAACAACAGAAAGGAGTTTCTCACGTAAGCGATTTTTGGTAGACCTTCTTTTCTTCTTTTTTCAATCCATAAAGGAATCAGTCTAGTGAGGAAAGGCCATCTAACTTTATTTGTTACTCGTTGATTAACACTAAGATCCCACGTGGATGAAATATGAATGTGCTTTTCAAGGACTGCATAAAGTAGATTCTCACAACATTTTTTAACTGCAAAGCATTCAGGACTGCATTTACACATGCTAAACATGTAGTCTTAACCTTGGTTTGTTTGGAGTTTTTTGTTCCATGGAAAGCCGCTTTGACATTTTCTTCTTAAGTTTATCCTACAACTTGTCAACTCTCTAGCTTAATATGATGAGAGAGAGAGAAAGAGAATGTGTGTTATCTTATTTATTTGCTTCCTTATTATATCCTGCCTTAAATGTTGCTTCAGTTGTGAATTGCTCTAAGCAGCTTACATTCTAGTTACAGTAAAAAGATCAGAACTTTACACGCGCACACACACACAAAAAAAAAACCAGTGGTAATCCTATCACACCAAGAAGCAACCATCCAAAATCCGTTTGCTCGAAGCTTCCCAATCAGATCGTGCTCCAAAGGCTTGCTGGAATAAGCAGGTCTTAGTAGCTTTTCTAAATGGCAAAAATGTGGCCCAATCCTGAAGAAATGAGATTTCAGGCGGACATAAGGAGTGTCTTTGGGCCACACCCCTCACCTGACGTAGGTCACAGGGCTGCTGTGTGGAAAAAGATGGAGATCCTTTGAACTCTTGGAGGACAAACAATATAAACATAGAAACTGAAAAGTTTTCTAGTCTAAGCCCCTTCTCACAGCAAGAAACTTTACACCATTCCGGTCAAATAACTGTCCAGTCTATTTTTGAAAACCTCCAGCAATGGAGCATCCAGAACTCTGGGAGAAAAGCTATTCCATTGATTAATTCTTCTCACCGTCAGAAAATTTTCCCTTAGTTCTAGGTCTATCTTGAACAAGCTTTCACCCATTACTTCTTGTTCTGGCCTCATGGGCTTTGGAGAATCAATGTGACAGACCCTCAAGTACTGAAAGACCGCTATCATGTCACCTCTAGTCCTTCTCTTCACTAGACTGGACATACCTAGCTCCCTCAACCCTTCCTCATACGATTTAGCCTCCAGACCCCTTATCGTCTTGATTGCTCTTATCTACACACTTTCTAGCATCTTCTTGTATCACAACAAACAGAACTGTATGCAGTATGTCCTCACTAGTGCAGTATAAAGCGGTATAATAACTTCTGAAGGGACGTGATGTCTCAGTGGCTGAGCTTGTTGATTGAACGGTCGGCAGTTCAGCGGTTCAAATCCCGAGTGCCACATAACGGGGTGAGCTCCCATTACTTGTCCCAGCTTCTGCCAACCTAGCAGTTCGAAAGCACATAAAAAATGCAAGTAGAAAAATAGGGATCACCTTTGGTGGGAAGGTAACAGCATTCCGTGCGCCTTTGGCGTTGAGTCATGCCGGCCACATGACCACGGAGACATCTTTGGACAGCGCTGGCTTTGAAACGGAGATGAGCACCGCCCCCTAGAGTCGGAAACGACTAGCACATATGTGTGAGGGGAACCTTTACCTTTACCTTTTATCACTTCTCGTCATCTTGATATTCCAATGAATATTTTATTAGAATCCAAGTCCAGATCGTAAGTGTTAAATGACCACCTAAATTTTGAGAATGCAATGAAATGTCATTAATTAAATCACTGCCAGATCCAGACACAAAACCAAGACTGGAAGTACTAACACTACCTTTATTATAAAGTTAAAGTAATAAAATATTGCAAGTCTGAAAGCATTTTTCTCTCCCTTGCTTTTACTTTACTCTCCAAGGAACTAGGCGTCTTCTGATCCAAGCCCATATTTCTGATTTTACCAAACAATAATAACAAAGTTCTTTTAGAATATAATACATAGAATAGCAGACCTGGAAGGGACTTTGGAGGTCTTCTAGTCCAACCCCTGCTCAAGCAGGAGACCCTATACAATTTCAGACAAATGGCTGTCAAATCTTCTTAAAAGCCTCCAGTTTCCACATCCTAATATTAGGGGTGATGATTTGCAGGGGGGGGGAAACATTGTTACACAGGTTTTTCCATGTGCATTGAGAATGTTTAGCATGTAGCAGATAATTGCTTTTATATGTGATGTGTTTTATCTTGAATTATATCACTTGCATAAAACAACCACCTTTTTTAAAAGAAATTAGAATAACGTAGCAATTTGAGTCCACAGGAGAACAGATGAAGATTGCTTCGTCATCAGTTACTTTTATCCTTCTTTCTCCTTTTCTGTTTTTTAGCACGAGTCCAGCACACAAGTATTATCTTGCCATGGATCCAGCCTCAGAATCCCTTTATTTGTCAGATACAAACACCAGAAGAGTCTACAAGGTGAAATCTCTCAGCGAAACCAAGGACTTGGCCAAAAACTATGAGGTTGTGGCAGGTACCGGCGACCAGTGCCTTCCGTTTGATCAAAGTCACTGTGGAGATGGAGGCCGGGCCTCCGAAGCAGCTCTTCACAGCCCACGAGGTAGGAAATATACAATAGAATAATAGTGCTGGTTATTGAACTACATCTGTTCCCTTTTGTTCATGTCACTACAAGAAATCCCAAAGAATAACAAAAAAAGCACCTTTTGGATGACCATGTCCTGGATGACTGAGAATGTCCATAGAGACATTGCAAGAAATGTTTTAGGAGTTGTATGGCCTCAACTTGCATGAGATACATCAATTTATCATGCATTAGTTCTCCTCAGACAGTTGTAGTATTGGATGCATATCAGGGGTGAAATTCAGAAGGTTCTTGAAAAACGGTAGTGGAAATTTTGAGCAGTTCTGAGAACCAGCAAATGCCACCTCTGGCTGGCCCCAGAGTGAGGTGGGAATGGAGATTTTGTAATATCCTTCCCCCAGGAGTGGGGAGGGAATGGGGATTTTGCAGTATCCTTCCCCTGGAGTAGGGTGGGAATGGAGATTTTTCAGTATCCTTCCTCTGCCACGCCCACCAAGCCACACCATGCCCACCAAGCCATGCCCACAGAACCGGTAGTAAAAAAAAATGAATTCCACCACTGGTGCATATACTCCTTTGGGTCATGGATTCATTTATTCATGGATTATCTGATGGGGGCCATGTTAGAAATGACAAAGGCAGTGGGTGGGGCCAGAGCCAAGGGTGAATGAAGACACTTTTCTCTCTTTTAATATCCTTCCTTCCTTCCTTCCTTCCTTCCTTCCTTCCTTCCTTCCTTCCTTCCTTCCTTCCTTCCTCCCTACCTCCCTCCCTTCTTTCCTACTCACCTTCCTTCCTTCCCTCCCTCCCACTCTCTCACCCATCTTCCTTCCTTCTTCCCTTCCCTTCCCTTCCCTCCCTTGCCTCGCCTCGCCTCGCCTCACCTCTCCTTCCTCCCCTCCCCTCCCTCCCTCCCTTCCTTTCTTCCTTCCTTCGATCCACTTGTCATGTTTGGGATGCAAGGCTTTTGCTCTTATTTAGTTGGATACCCAATGTTTTATTACGTGGTCTTGCCTGTTAGGTCCTTGGCATTCCAATTCCATTCCATTCTGCAATGTTTTGCACTTATTTATTTATAAAGTGTCTGAGGGACACATATGAAAGTTTGTTTCTCATTAGAGAGAGAAAAAATTCCCCCCTAGTTTCCCCCAGATCAGTCAAATCTCAAGAAAAAGCCACATTCAGAAACACTCCCAAGATAAATCGCAAAGGAGTTAGCAAGCTCTTTGAAGATAAACTAGAAAATAGGAGGAAAATGTCTGTGAACTCCAAGGCACATTTTAGCACAGCATAACTGAACTAAAAAATGGGTTTGCATTAAGCTTTTTGGGGGGAGTTTGTTTGTTTGTAATTTGTGCATCTTACAGGTTCAGAGAATCTGCAAAAAGAAACAAAACAAATCCTCACTCCCATATATAAAGCTAAGTCCACTGCCTGCAGATGCTGTGAAATACATTTTCTAAGAGATACTTGTGGAAGTTAAGATTTACGCAACTTGTTAGCAAAAGAAGCCAACTGCTGTTCTTGCAACTTGTTTGTGCTCCTGACTCTCCAGCAAACATGCCCACTTTCATCAAATAGATGTTGAAAGGTGTTAATTTTTATAGTCTGTGTCATTCACCTACATGCAAAGGGATGTTAATGTCAGAAATAGAGCGTTGAAAATTTTGTTGTGACTTGATCCATCCTGAAAGCCAATTTTTAAAAAATCAAAACTGATAAACTCAGTTTTTAAACTCTAAATTAGTTGCATGTTATTTTTAAGTGTGCATTATGGAAGTGTATAAATATAACTAATTGCATAAAATTGCCTTAGCGGTTTCTTCAGAGCAGTTTTAATGAAAAGGACCAAAGATAAATTTAAAAGTTTGGAATTAGATGGCAGGCAATTTTCTTTTCTTTTCTTTTTTTGCAACCGTAAAATTAACCAATTGAACTCACTCTTCCTTTTGGAAAAAAAAAATGTAATGAGAAAGTGTGCAATATCTCCAAACACAGCTTTTCTTTTGATCAGATCTGTGCGGGAGTTACGAAGTGCTTTTAGGTGAACATTTTTGGAATGCATACATTTGTCAGTTAACTCACCAAGACTTCAAAAAATCATGGGGCAAATTTTGGCAGCAGATATACAAATAAATTATCTGTCAAAGACTGGACAAAGTCTTCAGAGCTTTTTTCCAGAGATATGAAGCAGGCAAAAAAAAAAAAGAAAAGAAAGAGAGGGGGGATATAAATTTGAAAGCTAATCTGAAAGTAAAAGTGTTGTTTTGCTTATTGGTTTCCATTTCCATATATCAAGAGTTGGGAGGATTAATGATACTTGCATGGAATTTAGCTTTTCTTGCTCCACAGTGAGGTCTGCAGAAGATACATAGGTAGTCCTCAACTTACAACAGTTCCTTTAGCAACCATTCAAAGTTACTGAACCATTGGAACAGCACTGGAAAAGGAGACTTACGACCCTTGTTCACACTTACGACTGTGTCTGCATCCCATGGTCAAGTGATCAAAATTCAGATGCTTGGCAACTGACTCATATTTATGACAGAGTGTCACGTGATCCCTTTTTGGGAACCCTCTGACAAGCAAAGTCAATGGGGAAGCCAGATTCAAAAAGTCAAAAAGATAAATATAAAAACAGTTATAAGTAAGAAGTCTTACATCCTTATCCACTCTTTGGGAGAAAGCTGTTATAAGCCACGTGCCTATGTACATTTGTGTAAATCTGTAAATTGGTTTAAATTGAATAAAGACCTCAGAAGGAAAGAAGAAGTGACCTACTGACCCTTTCTCTCCTCCGATTGTACTGCTGCTGACCCTCGTGAACTCAATATTCGCTCCAGAGCAGATTACAATCCATGAGTCATGGTGGCACAGTGGTTAGACTGCAGTACTGCAGGCTGCTTCTGCTGGCTGCCTGCAATTTGGCAGTTCAAATCTGACCAGGCTCAAGGTTGACTCAGCTTTCCATCCTTCCGAGGTGGGTAAAATGAGGACCCAGATTGTTGGGGGCAATATGCTGACTGCTTAGAGAGGGTTGTAAAGCAGTATATAAGTCTAAGTGCTATTTCCATTGCTATTGCTCCTTCCTTCCTTCCTTCCTTCCTTCCTTCCTTCCTTCCTTCCTTCCCTCCCTCCCTCCCTCCCTCCCTCCCTTCCTTCCTCGCTTCCCCTTTTCTTCCTACTGAGCTGTGGTGGGGCAGTGATTAGAATGTAGTATTACAGGTTAATTGCCCAATGCCAGGAGTTCGATCTTGACTGGCTCAAGGTTGACTCAGCCTTCCATCCTTCCAAGATGGGTAAAACAAGGACCCAGATTGTTGGGGGCCGGGGGGGGGGCGCAATAGGCTGACTCTGTAAACCACTTAGAGAGGGCTATAAAACACTGTAAAGTGGTATATAAGTCTAAGTGCTATTGCTATTAATACCACCATGCCAAATTTAGCTCTCCCGTTAGGGAAGAGACGATATTGATTAGAATGTCAGTAGCAAAAAGAAAAAGAAAATTGTATTGGTATAAATTGTCTATTAGCACATGGGGATTAAAGGGGGGGAAAAGTCAGCCCTGCCTGACGCTTTAGGCTGCACTTCATAAAACAATTGCACTTCTGTTGACTGAGAGAGCACATGGATAGCTTCGGGCAACGTTCCTACATTAAATACTTTATGGATTGCACTGCATACCTAAGTCAGGGAAATTTGTTCGACATCTCTTGGTGCTGAGCTTTATTTCATGTGATGCTGTCTTCTTTTTAAAAAAAATCAAAGCGGTAAGCGTTCTGCCTAACATAAAGTGTTAGAAAAGGCCCCATTTTTTGCAAATATTCTGTTACTATGAGGTCAACCTTGGGACCACTGCAGAGGTGGGTTTCAGCAGGTTCTGACCAGTTCTGGAGAACCGGTAGCGGAAATTTTGAGTAGTTCGGAGAACCGGTAGTAAAAATTCTGACTGGCCCCGCCCCCATCTATTCTCTGCCTCCCGAGTCCCATCTGATCGGGAAGAAATGTGGATTTTGCAGTATCCTTCCCCTGCCACACCCACCAGGCCACGCCCACAGAACTGGTAGTAAAAAAATTTGAAACCCACCACAAAAGGACCTAGATAAAGCGTGTTCCTTTTTAACACAGAGAGAGAACACGTTTCCATTCCTTATTGAATGCTTATTGATTCAAACATGACTCTATCATGCTGGCCCTTAATTGCTAATAAAACATCGATCTGGCACTTGCGGTTACCTTCTGCATGTCGCCTCCTCTATGTTCTTAGCAATAGAAGTGTCTTTCTCGCCATTTTTACATGAGATTGCAGACACTGAAATCTAAAGACAAAATTGAGTGGCAGCCAAATTTGTTATTCTTTGTTCTTAAGGTCTCTTTCTAAGTTCATATCTTGAATTATTTTTGTCTATCATTTTTATATTTTGGTGTCTTTCTAAATCCCTTGTGGTATCACACATTCAATGAATCCATATTTCAATTTATGACACTTTCTGGAATCTTCGTTTAAACCAGCGTTTTAGAAGACTATTATTGCTGAAATACTATGTACTTCTCAGTATTCAACTAGGGGACAATATTTGGTTATGTTTTCTTTTTCTTTTCATTTGTTTTTATGCACATTTTTCTCATGTTTGTTTAGTATTGCTTTGTTCTTGTTTTCTTTTGAAGTTTGTATTTTAACTTTGGAAATAAAACTAAAAAGTTAATGATAAAAAGGGAGGCTATGACTCCATTCGTTAAGGTTTGCTTCAGAACAGCTTCAGAACAGCTTCAGAGATGTTAAATGAAAATCTAGCTCTCTAAAGAAGCATTTAATGCTGAGAAAAGGCGAAAAGAAATAAAAGGGAAGGATGTCCAGCAGTTAGAATGATGATGGGTTCAGTGCTGGAACATCTGAAAGACGAGGTTAGGGACAGATCATCATGGAGGAAAATCTATCTTTTGGTCACTAGGAGTTGATGGTGACTTGGTTAATTAATTAATTAATATAATTCTTTATTGGCCAAGTGTGATTGGACACACAAGAAAATTGTCTCCAGTGCATAAACTCGCAGTGTACATACAAGCAACAAAGTGATAACACATAGATCGTAAATCATAAAATACAATCATAATTATGAAATGCAAACAATATGTGATAAATCATAAGATACCAATAGAAGAAGGTAGTAGGAAAGATGAGACGGTGAGAAAGATGAGAAGCTGAGAAGATGACAAGGATAACAGCAATATAGCCTACTACATGGGTAAATATCTTTAGAAGACAGTGTAGTAGTAGGTGTTTAGCAGAGCGATGGCATGGGGAAGGAACCATCTTTGTGTCTAGTTTTTCAGCTTTCTAGAGAAGTTTTAATTCTAAAAAGGTAGGGAAAAAAGTGAAGAGAAGGGTGACCAGAAGTTATAATCATGATAGGTGCAATTCTGGAAGCTCTGAAAGACAAGGTTAGGGACAGCTCATCATGGACAAAATCTATTGTTTGGTCACTAGAAGTTGACAGCGACTTGATGACACATAATCAATAATAACAAAACCTTGCAAATCTCATTGTGCTAAACCTCTTTCTCCATTTCATAGTTCGGTGAATAAGGGATATGTCTGAGCTATTTCTAAAAATTATCTGGATATTCTGGGTTTTAAAAAATGCTTTAGTTCTTGTTGCCTAGGAAACAGACCCTACATATCTCCGTCAAAGTCATCTTCTTTATTCTCTACACCTTCACATCTGGGACTCGAATGTTTGGGTTCATCAAGTTAAGCTCTTTTGACTTTTGTTGGTTGCTTCACATGTTCTCTGAACTCCTGTGTGAAGCTTGGCAAATAATAGTTTATGACTGTTATGCAGACTCAGTCAATGGTAATTTAAAAAAATAAATGATAGTTAAACAAACCATGCCTTAGTATAGTCGTATATGAACCATTGTAATCTATACTGCTTTAAAGAATTAGTATAATTCCAGTATAGCAGAATTTCATATATCAAGTAGATAATTGCCATATTTCTAAGCCATTCTGATGCTTTCAAGCTGAAAAAATGATTCTTTCTACCTATCATTTTCTTCTCAATATTATTTTATGTCATTTTCTGGGTCTATTTCTAAACCGTCTCAAGAGACAAAATAAAAATATATTTAAGGCAGATGGATGAAAGATTACACAATTTTCAGTCTCATTGGACCTAAAATGCGGTATGTATTTAGAACTCAGCATGGAACGCATATTATTCTGTACTCACTTTTGGTAAAAGTGTATCAAATCTACATTTGTTAAATCAATATGGAAATCAGAATGCAGTTATCCTTCAGTATTTGATCTCCAGATTTGGAGATAACAGTTCTTTGCATCGAATGTGCATAATAGTGTAGATATTGGGGAAATTATACGCACTCAAAATTTTTGTACAATTGGAAAAGCGTATCAAAAAGAAATACTTGGAAATGGCTATATGCTTATCTATTTTTATAGCATTTCTAGGCCTCACTTCCAACCGACAGTGTGCAGCAAACAATAAAACAATAGCAGCACAATTGATAAGAACAGTTACAATAGGATTCCTATAAAAAGCATCAGCATGCCTTCTTTCAATTAGGACCAAGGGCATGGTGGAATAAGACTGTTTTACAAATAAACCAATGGGGGTGGCCATTAGATGGAGCTTCAGAAAGAGAAAATTCCATAAATTTTCAGCAAGTACTGAAAAGGATGGTTACCTTGTCCATAACCCTCCAAAACTCAGAAGATGGGGAGGCTCTCAAAAACATCTTGTATTGATTGGATCAACCAGGAACAATTATAAGCTGTTTTCTGACTAATACAAAACTGAACGTTTAAATTATTTAAATCAAAGTTTGGATAGTTTTAGAAACATTTCAAACCCATTCCTGTTCAGTATTGTTGTTGTGTTGTGTTCTGTTTTGTTTTTTTTCTACAAAAGACATCAGAGTGATAAAGAAATGGGGTGGAGTGAATTTGGAATCAGGCTCTTTTTAAAAAATGAGAAACTCAAGAGTTGACAGACCCATCCATCATTGTCCAGAAATAACTCCTCTTGACTTACTTCCTCAATCAGCTGATGTCCAAGTGCAGTTTAATCGACTAATGTCCAGTTTGTGAAATGTTTTGTTTTGACCTCTGCTCCTTCAGGGTTACTTCATACATTCTTCATGATGGTAAAAAATATTGATAAAAATCAAGAATGTTTACCGTGCATGGCAGGCTCATACATTTAATAGCACAGCAGACCAGTAAATCACAGTAAAAAACAAGGAAGGGCTTCAGAACCAAATTTACCTCCTCCTCCTCCTCCTCCTCCTCCTCCTCCTCCTCCTCCTCCTCCTCCTCCTCCTCCTCTTCCTCCTCCTCCTCCTCCTCCTTCCCTTCCCCCCCTCCTCCTCCTCCTTCTTTCTCGAGATCAAAATTTAAACTGCCAGAATGAAGCCACTATTTAGCCTTATTGTTGGCCAAAAATAAGCCATTATCGGTACATGTTTCTGGTAGCAGCCGACATACAGAAGATGGGCCGGGCTCTGTGTCTCTCTGCATTCACATAGCATGTTGTTATCCATTAAGACCAAGGATGAAACCCAGCAGCTTTTGACAGGTTCTGGAGAATCGGTAGCGGAAATTTTGAGTAGTTCAGAGAACCGGCAAATACCACCTCCGGCTGGCCCCAGCGTAGGGTGGGAATGGAAATTTTGCAATATCCTTCTACCAGGAGTGGGGAAGGAATGGGGATTTTGCAGTATCCTTCCCCTGGAGTAAGGTGAGAATGGAGATTTTGTAGTATCTTTCCCCTGCCACACCCACCAAGCCACGCCCAGCAAGCCACACCACACCCAGCAAGCCACGCCCACAGATACGGTAAGAAAAAAAATTGGATTTCACCACTGTCTAAGAGCCTCCACTTGAGCATATTGTTGTTGTTGTTGTTGTTTTTCATTTAGGCACTCCAACTCTCAACCTATTCAGGGTCTTCCAAGTAGTATAAGGGAGGTCAGATTCTTCAGCCATGTCCTCCGTTAATGTTATTCCTTGCCCGGTGGTCGCCTCCCTCCGTCTTGCATTTATAGTCCTATTCTCTCCTAGTCCTGCTGCTGAATTTTCTTTCCCTTTCCCCAACAGGTATCACCGTGGATAAGCATGGCTTCATTTACTTTGTAGACGGCACCATGATTCGTAAGATTGATGCAAGTGGGCAGATCACGACGTTAATAGGCTCAAATGGCCTCACGTCAACTCAACCTCTTCGCTGTGATGCCAGCATGGACATATCTCAGGTCACCACTCACTGTTTCCATACATCATTACTGTTCAGCTTGGAAACCGGTTCCATTTCGCATGACAAAATTAGGCATTAACAAATACTTCTGTCACATTGGCTCACGGAGCTTACTTGGAGATCGTTTCTGATAACTCCCGAGCAAAGATGACAAAACTTACACATGCATTTAGCAACGTATTTTATGTATTGTACAGTGACTTCAGCTGAAATCTCCCAAGACTCAAAATAGGGCAGTAAAATCTTGCTTGGGATAAATCTGAAAGCAAGATAATTTTTTCATTCTAATTAGTAATAAAGGAGAAGATTTGTAGCTCAGGGTTGACATGAGGGCTCCTTGGTGCTCTCTGAGCTTGCTTGTTTTCTTGCAGACATTCCATTACCCAAACTAGGTAACATAATCAGTGCTAATTCATCCTAATTCACTTTAATAAGATTATGGGAGAATTAAACTTTAGTAGAATTCTGAAGGTATTCCCTGAGCTTGGAAGCCATTCCGTAGCCGGTAAATTCACCTGAGAGACAGGAATGTCTAATAGCAGACTTAAAAGTTTTTCTGTAGGTATCCCATCTGTGAGTTTAGTATTCTTATTCTGAATACTGGGTATGTCTTGAATCTGCTGTAAAATATAGCTTGATGATAAAAATTCTGACTCACAAGAGTTGTTCCAGAGTTGCCTCTGTCTGTATAAAATACTCCTTTGGGTGTATGTAGCCATAAAGGTAAAGATAAAGGTTCCCCTCACACATATGTGCTGGTTGTTCCTGACTCTAGGAGGCGGTGCTCATCTCCGTTTCAAGGCCGAAGAGCCAGTGCTGTCCAAAGACGTCTCCGTGGTCATGTGGCCAGCATGACTAAATGCCAAAGGCGCACGGAACACTGTTACGTTCTCACCAGATGGTCCCTATTTTTTCTACTTGCATTTTTTATGTACTTTCGAACTGCTAGGTTGGCAGAAGCTGGGACAAGTAATGGAAGCTCACCCCGTTACACGGCACTAGGGATTCGAACCGCTGAACTGCCGACCTTTCGATCGACAAGCTCAGCGTCTTAGCCACTGAGCCACCTAGTCAGGCTCATGTACAGTAACTTGCACTCCCAATTTAATGGAGGTATGACTATCTCCTTGGTAGTTCCTTGATTAGAGTATTTTTATCTGTTTGATTGTTTGTCTGGTATTAATCTTTGTTTATCTGGGTGTTGGCTGTTGTTGGAGATAAGGTATTCTGGTCTTTTTGTTTTCTTCTTAGCTTTTTAATTATCTCTTTTGAATGGTGTGTAAATGTGGTTTATTTCTATGTGTCTATTGATGTGTGATTTGACTGAATGCCAAGGTTCCGTGAATTCCTTAGCTTTTTTGGATTTAGCTTGGTCTTGGATACTCACAGTGTCCCCAGTGAAACTCTTGTTCACGTGTTGTGAGATTAACGAGTTTTTATTATGTCTTCTGATTGTTAGTTGGCGTTCATGAATGTGCTCTGCTAATCTTCTGCCTGTATGCCCTACATCATGGCTGTCATAGTCCTTATGCTATACAGTATGTTGTAGATAAACCTACAGTCACTCACACTGATGATGTTACCTTGTTAGGTAATGAAATGTCTACCAACAAACAACTAAGCTCAGAGAGCACCATAAACTTTGCATTTTCACCCCTGAGTGACAGACATACCCTTCTATTGGCACAGGATCCTACCTTAAACTTGATATTTTTGTAATTGGGGACAGCACAAGAAGCCTAATTTTCTTATCACATCGAATTGCAGTTGTCAAAAGAATTATTGAATACATTTTCAGTTCTGGCTGAGCAAAAAAAAAAAAAAAAAACAGAAAACTCTGCTCCCCAACAGATTTTTACATCCGCCAAAGCAGTTGTGAAATCGTCCACAGTTTTCCACCAGTTCACTGCCTGTGCCTGCGCAGTGCGCACCAAATTCATGTTGCATGTGCATGCATGCACAGTGGGCACCAAACCCATGTTGTGTATACACGCATGCGCACTTTGCGCAGAAAAAGAAGGCTTAAGAAGGTAAGTAGAATAGTGAGGGGGGGAACAGTTGTGCCGCGCAATTTAGAATATAAATCATGCAGCACAGCTGATTGTCGGAAATACCGACAATCAGCTGTGCTGCAGCTTTGCTTTTATTACTACCGGTTCACCCAAACCGGTGCGAACCGGTAGCATTTCACCCTTGTGCCAAAGCTTCCAGATTCTTATGACCAACAGCTCTGGAATGTATGCAATCAAATTCAAATGGCATTACTCTTATGCGGATGTGTGATTTGAAAATATCTGAGTTGCTGGTGTTCAGAAAGAAAAAGTTTCATCAGTGCTGATTTGCAATTCAATCAGCCTCTTCTGTCACTCTTCACAGAAGGTTTGTTCTCTGGAGTTGGCAACTAACCTCTCCCTCCCCATCCCCCTTCTACGTCTGAATCACTCCTCAGACGCATTATTACCAAATAATACATAGTTAATAAATGCTGAATGTTGCTAGAGCCACAAATTACATTATAATAACTCGAGTGCATTCTTGACCTATTTAAGTAGCATAAAGTATGCAGATAAATGTCTAAATTTGCATCACGTTACAAGCCAGCAACTAAGTTTTACAAACAGCACTTTCCCTTCTGGAAAAATCTGCCAAAGGCTTCATTTGGCTATGCCACAAAATACATCAGAACTTTGAAAAACATGGCTTTTTTTTTCTCTAGAAGGACATTTCTGCAAATAAAAGGACTCTTTTGATTGAAAAAGAGGACAAGAAACAACCAGAGTTGAAGGAAGAATATATTTTTTTGGTCATGTTTGCCAACTCCTCTATTCTTGAAATATTAGTGCCGCTTTATAAAAACCCTTGTAAGACCACACCTGGAATACCAAAACCAATTTTGGTCACCATACTACAAAAAGATATTGAGACTTTGGAAAAAGTTTAGAGAAGAGCAACTACGATGATCAAAGGCCTGGAGACTAAAACATATGAAGAATGGCTGCAGGATTTGGGTTTGGCTAGTCTAAAGAAAAGAAGAATTAGGGGGTGGCATGATAGCAGTATTCCAGGATTTGAGGGGCTGCCACAAAGAAGAGGGGGTCAAATTATTCTCCAAAGCTCTGGAGCGGAGGACAAGAAGCAATGGTTGGAAAGTAATCCAAGAGAGAAGCAACCTGGAATTAAGGAGAAACAATGAGGACAATTAACCAGTGGAACAGCTTGCCTTCAGAAATTGTGGGTGCTCCATCACCGGAGGTCTTTAAGAAGAGAGTGGACAGCCACTTGTCTGAAATGGTATCCTGCTAGAGCAGAAGGCTGGACTAGAAGACCTTCCAGCTCTTCTCTTCTCTTCTCTTCTCTTCTCTTCTCTTCTCTTCTCTTCTCTTCCCTTCCCTTCCCTTCCCTTCCCTTCTCTTCTCTTCGCCAATGAAGACTGCATCCTTTTAGAATGAAAGAAAACAATCCCTACTGCCCCTGGGATCTTGGTGGGAGGCAAAAATCTTCCAATGTTTTAAGTTATGCATTTAAGCAAAGTTGAGCCTGCTTCATGGTTAATGCTGGGTAGGAAGGTCAGGGTTGTTTATTTCATATTCAGAAGGGATGTGACTAGGTTCCTACCAGCTCTGCTTCTTCCCACCTGCAGCATTTCAAGAGTTCTGTTTTTGTGCATATAATAATTATGTTGCTTTCAAGCTGTGATTACCAGCAAGTATTCCTTAAGATGCCTTTTGGATAAGAGAGCTTGATGGCACTTTGAAAGGAGCATGTCTGTATAACTAAGACATTAAGGGCCTCAAAGTCACAGGAGAACATGAGTTTAAATCCCACTTTAGCCGTGAAAGCCAGCTAGGTGACTGTGGGCAACTCATTCTCTCTCAGCCCAACTCACCTCACAAGATTGTTGTGAAGAAAATTGGAGGAGGAAGCTGTGATGGATTTGTTTGCCCACTTGAATTATTTGTAAAAATAAGAAAGAAAGAAAGAAAGAAAGAAAGAAAGAAAGAAAGAAAGAAAGAGAGAAAGAGAGAGAGGGAGGGAGGGAGGGAGGAAGGAAGGAAGGAAGGAAGGAAGGAAGGAAGGAAGGAAGGAAGGAAGGAAGGAAGGAAGGAAGGAAGGAAGGGCTAATCCTTCAAGAGGAATTAAGACCAGAGAAACAATCAAGCTGGAAACAAACGCTAATTCATGGAATTATCAAGAACTCCACAGTTCAGCCCTGAACTACATATCTGGATTTGGATATAAGAAATTATACGGAACTTTTGTTTACTTCACAACTTATTAGTTTCATCTTCAGTATTTCCATAGTATTATTGGATTATAAAAGAGTTGGATCCAAATTAAGAAAGAAAGTGAAATAAATGACCAAGGGCTTCAGAATGTCCCCAAATAGTTCATCCTATCCATCTTCTCTGTACAAGAAGTCCGTTTCTTGCCACAGTGATGAATCCAGCCACATCCATCTTAATGTCAAGTAGTCAAATATTTTTAGAAAAAAATGATTCACTGAATTGTATTTTCAGCTTTGTCATTCATTGACACACACAACTCTGTTACCACTACATGGTGGTAACCATTTAATTTTTCCAAGTTTTCCATTTCCAAATCCTTCTCCAAACTGCCTTTTCCACTAGAGTTAATGTGGCAAATTAATTGCAGCATCTGACTAAGATAAACAGACCAAAAATCCATTTAATTTTGGAATGGCACTGAAGGGCTCCCTAAGCAGTTTTAAACCTAACTTTCTTAGTCTCCTTTTTATAAAATATATGAACATAACAATGGGTCACACTTTGAATTAGGTACCCAAAAGGTGCTTTGGAGAGCTCAGGAATATGAATGTAGCACATGTTTGCAACTCTTTAAAGCAGCTGCGTCTTTTCCTAGCAGCGAAAAATTTCTGATACTAAGAATTACAGTTCAAGATCATATTTGCTCCCCTCCAAGCTCCGAAACATATTTTGAAATTAAATCCAAGGCATTCCACAGTCATGGTAAGTACACATCATCTTGGAGAATAGATGGGCTGAAGATACTGTTTCTTCTTATGGAAACATTACATTATTTTCAGTGGATATATGCATAATGGTATGCTGATTAGCGTACGTTTAAAGTGACAATAATTTTTTTGTTCTGTGCTGTGCTGTGCTATGCTATCAGAGGTGGAATGCACATACCGTAGCAACCGGTTCACCCAGCAAATGCGTGTGATGTCAAACAACATGGCAATTTGCTCACGCACGCCTTCCACACATACATGCAGCATCAAAAACACAGCGATATAGAATGGGATTGCGCCCGGGCAGGTGAGCGCACCCGCAGGTCACCACTACCTGTTCGCCTGAACTGGCTGAATACCATCTCTATGCTGTGCTACGCTACACTATGATGCACTATGCTACACTATACTGTTCTGTGATGTTCTATTCTATTCTATTCTGTTCTGTTCTATTCTATTCTATTCTATTCTATTCTATTCTATTCCATTCCATTTTCTGTTCTATTCTATTCTATTCTATTCTATTCTATTCTATTCTATTCTATTCTATTCTATTCTATTCTATTCTATTCTATTCCATTCCATTCCATTCCATTCCATTCCATTTTCTGTTCTGTTCTATTCTATTCTATTCTATTCTATTCTATTCTATTCTATTCTATTCTATTCTATTCCATTCCATTTTCTGTTCTGTTCTATTCTATTCTATTCTATTCTATTCTATTCTATTCTATTCTATTCTATTCTAAACTAGTCTATTCTAGTCTATTCTAGTCTAGTAGTCTATTCCTATTCCTAATCCGATTCCAATTCTGATTCCTATTCCTACTCTATTGAACTCCAATCTCAGCATTTCTGGATGAGAAAACAGTGTTTGGCCCCTCAGACAAATTACAAAAACTCTTTCCTGAGACACCTCATGCCATGAATCAGTCTGAAGTCTGCAACAATACATAAAATATGTAACCATTAGGACCCTATTTGCTGTATTGCAATCGATAAAACAACTTAATTGTCTATTTAAAAATATCTATCCACAACCGCTTAAAGAATAATTGAATGAACGGGAAGGCAACATCATTCTTTTGTGCGAGTGGTTTTTTTTTTTAAAAAAAAGCATAAAAATCATTTGAATATCTTTTATTCCTTTTCACATTGCAGGTTCGTTTAGAATGGCCTACAGATCTGGCCGTCAACCCCCTCGACAACTCCTTGTATGTGCTGGACAACAATATCGTCCTTCAAATCTCTCAGAACGGACGGGTTCGCATCATCGCAGGGCGCCCCATTCACTGCCAGGTTCCAGGCGTTGACCACGTGCTGGTCAGCAAAGTGGCCATCCATTCCACCCTCGAATCGGCCCGTGCTGTTGGCGTCTCTCACAGCGGCGTGTTGTACATCGCCGAGACGGACGAAAGGAAGATCAACCGCATCCAGCAGGTTACCACCAATGGAGAAATCTCGGTCATTGCTGGGGCACCGACAGATTGTGACTGTAAGATTGATCCCAACTGTGATTGTTTCTCAGGCAAGTGATGATGAATTCTCCTGTTCTGACCCAGACTTAGCAAGTAATGATAAGCCGCTTACTCGCAAGTAAAAACAAACCCCTTTGCAAACCAGGGCAGGAACAGTCTTTTATTCGTGTGGATAAACAAAAATCAAGGAGCCTTGGTAGTACAGTGATCTAAAGCATCCTGTTATTAAGACCAGCTGCCTGCAATTACTGCAGGTTTGAATCTCGCCAGGCTCAAGGTTGACTCAGCCTTCCATCCTTTCTAAGGTAGGTAAATTGAGGACCCAGTTTGTGGGGGCAATAAGCTGACTTTGTATAAATATACAAAAGAATGAAGGCTATTGCTTAACGCATTGTAAGCCGCCCTGAGTCTCCGGAGAAGGGCGGCATATAAATCAAATAAAAAAAAAATGTAATTAGTCCCAACAGACTTGGCCAAGAAATCTGAATTGTCTGCGACAACTGGCCACTCCCCAAACCCCGCCTATTTATTTCCCAGCCAGAGAGGGGCTGACTAGTGCCTACCTCTGTTTTTCCCTGAGAGCCAGCTTATTGCTTTCCTTTGCTCTCCTCTCCTCTCTATGCATACGCGCATCTGGCGCATGGGCCCCATCTGTTCCTCCCCCTCACTCAGTTCAGGCCCAGAAGACAACTGCCCCTCCATCTGGGCGGAGGACGGAAGGCCCCCGGCTCTGCCTCTTTCTCTAATCTCCTCCCTAGGGGTGGGTTCTACTTACCTTTACTACCGTTTCGGAATGGGATTGTGCGCACGCATGCACAGAAGTTTCTGCACATGCGCAGATCACCGATGATGACATCCGGGGCAGTGGGCGGGGCCTCCCGCCGGTTTTACTACCGGTTCTTGCGAACCGGTCTGAACTGGGGGCAACCCACTGCTACTCCTCCCCGAATGTTAAACTTGTTTTTTGATGCCAGTTTATGCCTCACTTTGGAATGGATGGAAGCATCCCACCCATGATCAAGCATCCTATTTTGAAACCGGGATACCTGAAAACAAAAACGATGAGGTTTTCACAAAATCATGACTGTATATTCAATTTTACAGCTTGTAGAATGCAAGCTTTCACCCCTCCAAGTCTCTCGTGTCTACTCTTTGAATGCAAATGTTGCTCCTGGGTTTCTAGAGTTGGAAAGGACAGTTGTATTACCAACATTAATGTGGACTTCAGTTCCACCCAGGGCTGCTTTGCCTGGTAGGAGGGCAGAGGTCACGTGCTTTAAAGACAAGAAGGTGTGCCGGAATGAATGACATTATCTTAATTGCAAAATTGGCTTTTTTTTTTTTCTAGAAGTGAAATAATTAGTCAGCTTGAGGATTGCTAGCATTTTGATTCTTCTATGTCAATGCAATGATTCTGCCCTGTGAGAGAAGAAATAGGGCAACTGTATTCCATTATCAATAGGTGGTATAAGGACTCCTGCCTTGGACTAGAAGACCTCTTTTACTTTTTACTTTACTTTTATTTGATTTATATACCGCCCTACTCCCGAAGGACTCATTGCGGTGAACAGCCAACAATAAAATACATATATACAAAATTTAAAAAGCAGAAATAAAATCGAATTAAATAGTTTGGCCCAGACAAATTAAAACCCCAATCAATTTAAAACAAATTTAAACTTTGAGTATTAAAAATATTTAAAAACATTAAAATTATTAAAATTGTTTAAAAAGAGGGAGAAAGTTAGGCCAGGCCCGCCTGGTGAAATAAAAAGGTCTTTAGAGCGCAGCGGAAGATGCGCAGATCCGGGATCCTCCATATCTCCGGGGGGAGCTCGTTCCAGATAGTAGGTGCCCCCACAGAGAAGGCTCTCCCCCTAGGGACCGCCAGTCGACATTGTTTGGCTGACGGCACCCGGAGGAGCCCTTCTCTATGAGAGCATACCGGCCGGTGGGAGGCTATTGGTGGTAGTAGGCGGTCCCATAAGTACCCTGGTCCTAAGCCATGGAGCGCTCTAAAGGTGGTAACCAAAACCTTGAAGCGCACCTGGAAGACCACCGGGAGCCAGTGCAGCTCGCGCAGGAGGGATGTTACATGGGAGCGCCATGTCGCTCCCATTACCACCCACGCAGCTGCACTCTGTGCCAATTGGAGCCTCAAGGGGAGCCCCATGTAGAGAGCGTTACAATAGTCCAGGCGGGAGGTGACGAGGGCATGAGTGACTGTGCATAAGGAGTCCCGCTCCAGAAAGGGACGCAGCTGGCGAATCAGGCGAACCTGATAAAAAATCCTCCCGGTCACGGCCATCAAGTCCTCCAAAGATCCCTTCCAACCCTATGATTTTATAATGCAAGTGATGAGGGAGACCCAGTGCTATTAATGCAATTAACAATTATGTGGAGGAAGCCCAGACAGGGGAAGTTAAAAAAAACATTCCAGCTGAAGAAGCTTCTTGAATGAGAAGCGAACCACCTTCAAAGAAAAAACAAGAAAGTCCAGTTGCCGCCTGAAAAAGCACCTTTGGGACAACCATGTCCTGGATGACTGAGAATCTCTACAGAATTCCAGCTTTGAGTCCATTGAGGGGAGCAAAACTTTTGAGTTTTGCTAATATATAAATCAAACCTTTAGATCTATATTTGCTGAAGGCAGACAGTCTGGTGAGAGTCTTTTAAGCAAGTGATATACAACATATAGGAATAGAGGCTTCTCAGGGCCAGATGGGGTGGCAAATAAATTTAATAAACAATAGTAAGAAATAATAACCTATTTGACCCATTCTTGGAGTGTTCTGACTGCTTGCACCTGACAAATTCCAAGTAAATCTTAACATGATGGGTAGGGGAAGAATTAATCCCTTGCTACCCATTGGAATTCTCCATTTTTTTTTATTTATTTATTTATTTATTTATTTATTTATTTATTTATTTATTTATTGGTTCGATTTATATGCCGCCCTTCTCCGGAGACTCAGGGCGGCTTACAATGCGTTAAGCAATAGCCTTCATACTTTTGTATATACCTGCTTAGTAGGGCTTTCGCCCCCCCCCCCCAGCGGTGTTCTTTTTTATACAAATCAGCTTATTGCCCCCACAATACGGGTCCTCGTTTTACCTACCTCGGAAAGATGGAAGGCTGAGTCAATCTTGAGCCTGGTGAGATTTGAACTCGCAGGAATTGCAGGCAGCTGGCAGATAAGTGCTACCTTAACAGCACTTTAGTCCGCTGCGCCACCAAGGCTCCATGTTGTTTTTTAATATATATTTTTTAAAAATAATAATATTAAATTATTCTGCTGTAAATGCTTAATTTTATTGATTAAATTGTACATCGCCCAGAGCGCCTCTCTGAGAGAGATGGGTGATTAAGAAGCGTGATAGATAAACAAACAAACATCAACTATGATAGCTATCTAAACTTCCTGTTCATATTAATAATCTAAATCAGAGGTCTCGAATGAAATACAATCATTTTAGCATATCTGTGTTCTCATCACTTACAGCATAAAAGGATTTTGACTCAACATGTCATTGCATTTCTGGATGACAGTGTAATGCTGCCAACGTAATGTTTTCTGCTGTGATTGTCGTTGCGCTTTTCTCATCTTGGATTGTACGAGGTTCCAAAACAGCAGGGTTGTGCGTGCAACACTCAACATTCAAAGTTGGATGTAATAGTAAATCACAGCACAATCGTTTTGTTCGGCACTTACTATGGGTCCTGTATCTACCCATTTCTGGGTTATTGTTCCATGGAGACCAAACTATTGTGGCATGTTTTAAGGATGGTTTGAAAAATCCCTGGCTCACCACCATGTGGGAATGCAACCAAGGACTAAATGAAGTTAGGAAAATATTTCCCAATACTAAAAATATTTAAAGAGTGAAACAGAGAGGTGGAGAACTCTCTTCTTTGGAGCTGCTCAAGTGGGCTAGACAACTTGATAAGAAGGTTGTATTCAATGGCTGTGGCTCAGTGGCTATGATGCTGAGCTTGTCGATCAAAAGGTCGGCAGTTCAGCAGTTCGAATCCCGAATACCGCATAACGGGGTGAGCTCCCGTTACGTGTCCAGCTTCTGCCAATCTAGCAGTTTAAAAGCACATAAAAAAATGCAAGTAGAAAAATAGGGACCATCTTGGTGGGAAGGTAACAGGGTTCCATGCGCCTTTGGCATTTAGTCATGCTGGCCACATGACCACGGAGACGTCTTCGGACAGCGCTGGCTCTTTGGCTTTGAAACGGAGATGAGCACTGCCCCCTAGAGTCGGGAACGACTAGCACATATGTGCAAGGGGAACCTTTACCTTTATTTGATGGTGACAATGTTTTTTTTCAACTTTGACTCCATAAAGTAGTATTTCTCAATCTTGGCAACTTTAACATAGCTTGCTGAGGAATTCTGGGAGTTGAAGTCCACACATCTTAAGGTTGCCAAGGTTGAGAAACAGTTCTATAAAGTATCAAACAGGACATCGCTACTATTCCCCTCGAGTCCCCTATTCATTCATACGCTGAATAAATTCATACTTTGAGGAAACTCCAGGCCTCAGAGTTTTGCTTGCGTTGGGTTTGTTACTAGGAACTCTGACACCTTCTTTATTTTGACTAGCCGTTGCAGATTTGCAATGGTCCACACTGTTTTCTTCCTATTTTTCAGGTGATGGTGGATACGCTAAAGACGCCAAGCTGAAGGCTCCCTCTTCCCTCGCTGTGTCTCCTGACGGCACTTTGTACATCGCCGACCTCGGGAACATTCGCATTCGTGCTGTGAGCCAAAATAAGCCTCATCTCAACGATGCCAATATTTACGAGATAGCCTCTCCGGCTGATCAGGAACTCTATCAATTCACGAACAATGGGACTCACCTGCACACCCTCAATCTGATCACGAGAGACTTTCTGTATAACTTCACGTATAACGGGGAAGGTGAACTGGGCACCGTTACCAGCAACAACGGTCACTCGGTGCATATTCGCCGGGACGCCAGTGGCTTACCGCTTTGGATGGTGATGCCAGGAGGGCAAGTGTACTGGTTGACCATCAGTAGCAACGGCATTCTCAAAAGAGTTTATGCTCAGGGCTACAATTTAGCCCTAATGACCTATCCTGGCACCAGCGGACTTCTCGCCACCAAAAGTAACGAGTATGGATGGACAACAGTTTATGAGTAAGTGCTTTTACCAAACCTTGAAAAACCACTGCTTCACTTATAAAATTATTTCCCCCTCATTCCACCACCAAAAATCCATCTGGTCCATAATACAGGTAGTCCTCGACGTACGACCCCCAATTAAGCCCCAAATTTCTGTTGCTAAGCGAGACAGGTGTTAAGTGAGTTCTGCCCTATTTTATGACCTTTCTTGTCACGGTTGTTAAGTAAATCATTGCAGTTGTTAGGTTAGTAACACAGTTGTTAAGTGAATCATTGCAGTTAAATTAGTAACACAGTTGTTAAGTGAATCATTGCAGTTGTTAGGTTACTAACACGGTTGTTAAGTGAATCATTGCAGTTGTTAAGTTAGTAACACAGTGGTTAAGTGAATCTGGTTTTCCCCACTGACTTTGCTTATCAGAAGGTCCCAAAAGGGGATCACATGACCCCCCCCCCCAGGACACAACACAGCAATGGTCATAAGTACGAACCAGTTTCCAAGCATCAGAATTTTGATCATGTGACTTTGGGGATGTTGCAAATGGTCGTAAGTGTGAAAAATGTAAATGGCTCTTTTCAGTGCCATTGTAAGTTTGAATGGTCACTAAAGGAACTGATGTAAGACAAGGACCACCTGTACTTCCCAATTTGCAAGACGTGCGATATCATGTATTCATTCAGAAATCTTAAAACGCCTTGACTGAGTTTGCACGTCACGTTCAACCTTGTAAGGAATCCATCCATTCGAAAAGTTGATTTGATCGGGATTAGGCGTCCCTGCTCACCTAATCAGAAACCTCTGTTTTATGTCAGATATTTAATGCAATAGTTTTACCTGTTCATTTATTTATAAGATCTATATGGCCCGCTATCAGCTCCGTGTCTGTATCGGGGAATGCAGCTGTTATTTATTTATATATGCATTTATTTATTTATAAGATTTATATAGATATCCATTTTATACAATGTAATCCTGGACAGTTCACAGCAAATACAAATAATATAAGAGTCTAAAAAGACCCCTTTTTATCAAAAAGACTGTCAAAATCGATTTTGCTGACTGCTTACAACCATTGTATTCTTCTCATGGACGGAAGCGGTAGGATGAAGCTAAAATAGCAAAATCAATTAGAGGGATCAGTTTGGTTACAAAATGGCAGATTCATTTATGACTTGTGCTTTTACTTTTTATTTATTTTAAAATCTTGCCCTCAAGGTGCAAGATGACCAGGAATGATTGTTCAGATTTTTTTTTTTTAAAGAGCTATATTAGCTAACAGAACATTGGAAATGATCAAACCAAAGCTATCCAGTGAGATCTGTTGTTAGTTGCGAAGTCATATCTGACCCATTGTGACCCCATGGACAACGTTCCTCCAGGCCTTCCGGTCCTCTACCTTCCTCTGGAGTCCATTTAAGCTCACACCTACTACTTCAGTGACTCCATCCAGCCACCTCATTCTCTGCCGTCCCCTTCTTCTTTTACCCTCAATCCCTATTTCCTCCCCACTCCTGGAGGAAGGATATTGCAAAATTTCCATTCCCACCCCACTCTGGGGCCAGCCAGAGGTGGTATTTCCGGTTCTCCAAACTGCTCAAAATTTCCACTACCAGTTCTCCAGAACCTGTCAGAACCTGCTGGATTTCACCCCTGGTTTCCTCTCTATTTATTTACAATAGTTTGTCTTCTCAGTGTTGATGGGGTGATCGTTCTCCTTGGTAGATCCTTGATTAGGGTATTGTTTACTGCTTGATTTTTATCTGATGGTAATCCTGGATTAATTCCTGTTTATGTAAGTGTAGGGTGCTGACAAGCAGGTGTTCTGGTTTTGTTGTTTCCTTCTTAGCTTTTTACTTGTCTCTTTTGTATAATGTGTAAATGTTGTTTATCTCTATGTGCCTGTTGATGGCTGCTTTGTCTGAATAACAGAGTTGGAAGGGATCTTGGAGGACTTCTAGTCCAACCCCCTGCCCAAGGAGGAGACCCCTGACATGGTCACTTTCCCCTAAAGTTCCCACAACTTCAGCCACTTCCATCATTTCATCTGTTTTAATAGCTATAGCAATAGCACTTAGACTTACATACCTCTTCCCAGTGCTTTATAGCCCCCTCTAAGCAGTTTCCAAGGTCAGCCTCTTTCCCCCTACCAATCTGGGTCATCATTTTACTGACCTTGAAAGGATGGAAGGCTGAGTCAACCTTGAGCCTGGTGAGATTCGAACTGCCAAATTGCAGTCAGACAGCAGTCAGCAGAAGTAGCCTGCAGTACTGCACTCTAACCACTGCGCCACTATGGCTCATAAGAATTATGAGTAAGAATTCCTCAGAGAACTGAGTGCCAATCTTCCAGGCATTCCTTAGCTTTCTTGGATGTAACATGATCCAGTTGAAACTATGTGTAAATCTGTCCATGTGTTATGAAATGAAGGAATTTTCACTGTGTTTTCTAACTGCTATGGGTAGCTGATATTCAAGGATTCCCTCTACTAATCTGCCTCTCTGTCCTATATAGTGGCTGTAATAGTCTTCATACTATGTGTTGTAAACAATTCCTTTTTTTTTTCTTGGACTACTGGCTCTTGTGATTTACTCAACATGTTTTGGAGGGCTTTAGCCAGTTTGTGTGTTACAGGGATGAAGTGTGATTGTAATAATCGTGTTTCTGAGATGTTTTTTTTTTGATGTATGGCAGTGTTATCCTTTTCATATCCCATGTTGGTTGTTCTATAGTGGTATGTATTTTTTGATAAATTGCATGGCTACTCATTTTGTGTGTCATCCTGAAAAAACATCCCTTGAATCCCAGGATGTTTTCTGCCTCTTAATGGCTTGTCTTGATCCTTTCCTGAGTCAGTGGACATGAGCCATAGTGGCGCAGTGGTTAGAATGCAGTACTACAGGCTACTTCTGCTAACTGCCGACTGCCTGCAGTTCAATTCTCACCGGCTCAAGGTTGACTCAGCCTTCCATCCTTCTGACGTTAGTAAAATGAGGACCCAGATGGTTGAGGGCAATAGGTTGACTCTGTAAATCGCTTAGCGAAGGAGTATATAAATCTAAGTGCTATTGCTAATATATTGGAGGGGGTCAGTTGTAATTTGAATGGTGATTAGTGATAGTGATTAGCGTGATTAGTGATTAGTGATTAGCGTGATAGTGATTAGTGATTAGTGATAAGCAAGGGCTACCTATATTAGCAGACAGTTTATTATTTTGCTGTTCTCTCTTTTAAACTAAAAATAATCTCTTTATACTCTAAATTATAGCACAGGTTTCAGTGTCATTTAATTTCTTTGGATGTCACACCTCTTGTTATGCATGCTGCATTTCTTTTCCTCGCTATTATTTTTCTTTTGATGTTACATCGTGCTGTTCCAATCCATGGTCACAGCAATAACTTTCTTTCTTATTAGATTGTTGGCCATATGCTGGCTCTGTAAACCTCTTAGAGAGGGCTGCAAAGCACGGAAGCGGTATATAAGTCTAAGTTCTACTGCTATTTTCCAACAAGATTCTAACCTGCTGCCGCTACTAGTTGGTTCTCTTGTTGTCAAGATGCTCAAGGGGTTTACATGGACCTACAAAAATGTCCTTGGAAACCAAGGGTACAAAAAGTGTCCTGGAGAACCTTCCCAGGTAAAAGGGACCAAAAGTTTGTCCCTTCTAATGCATTCAGATGGAGGTGGGTTTTAAGCAGGGATGGGATTCAGCCGGTTTGAACCGGTTCGTGCGAACTATATGTTAATTTTAATCTGGTTCGCCGAACCAGTTGTTCCAAGGACTGGCTGACTCTGCCCATGCCCAGCCTCTGGTGCCCGGGAGAGGCCGTTTTTGCCCTCCTGGAGGCTTGAGGAAAGCCTCTGGAGCTTTGGAGGGCAAAAAATGGACCTACCAGAAGTCCGGAAATGGGCCCATTTCTGGCCTCTGGAGCTTGGGGGAGGCCATTTTTGCCCTCCTAGAGGCTCGAGGAAAGCCTCTGGAGCCTTACGAGGGTGAAAAACGGGCCTACCAGAAGTCCGGAAACAGGCTCATTTCTGGCCTCCAGAGGGCCTCTGGTGCCTGAGGGAAGACGTTTTTGCCCTTCTGGAGGCTTGAGGAAAGCCTCCGGAGCCTTGGGAGGGCAAAAATGCTCCCCATCCATGGTGCAGGAGGCCGAGTAGGCCACCCCACATGGCCACACCTATCCAGCAAGCGGAGAGCAAACTGGTTGTTAATTTTTTCAATCCCACCACTGGTTTTAAGAGGTGAAATAGGTGCCTTAATCCTTGTAGCTGCCCAATACATCTATCGCACCAATTCAAACACTCCAAATCTTGTCCGAAAACAAACCAACCCTATCCCTAACTGTTCTCGCAGTGCATTTCCAAATAAGACAGGGATGAAAAGCCCCCTTAAGCCAGAAAACGTTGCACACTTTTCTCAAAAGCGAAGACTGGTCATTACTCAACGTAGTCAACTTCCCTTTGATGTGATTCCTCTGTTGAGATCATCCCTGAGGTCAAGTGGGATGGAGAGCAGTCAGCCGAAACAGAAAGATCTGAAGGCCTCTAAATATACTCAACGGCATCCGCTTTGACAGCCTCTGGCTCAAAGGGAGTCATGTTTTCATGGAGAAATGAGTGCAGAATTGGGGAGGGAATTGCACAGAATCGCACAGAGTTACCTTCTGGCCTTGTTATCAAGGTATCAGCTGTTCCGATCAGCTCCTGGTAGACCAGTAAATGCTTGAATCCCCAGTTGGGGGTGGTGGGGGAAGCAGCTTTGGCAGCTTGGCTTTAAACCAACGGAATAGGAAGGGGGGGAACCCTGAACAGCTGGAAATAGACAGCTGGATTTCCCATTAGGAGGCACCGAAGAGCTGTCATCGCTTCTCATCAGTGCTGTGAAGGCATAAACCATGCCAGCAGCACACCCTAGACGTGTAGAGCTGATGGGTCTGCAACGCTACAGTTCATAAACCTGGACACTCCTGCATCTGGGGCATTGTCTAAAACCCTCAATATGTTTTTCGCAGCATTTTGAAACCCGTAGAAAACGTTAAAAACATTTTAGAGAAAAGAATGATACTGAGCTCCAGTAGCTCAGTTTTCTTTTAAATTCCCTTTTTTCTTAGTGCAGAGTGCCCTCTTGTGGCCATCTCTTAGGTCACATCAAACTCCAAGGTTTACTGTGCCGTTACTTCGTTAGCTGTCCATAAATTCACCGTCATTATTCTTGAATTACTTTTTATGTACCATGATTGCCTTCTCCCCAGTGAGTGAAGCAAGGTGGCTTATAAAACAAAGCATCAAAACTGCCAATAAAATCTTGAAAGTTGCAACCAGTGTGTGTTAAATCTAAACCTAAAATGAATTGGCCCACAATGAGAAAGGGCTCTTTTAAAAATAATAATAATAATCTTAAAGTACAGTTCTCTATACTTTTAATCGGCCCCTTGAACTCCGTGATCTTATTTATGTATAGAGATGCCCAGGGATGAAAAATGTCTTGAGCCAAACAGTGTGGCACACATTTCTCGAAAAGCGAAGAGGATCACTAAATGAACTGTCGTAAGTCAAGGACTACCTGTGTTGCAAAGCAAAGCTATATGGCTTCTAACATCATCATGATTGCAAGTGGGCCTATGAGTCCACCTAGTATTGCGCGCTTCTAAAAAAAATGGTGAAAGCTTCATTTTTGGAAAGAGGTCTCTCTGGCCATAAAGAAATATAAAATTAAGCTGTGATGCTACAGAGCACACTGGGGCTAAAAAAAACCCTTGCTTTCCAAAAGTATTTGTTTTGCAGTTGGCTGCACCAGCTGTGAAAAGCCTCCACAGGGCAACTTTAGTCCTGGGAATGCAGAGTGACTTTTTAATCACCGTATAAAGATTAGCCATTCGAAGTAGGAGGCACATTTTGACCCAGCTCTTCAGCCAAAACAGGATCCCAAAGCAGCTTGTAAAATGTCTTTTGGAAAGCCAAAGGCTTTATGATTGCAGGCAGCTGAAAACAGCAGGTAAGTGTAAATGCTATGAGCTTACTCTGGGCTAGCCAATCCAGACTCTCTTGATAGCTAGGGAAAGAATGGGTTGCTTTTCAGCGAAATTATCACTGGATGTCTCTCAAAAAGAGAACAAATACTGATTCGTGCCAGAATCTTTGTGTGTGTGTCTGTTTGTCGGTCTGTCTATCTATATCTCTATTCCTCTGCCGATGAACATAATAAAATGTTGATTTGATATGGGTACGCTCAGTGGTGGGATTCAAATAATTTAACAACCGGTTCTCTGCCCTAATGACCAGCTGGGTAGGCATGGTTGTGTGGGCATGGCCAACTCAACATTACTCACGTCGATGGGCGCTTCGCCTTAGCTGTTACAATGTAATAAGGGTTAACCAGAGAGGCAGTTTCTGTAAGCAGGGCAATAAAGATTAGGCTAGAAACACCACCAGATTGTTTCCTTCCTGCCTTCCTTATAGGATTAGTCCTGTAAAGGGAAAAAAGGAGATTTCTTCCAACAACCGGTTCTCCGAACTGCTTAGAAAGTTAACAACCAGTTCTCCCGAATAGGTGCGAACTGGCACCTATTGGGTACACTTCCCTCCTTCTATTCCTCTTCCCTCCCTCCCTCCCTCCCTCCTTCTTTTTCAGTGCACTGCATTGTATATGCCATTTATCTGTGCTCTTTCTATTTTCCTAGGTATGATTCCGATGGTCATTTAACCAATGCAACTTTCCCCACTGGGGAAGTCAGCAGTTTCCATAGTGATGTTGAAAAACTGATGAGAATAGAAATTGATGCTTCAAATAGGGAAAATGTGATTACAGCAACTAACTTTTCAGCTACCTCAACTATTTATACTTTAAAACAAGGTAGGCAAAATGCATCCTCGTTGTTGTTGTTTTTTCCCGTGTTTGATCTCGTAGTTTTAACATTCCTCTGAATATATTTTTCAAAGCCCTGCAACAAAGCAAGGTAGCTCATTATATTGGCTCCTACAGGTTACTCAAAAGATCTGATCAAGCAAGTTCAGAATAATAAGATGACAACTATAGGAAGCCTTGAGATCAGAAGCGTATTTTTTTTCTTTAAAAGCCAGCATAATCCAGTCAAACTTATTCTCTCCAGTGGGAGAGACTGAACCAAGTTGTGTATCACTAAAACTGGCCTCTTTGGAAACTAACTGTGATGACACCACTTTTAAAACAAGAGACATAGAACGTTACAGACCATCAACCTAATGTTTGTCCCAGATAAGCCGAACAAGAGAAAGAATAATAAATTTATGAACAGCAATAGAGGGTAGCTCTACTATAATATCATTAAACTCCCTTTTTATGACCCTGTAATCCCTTAATTCGGGGTAGAGTCAGGGCAACTGGATAGACCTGAGCATTTACTGGCCGAACGCCCTTCCTGATGCCATGCAGAGTTCGCAGCAGATATTTCTTTTCTTTGTACCTTAGGAGAGAAACATCTGCCACTACCTAGGATTGAACCCTCAACCTTCCAAGTAGGAGGTGAGAGTCTTCACCACTAGGCCACCACAACGCTCAGCTCTAAAACATAATATCATTGAATGCCACAAACTAACCTGATACCAAAAACCAGAGTCTACATTTTAACTTTGTTCAAGCCAACTAATATGTAATTCAGTAAACCATGTTTAAACCATGCTTGGCTTGGTTGGACCACCACACCAATTGTGACTACTTTGGCGTTTGTTGATTCCTTTGCATTTTCTCTTATAAAATATAGAATTCTTTATTGGCCAAGTGTGATTGGACACACAAGGAATTTGTCTTCGGTGCATAAGCTCTCAGTGTACGTAAAAGCTATGTGATAAATCATGATCATATAGCTTTACCGATGTCAGACCCCACACAGCTGCCAAGATCCAATGAAAGTGAGAATCCCATAAACTTTGGTGAACTGTCCTTTAATGATAAACTAGGGAATTTCCAAGCCAGCTTGCCTTGCTTGTTTTATTCATTTGCTGATTTATTATTTATTTATGGGATTTGTCGACTGCCATAGGATTCTAGGTAGCTACATAATTTACATGTAAAACCCAATGCAAGTCACTATAATAATTAATTAGAACAGTTGTGTAATTAAATCTCAGTTTAAATGAAGGCTAAAAGTAGTAAGTTAAATGACTTGAATATAGCAATATTGGCTATAATTAATCCCCGAAGGCTTTCTGGATCAGCCATGTTTCCGCATCCAAGCCTTAGGGAGCAATTATTCTAAAGACGTAAAAACTGCTTCAGAGAATAACCACCAGTGGGGGCCATACTTTCTGATTCTTAACTAGCTGGTACTATCTAGTTCTTTGAGTAGGACAAAGAGAAACTATTGTAGAAAAGCAGCTCCTAAGTTATCCATGACTCTTTTGTAACTAGTGCCCAACATCTTAAATTGCCCTCAGAAACCTACCGTGTTTCCCCAAAAATAAGACCCAGTTTTACATTTTTTTGACCACCAAAAAAGGCACCAGGTCTTATTTTGGGGGGATGTCTTCCACTGATTCACCTCGTGGCAGCAGCACAGACAATCCTGCCCAACAGGAGCCCGCTGCCAGCCCACTTCTGTGGCCACTTGCCTCCGCTCAGATGTGTTGCCCCCGGCCTCTGTTTTGCCATCAGAGGCCTTCAGGAAAGGCCTCTGCAGCCAAAAAATGAGCTCTGGATAAATCCAGCAAGGTGAGGCAGGTGTTGGGGTGTGCGAGGCCTGGCTGCACCTGTCTGAAGGTAAGCAGCTCCACCCACCCCCATACCCACCCTCATTTGATTTTTACCCGTGCACCTCGCCCCACCCTGTGAAACCAGGTGCAATGGAGTGGGAGGGTCTTAACTAGGTCTTATTTTGTGGGTAGGGATTATATTGGGTGCACATGTAAAAATCAAGCTAGGGCTTATTTTTGGGATAGGTCTTATTTTTGGGAGAACACGATACTTATAACCAGTACAACTCTTGCAGCAGAGTATACCGTGGCAGTATCTTGACTGGCCTCCAGATGCATTTCTGGACCACCTGAAATGGTCTTCAAGCACAGATCCATATACAGCAAGTTATAATAATTTGTGCTAGAGATGATAGTAAGGGAAGTGGCCTTGATGGAAACATTCAATAACTGTTACCAAAAGGTTTAGGTTTAGGTTTTAGATTTTATTAAATTTGTATACCGCCCTACTCCCGAAGGACTCAGTGAACAGGCACAGGATAAAATACAAAAATACAAAAGTTAAAAACAATTTAAAACCAAATTAAATAATATTGGCCCACGACAATTAAAATCCCAATAAATTTAAAACAAATTAAAATTTCAATTTAAAATTTAAAAGAAAGGGGAGAAAAATTAGGCCAGGCCGGCTTGCTGGAATACGAGGGTCTTAAGAGCACGGCGGAAGGTGCGCAGATCCGGGATCCTCCGTATCTCCGGGGGGAGCTCGTTCCAGATAGTGGTAGTGATAGTGATATCTGCTGAATAAAACTCCACATTGACAACAGGAAGGGCATCCGGCCAGTAAACACTCAGCTCCATTCCATTGCCCAGACTCCATCCCGCAAGGGATTATGGGGTCATTAAAAGAGGATGGTGATTTTTAGTTGTTGTTTTTTTATGTTTGTCATCCTGAGTCACATGCCAAGTGGAATATCCATATTTGTTGTTGTGTGGAAAATAAGAAGAGGTAGGAGTATTATGTATGTTCACCACCTTGAGTTCTTATAAAGTAATAAAGGTGGGATAAAACTCAAATAAATAAACAAAATAAATTTGATTGGGTATCATCTGTGTATTGATGATGCCTCATTCAAAATGGACAGATAATCTCTCCCAAGTTTTGTAGATCTGAATAGGATACGGCAAGGATTGAAACCAGAATAATTCCATACCGAAGATTTTTTAGCGTTATAGACACCACCAATATTTGTGTGCCTGTTTGTGTGTTTTAATGATGAAGCTTAATAATTTGTGGAAATTTGCAAAACTGACAGATTGGACTCACTGTGATCCATATTCCTTTACGATATCACTACAAGATACTCTTCAGCTATTATAATAGTTGCATTTATTTATTTAACAAAACAGTAACATAGCTTTTATTTCAGCTGCGCATAAAAGCCAGAGATTTGGAGGAAGTGGGGGTGTTTCACCCTCAAAGAGGGAGAGAAAGATTTCCAGATGCTACAGAAAGTATTATTTTATTGCATTTCAAATACAAATATTTCCCTGGGGCTTAGAAAATAGAGAGAAAGACAATAAACAGAAAGACAAAACAAAACTTAAAGCTCTTTTATTTGGGAGGGGGAGTGTTTTGCAGTAATTATTCCACACTTCAGTTCCTCTCTGTCATGCTAGTCAATTTTAGTTACATAATAAAATTAAGAACAAATTCAGGGCCCATATGCTAATAAACTCAATTGTCACAGGGTAAAAAGTCTGTTGAATAAAATCTTAACAAATGCCTAATTATAGCCAAGCAACTCAGCATAGATTTTTTTTTGTTTTGTTTTTTTAAAAAACTTGTTTACCAAACATTGATAACTATGTTTTGTTTTTCCAAAAAGTTCTCAAATGGATTTTCTCCATACTAGAGTCTGAGTTTTAAATCCTGTGAAAGCTTCAAGCCTTCGGGTGCTGCTTTTAATGAGCCAGATTGTGATTTTTTTAAAAAAGCAATATTTGCAGCGAGGATGCAGAATTCTTTTCTCCTGCACTTCAGGGTGCAATTGCTCCAGGGTTACAGTTCCCCATCCTGGGCTAAAAAAATATAAGTTGGTACTTTAGCAGCAATTCTAGAGTACAAATTATTTTTTTACAACTGGGGATGACAATTCATTTCCTCTTTTAAGACCATAAGTTTCTTTTTCAACTTCCCACTCTAAGCAAAATTATTTAATGAGTATTCCTCGTTTGCAAATAATAATAATAATAATAATGCAGATGTTAGCAAAAAAAAAAACTAATTTTGCCTCTATGTTTTTAAGCGATTCAGTGCTCATTACAATAAAGAGAACATTGCTATATTATCGTTCTATTGTGGTCCTTCTGAGCTTATATAACTAAGTTTTGTGTGAGTATGTAGAGTGGAATCCATGTTTGTGTGGGATCAAAATATGCAATATGGCAGACTAAGCCCTGCCCCTTAACACGCCTTAATAAAACAATTTATTGCAATCCTGAACTCACTATTCTGTAATGAAGTAATCAAACTACCCTGTTTATTTTATTTTTTATTTTATTTTATTATTCATCTTTCTATGCCGCCCACTCTCCGAGGACTCTGGGCGGCTTACACCAAAGACAGTATACTAAATAGCATATTGCCCCCAACAATCTGGGTCCTCATTTTACCCACTGAGGAAGACTGAGTCAACCTTGAGCCGGTGAGATTTGATCCGCTGATCTGCTGAACTAGCAGTCAGCTGAAGTAGCTGCAGTACTGCACTCTAACCACTGCGCCACCTCGGCTCAAAATAAGACATCCCCTGATAATAAGCCCAATCGGGTTTTTGAGCGCATGGCAATAAGGCCAAGGGTTTACTTCAGCGTTCAAAAAAATATAAGACAGGGTCTTATTTTCGGGGAAACACGGTATAATCAGTAGTCAAACTATATTTTCAATAGCGCTGGGAATTCTTCCCTTTTCAGTGCTATTAGGACCATATCTTCCTTCAGTATTACTGTGGGAAATTCTTTTCTTTGGCATAGAGCAGGGGTATCAAACTCAAGGCCCAGGGGCGAGACCCAGCCTGCAGGGCATTTAAATCTGGCCTGTGGGACCACCCTGGAGACAGTGAAGGACCAGCCCACAGTGCTTCTGCCAGTGAAAATGGATTCCTGAGCTCCGTTTTTGACTGTCAGGGCCTCCTGCAACCGTCTGCCAGTGAAAACAGAGCTCAGGAGGGCCGCATGCGGGAGCCCATTTTCACTGGTAGAGCGCTCAGGCCGCCACAGGTGCCCCTGACAGGAGTGATGTCGAGCTGGCTATGCCCACCCTGGCCACACCCATCCCAGTCCTCGAGGTCAAACACAACCCTGATGCAGCCCTCAATGAAATCGAGATTGACTCCCCTGGTATAGAGGATAATACTAATAAGATATATTGAGGTTTGAATCGGGTGAAATACTCCCGGTTCAGACCGGATCGCCCAATCCGGTAGCGATGGAGGCGGGTGGTTCGGAGAACCGGTAGCAAAAATCCCTGCCCCCCCCCTCAATGCCCAGCTGAGCCACGCGATCATCAGAGGCTTTTTTTCTTTTAAAAGCCTCTGCCGATCAGGCGACTCAGCTTGGATCGTCAGAGGCATTTTTCTTTTAAAAGCCTCTGCCAATCAGGCAACTCAGCTTGGATCATCAGAGGCATTTTTCGCCGAAGAGGTTGTAAAAAAAATGGTTTTAAAAGTAAAAAAAAATAAAAAATAAAATTGGCTACGCCCCACCCAGTCACATTACCCCGCCCCAAGCCACGTCCACAGAACCAGTAGTAACAAATTCACCACTGGTTTAAATGCAGTATCATTGCAACCCCTCCCCCCAAGGTTTCCAGTTGTGGAACCGCTGCAAATGCCATTCCAAGACTAGATCAGTAAAGCCTTCCCGCACACAACTATTAACTCACCAAGATGAAAAGCTGAGCTTTTTCTCCTCTGTTTTGTATGACGACAGACAATATTCAGAATATTTATCGGGTCAGTCCAGACGGGTCCCTCCGAGTCACCTTTGCGAGCGGAATGGAGCTGACGCTGAATGCTGAGACCCACATCCTGGCTGGTGTGGTGAACCCCACCTTAGGAAAATGTAATATCTCCTTGCCTGGGGAGCACAACTCCAACCTTATTGAGTGGAGGCAAAGGAAGGAACAAACTAAAGGCAACATTTCCACTTTTGAAAGAAGGTTACGGGTAAGTTTTCCCACTGAACAGACCTATATTTCTGGCTCATATTGCAAATCTTCCACCACAGTTCTGTTTGCATTGTCAATTTTGTCTTTATGTCTCTTTCAAAATGAGAGCCAGTTTAATGGTATTGGTTATGGTACCAGGCTAAATAAAGTCCCGCCAGAGGCACAAAGTTAGCTAGGGCCAGTCATTCTCTCTCAGCCCTAGAATAATGTAATGGCAAGCCATTTTTTAAAAAATCTTGCTTAGAAACCTGCAGGGCCTGATATAAGCAATTTGCAGAAGTCAAAAACTGACTTGAAGGGACACACACATATTTCAAAACAACGGGTGACATTCTTATAAAGCTAAAAAAAAAAATTTGGCCGGGGGGGGGGGGGGGGGGGGGAATGGACACATTAGAAATTTTGACAGTGAATTATAAGCACTCTTACAAAATGGTTGCCTTAGTGAACAGCTTAATATCAATACCCGGGAAGATACTGGAAAAGATAATTAAAAAACAGATTTTCCAACATTTAGAAATGAGTAAAATACCGTATTTTTTGGAGTATAAGACACACCGGAGTATAAGACGCACCTACCTTTTTTGGTGAGGAAAAGAAGAAAAAGAAATTTCCCTCTGCCTCTGAGCAATTTTGCCTCATTGCAGCAAACAGCAAACAGCCTGCTTTACTTTCATTTTTGTTTTCAGCATAGTTTGATTAGCACAAGGGGGGAAAAAATCTGCTCCAGCAATTTACCTCTTTGCAGCAAGCAGCAGAGCCCTGTGCAAAACAGCTGAGAGCAAATCAGCTGAGAGTCGGGAGGCCGATCCAATCAATGTGTGCTAATTAGGCTGTGCTGAAGCTGAAAGGAGCTGGGTTTTTTTGTTTTGTTTTGTTTTTTTGCTGTTTGCTTGTAAGGAGGTAACTGCTACGAGGCAGAGGCGAAAGGGTGGGGGCCAGTGGGTAGGCGGGGCTACATTCGGTGTATAAGACGCACCTAAATTTTCGTCCCCTTTTGGGGGGGGAAGGTGCATCTTATACTCCAAAAAATACGGTAATAAGCAGTCAGCATGGGTTTGTTAAAAACAGATCATGCCAAACAATCTTATTTCATTCTTCAACATAGTGACTAAATTAGTAGACCAGTGAAATACTGTGGACATAATATACTTAGACTTCAGCAAGGCATTTGACAAAGTAGATCGCAACCTGCTTCTTTGTAAGCTAGAAAAAGTGGGATAGCTAGCATCACCACCAGATGGATTCACAACTGGCTGACAAACCATACTCAACAAGTAGTCCTTAATGGGTCTACGTCTACACGGAGGGAAGTAAACAGTGGGGTACCACAAGGTCCCGTCAGTACTCTTCAATATCTTCATAAACTACTTAGATGAGGGAATAGAAGGGGAATTTACCAAATTTGCAGATGACACTAAACTGGCAGAAATAGCTAACGCCCTGGATATTAGGCTCAAGATCCAGATGGAACTTGACAGACTGGGCCTTACCTAACAAAATGAAACTCAATGTAGAGAAAAGTAACGTTTTACACTTAGGCAAGAAAAACCAAAGTACACATATAGACTGGGTGAAACCAGGCTTAATAGCAGTAACTGTGAGTGGGACCTTGGAGTCTTAGTGGACAACCAGTTAAAAATGAGCCAGAAATGTGCAGCGGCAGCCAAAAAAGTCAATGCAATCCTAAATTGCATTAACAGAGGGATGCAATCAAGATCAAGTGAGGTACTAATACCACACTATAAAGCCTTAGTAAGGCCACACCTAGAATATTGCATCCAATTTTGGTCACCACATTATAAAAAAGATGTTGAGACTCTAGAGAAAGCGCAGAGAAGAGCAACCAGAATGATTAAGGGACTGGAGGCTAAAACATATGATGAACGGTTGCAGGAACTGGGCATGTCTAGTCTAGTGAAAAGAAGAACCAGGGGAGACATGATAGCAGTCTTCCAATATTGGAGGAGCTGCCACAGAGAGGAAGGTGTCAAGCTATTTTCAACCTGGCTAGATTCAATCTGGATATAAGGAGAAATTTTCTGACATTGAGAGCAATTATCCAATGGAACAGAAGTTGCCTTCGGAAGTTGTGGGCATTTCATCACTGGATGCTTTTAAGAAGAGATTGGACTGAAATGGTGTAGGGTCTCCTGCTTGGGTGAGGGGTTGGACTAGATGACCTGCAAAGTCCCTTCCAACTCTGTTTATCTGAAACTATTCTGTAACATTTGGCTTTTTACAAAATAGAGGAGGGAGTATCCAGCTAGAAACTTTTCAAAAATGGCTAACCTAATGAGAAATAAAGTCATTGCTGTGACCATGGATTGGAACAGCACGATGTAACATCAAAAGAAAAATAATAGCGAGGAAAAGAAATACAGCCTGCATATCAGGAGGTGTGATATTCAAAAAAATTAAATTAAAACCTGTGCTATAATTTTGAACATAAAGAGGTTCTTTTTTAATTTAAAAGAGAGCATAGCAAAATAACAAACTGCCTGCTAATATAGATAGTCCTTGCTTAATAATTGATCACCATTCAAATTACAACTGTCCCCTTCCAATATATTACCAATAGCACTTAGACCTATATACCGCTTCACAGTGCTTTTACAGCCCTCTCTAAGCACTTTACAGAGTCAGTCTATTGCCCTCAACAATTGGGGTCCTCATTTTACCGACATTGAAAGTTTGGAAGGCTGAGTCAACCTTCAGCCGGTCAAGATCGAACTCCCGACAGAGTGCAGAATTAGCCTGCAATCCTGCATTCTAATCACTGCGCCACCATGACTCTTATGACTTACAACTCCTTGGAGTTACCACCACTGTACAAACACACACACACAGTCATTCCATCGTATTTCATGCACTTGGCAACCATCTTGCCTTTACGACTATTTGTTGAGATCTATGGTCACTTTACTGCGATTTGTGATTATTTTTGCCGATGGTGACCTACTGTGGGTGTTACAGATTCTTTTAATTATGAGCTATTTTAAGGCAGCAGATAGACCAAGTTGGTCTCTGAAGATGAGAGGTACACTGCTGTGTTTCACATCGTTCAAGGCTTTAATTACAAGCCTTTCAGTCTCCGTATTTCCAATGGTATTTCCAATCTCCGTGTTTTACTTGAAAACAAGTAAACAGAAGAGGAAGACGAACCAAGCTATTTATGATAAGCACAGCTGGAAGGCTGCCTGAAGTTCAGTTTTCATCACCACGATTCCTGAGAAGACCCAACCTTCTGTAATGAAGAAAAAGATGGATCTTCCTATGTTTTAACTTAGTTATAAAGATTTGGCTACGGTCATCTGTGCCGCAAAAGGTCAAATACTAAGTTGTTTGGATTTTTTGTTGTTGTTGTTGTTGTTTTGCATTACAGAAAGGTTGTCCTGCCTTATATAGACAGCTTCTTAAAGGGCATAACTGCTGACTCATCCTCAGTCTTAAAGAGTTGGTCAGCTTTAAATCATCATTACCCTGACAACAAAGTGTAAGGGTCTGCCTTTCCTCTTCATTTAAGAAAGTAAAACTTTTGAAACAATTAACATTTCAAAAGGAACCTTTTATTGAAAGAAAGGGATTGCAGCAGGATCTGAGGTTCCCCGTGCAATTCACTTAGGACAAAGCAGTTAGAGACCCCGCTCCTCAGTCCGGCATTGAGTAAGCCAATAAGCCAGGTGTGAAGTTGTTTTGAGAACCGCAGGCTGAAAAGGATATAAGAAGAAAAGGATATATTAACCTCCCAACTTGTCAGATTAGTTTGGAGACAACTGGCCTGATTTATAGGTAGTCCTCAATTTGTTTAGTGACTGTACGAAGTCACAATGGCACAGGAAAAAAGTAACGTATAGCTGGTCCACACACTTAAAACCTTACAACACACTTAACAACCTTAACAACTGGAGGCTTTCAAGAAGAGGCTGAACTGCCATTTGTCAGAAATGATATAGGGTCTCCTGCTTGGGCAGAGGTTGGACTAGATGACCTACAAGGTCCCTTCCAACTCTGTTAATCTGTATCTAAGTTGTTCTGAGGCATCTCTTGCTGGAGGCTTCGGAACTGAGACAAAACAGATGGCCCTCCCCCCACTTACATTCCCAAGAAGGTAAATCAAAGTACAGGATGCATAAGCATCAGGAAAAAGGTTATGAACTAAGGAATGTACCCAGGCCAGGAGTGAAATCCAGCAGGTTCTGACAGGTTCTGGAGAACCGGTAGCGGAAATTTTGAGCAGTTTGGAGAACCAGTAGCAGAAATTTTGATTAGTTCGGAGAACCGGTAGCGGAAATTTTGAGCAGTTTGGAGAACCGGTAGCGGAAATTTTGAGCAGTTCGGAGAACTGGCAAATACCACCTCTGGCTGGCCCCAGAGTGGGGTGGGAATGGAGATTTTGCAATATCCTTCCCCCAGGAGTGGGGAGGAAATGGAGATTTTGCAGTATCCTTCCCCTGCCATGCCCACCAAGCCACGCCCATCAAGCCACACCACACCCACCAAGTCACGTCCACAGAACCAGTAGTAAAAAAATGTGGATTTCACCACTGACCCAGACCGTCTCCCCACCAGAATGGCAGCACCCCGATAGGGATCTATGGGGCCTGACCCAAAGAGAGCCATGAAATTTAAGGAGTGATTAAGGGGCTGAGAGAGTGTTTTGCATACTGTGAGGGCTGCCATACAGGCAAGAAGGAAATCTTGCACTTGGCTGTGGTTCAGACTTTATTTCAGGCCAATAAACAACTCGTCTCTCCTTCAAGATGGGATTTTGCCTGTCTTAGGAGTTCATTTCCAAAGCCACTTTTGGTCTCTCCAGTCCTGCATTTACACAGAATGATCTGCTGTCATTGTATCAGGTTGGCCTTTATGGCTTTCATTCAACAGGAGTATTAACAGATCCCTCTGGCAGGTGAGTCAATACTTCTTTCCCCCTCAACTCTCCTTAATTAACAGACTTGGGGTTTAAAAGCGAAGACGTCAATAAACTTACAGGGTGAAGAAACGCTGTAGGAAATCTGTTTTCAATTTGACGGAACTGCTCCTCGGGGAGGTCTTGATTAACAGGGTGCATTCAAACTAATGATCTTTTTAAAAAAAAATGGCCTACAAACAGGGTAATCATTATAGATCTGTCAAATTTGATGGAAAATGGGAGAACAGAATATTCCAAGACTTTCTTCAAGCTACCACAGCAGATGGACAACAACCGTGGCTTGAGAATCCTAAGAAGGGTCACACCCAGTGATGGGATTCAGCCGGTTCGGTCCAGTTCAGGAGAACCGGTTGTTAAATTGCTAGCTGGCCCGAGTCTCCCCGCCCCGCCCCGACTTCCAGGAGTCCCCACGCGGCTCATTTTGGCTCCCAGGTAAGTGCAGGGAGGCCTACTAGGCCCAAAAGGAGCATGGGGGAGGGGGGCAGCATGTCCCCCGACGGCCCATTTTTGCTCCCCGGAGGCTGCAGGGAGGCCTTCTAAGGCCAAAATGGGGCACAGGGGTTGTGGCACCCTCCCCCACGCCCCGTGGCCCGTTTTTGCTCCTGGGGGGGGTGCAGGAAACTGAGTGCTGCCTATCACACCCCATGACCACACCCACCATGGCCACGCCCACCCAGCCAGTCATTAGGGGAGAGAACCAGTTGTTAAATTATTTGAATCCCACCACTGGTCAGACTTGATTAGTAGTTGGTTCGGAGGCATACGGAAACCTTGCAGTTTTAAGATAGATCAAGAAGCAAAAGCCAAAACAAACAAACAAACAAAAAACATCCTGTAAGAAGATAATAGCAAATCACTTCCATATAATTGTCAACAAAATTACAAAGACATCTCCATGAAGTCACTAGGAATCAAGCTTGATTTGTCGTATTCCATTCCATTCATTTCTTTTACTGAGATTGTCATATTGAGTCCGAGTGGAGACTTGGGTTCATCCATCATTTGGAACCAAGTTTAATTTGACCAGTTTAGAATGGAATTGAATATGGAATAATGAATGGAATATGGAGGCAGTGGTGGGATTCAGCCGGTTCGCACCACTTCGGGAGAACCGGTTGTTAACTTTCTGAGCAGTTTGGCAAACTGGTTGTTGGAAGAAATCATTAGGGCAGAGAACCGGTTGTTAAATTACTTGAATCCCACCACTGATGGAATGGAATGGAATATGGAATGGAATGGAATGGATATGGAATATGGAATATGGAATATGGAATATGGAATGGAATGGATATGGAATGGAATGGAATATGGAAGGGAAGGGAAAGGAATGGAATGGAATGGAATATGGAAGGGAAGGGAAGGGAATATGGAATGGAATGGAATATGGAATGAAATATGGGATGGAATTAGGAAGGGAATAGAATGGAATACTTTATTTGGCTAAATGTTATTAGAGACGGGAGGAATTAGTTTCCAGTGCAGAAGCTCTCAGTGTATATGCAAAACAACAGAGTAATAATAATAATAATAATAATAATAATAATAATAATAATAGGGAGTAGTAAAGAAGGTAAGAAGCATAATAATACTACAGTGATACAATGTGGGTAAATATACTTAGACATAAGACAGTATAGAGAATTAGGTGTTCAGCAGAATGATGGCATGAGGGGAAAAACTGTCCCTGTGTCTAGTTATTTTGGCATGCAATGCCTTACAAAGGCATCCCAAGGGGAGAAGTTGAAGTTGAAACCTCTATAATTCTGTAACCAATTTTTCCTTGTGGTCATTGCAGCAGCACAGAATTTTGCCATTGCACACGTGTTAACCGGGTTTGAGTCCCGGAACTTATGTGCCATGCCTTTCTTCTTATGTTCTTTAGGCTCACAACAGGAACTTGTTGTCCATTGATTTTGACCACTTAACAAGAACAGGGAAGATCTACGATGACCATCGCAAGTTCACCCTTCGGATCCTCTATGACCAGGCAGGCCGTCCAATTCTTTGGTCGCCCATCAATAAATACAATGAAGTGAACATCACTTACTCCCATTCCGGATTAGTAACATACATCCAGAGAGGAACCTGGACTGAAAAAATGGAGTATGATCCAAATGGGAAGATTATCTCCAGAACATGGGCGGATGGCAAAATATGGAGCTACACCTATCTAGAAAAGGTTATTAATTGTTGTAACTGGGGAGGAGTAGAGAATGGAACGATAGCATTTTTGTGTGTTGATTAAGTCAAATGGTGGGGTTGTTCCAGAGGTGAAATCCAGCAGGTTCTGACAGGTTCTGGAGAACCGGTAGCGGAAATTTTGAGTAGTTCGGAGAACTGGCAAAATACCACATCTGGCTGGCTCCAGAGTGGGGTGGGAATGGGAATTTTGCAGTATCCTTCCCCTGCCATGCCCACCAAGCCACGCCCACCAAGCCACACCACGGCCACAAAGACACGCCCACAGAACCGGTAGTAAAAAAAATTGAATTCCACCGCTGAGTTGTTCTCTCCTTTTAGAAGTACTAATGAAATGGTTATTGAAAGGCAGAAAGTAGAGAAGGTTTAATTGTCGACATCTTGGTTTAAAATGATCAGGCGATGGGAAAAGACCATTCTTTAAGATCACAGAGACCTTTTCCCAGTTAGGATTTCCATCAGCCTACAAAACAAGTATATTTAAATGTTTATGGAAATTCTCAGTCATCCAGGTCATAGTTTTCCCAAAGGTGCTTTTTCAAAACGCAACTGTTGTGGTCCACCAGCAGCCTGCGGAGCTGGCAACAGAGTCGGACAGTGAGGAGGCTGGGGAGGAACATGAGCCAGTCCTGGAATCTGGGGAAGACTTGGACGAGGGCTTTGTGTCGGAGGCAGAGAAAGGGCCATCTGGGAGGTACATACTGCCTCCGGAGCCTCCAGAGTCAGACCTCAGTAAGGCAGAGGAACAGGGGGAGTCTGTTCCCAGTGCGCGCATGCGCAAAGCTGCCAGAAGGCAAGAATAGTTTAAAAAAAAAGGGACAATTTAGGAGTAGGGCTTGGAGATGATTGCCCCCCCCCATAAGACTTAAAAGAGGAGCAAAGGCACGTGGGCCTTTGCAGGAAGCAACATTGTTAATTCTGTGCAATTTAAGGAATGAAGCTCTGTTTGATTCTGGACTCCATGTGGCTTTGTCAATTAGGTCTTTGGCAGAGTGTCAAGGGAGATAATGGTGGGTGATTATCAGCCTTATCCCGAAGGACTCTTTACAACTATTTAGGATTCATCTGTGAATGAACAGAATTCACAGCTGTTAAAATAAAACAGGTTTTTGGGACTACTCGTGTGTTTTACTGACTCAGGAAGCCTAGCTCAGAACAGCAACTGGATTTTCTTTGTCCTTGAAGACATTTCACGTCTCATCCAAGAAGCTTATTCATTTCTGACTGAAGAATCTTTGTTGGATGAGAAGCAAAACATTGTCAAGAAAAAACGAAGTCCAGTTGCCTTTTTGAAAAAGCATCTTTGGGACAGGAATATTTAAAGCTACAGTTCCACCATATTTGGAAGATCCAGACTGGGATAGGTGGACACATTATTTACAATTGAAGCAATTCTTAGAAAAAAAGATACTCTCAACTACATGCAATCTATAAATAAGCCATCAATATCCTGTAAACTCCAATATGATGTTTTGGTTATCACCTTTAGAGCGCTTCATGGTTTAGGACCTGGTTATTTATGGGACCGCCTGCTACCATTAATAGCCTCCCACCAGCCAGTGGGGCTTCTTCGAGTGCCATCGGCCAAACAATGTCAACTGGCGGCCCCCAGGGGGAGAGCCTTCTCTGTGGGGGGACCTACTATCTGGAATGAGCTCCCCCCGGAGATACGGATGATCTGCGCATCTTCCGTCGCGCTCTCAAGACTTTTTTATTCCATCAAGCCGGCCTGGCCTAAATCTTTCCTCTTTAAAATGTAAATTTTAATTTGTTTTTAAAATTATTGGGTGTTTTAAATTTGTCTTGGCCAAATTGTTTAATTCGGTTTTATTTTGTTTTTAAATTTTGTATTTATGTGTTTTATTCTGTGGCTGTTCATCGCCCTGAGTCCTTCAGGAGTAAGGCGGTATACAAATCCAATAAATGAAATGAAAAAATGAAAATGAAATGTTCTCCCATATTCTCCTGGGAATATGATCACCCTGAGACCTCTTGATATATTCAATGAAATGTCTTACTTCAGTCTAGTTCCTTATCCTCTCTACACAACCTAAAAAAATGTATTTGTGTGCCTTCTTGAAGCTAATCCCCTGGTTGAAATGGCGTTTGCAGTGTAGGTACCCTGATTTCCAGGGTCCCTGGAAAGGCTTATTTCCTAACGTTTTTGATTTTTTTTTTCCTTTCAGTCTGTGATGCTTCTTCTGCATAGTCAGCGCCGCTACATCTTTGAACATGACCAATCGGATTACCTGCTGTCTGTCACCATGCCAAGCATGGTCCGACACAGTTTTCAAACCATGCTCTCTGTTGGCTACTATCGAAATCTTTACTCTCCGCCAGACAGCAGTGCCTCCTTCGTCCAGGACTTTTCCAAAGATGGTCGGCTCTTGCAATCTTTCTATCCAGGAACAGGCCGCCGAGTTCTTTACCAATATACACCACAGTCCAAGCTCTCCGAGATCCTTTACGATACCACACAGGTCTCCTTTACTTATGAAGAATCATCTGGCGTTATTAAAACCATACACTTGATGCATGATGGATTTATTTGCACCATCAGATACAGGCAAACAGGTGGGTTAAGATTAGGTTCCTACTAGGTTTCACTTGTTCTTGGCAACTATTCACCATTCTCATGAAGACCTTCTACCGTGAGGTTCAACTTTTCTATTATACAAAGACGCTATTTAAAGCTTTTGGATAAATCTGTTCTGGATTCCAGAAGGATGTAGTTGTCCAGTAAACCTTTTTATTTGTTAGAGTGACTAAGTAAACAAATAACATAACGATAGTCTCCGGTACATATAGTCCCTGATGCAGTGTTGGAATTCAGCCAGTTTGGGCTGATTCGGGCCAGTTCAGGCGAACCGGTTGTTAAATTGCTGGCTGGCCATGCCCAGCCCCTTCCAGGAGTCCCCACGAACCCCATTTTGGCTCCGAGGTAAGTGCAGGGAGGCCTACTAGGCCCAAAACGTGCCCCATTTTTGCTCCCAGGAGGCTGCAGAGAAAACGGTACCCGGGGTGTGTGGTGCGGGCCCCCGCAACCAGTTTTTGCTCCCAGAAGGCTACAGAGAGGCCTACTGGGCCCAAAACGGGGCACGGGAGTGGGCGGCGTGCCCCCCCCCACAGGCCATTTTGGGCCTAGTAGGTCTCTCTGCAGCCTCCTGGGAGCAAAAACAGGCCGTGGGGGGGCACATCCCCCGCGACTCATTTTTGCTCTCACGGGGGTGCAGGAAGCCGAGGGCTGCCTGACACACCCCATGGCCACGCCCACCATGGCCACGCCCACCCAGCCAGTTATTAGGGCAGAGAACTGGTTGTTAAATTATTTGAATCCCACCACTGCCCTGATGTCTTCTGGTTTGCCAGATCTTTGGACAACAACCTAAAGAATTTAATTTTGTAATGGGATAGGATTGGAAAATTATAGTGAAGCAATATTAGATGTATGTAAGTAGCTTAAAAAGATGTGTGTTTTTAATTTTTATTATAGCAGTGTCGTAGTATTTCAGAATTAAAATTCCAGAATTAAGAATGGTGACTGGAATTCTGTATGGCTAGAAGGTAGTTTAAGATATATGTTGCAATGTACATCCTGCTATCTCACAAACCTATAAATTATGCAATAATGGCATCCATCAAATTTAGTATAGGTTTGTTTGGGTAAGATACGGTTTAAACTGTATAATTTTAAAGCTAAAATACCTTTAAAAAGGTATTTTAATCTTCATCTGAGAAGATGAAGATTATGATAGTGTGTTGGATAGAATATGGTAGTACTGCCTCTTGTGTGGCACAATCATTTCATATAATATCACTAAGAAATGCTTCCAAGAATATATGTAATATATATTAACTCTGACATAGTTAATAATTACATTCTAAGTAATAATTCCAAAATCTATAGTGTCTTAACAAAGGTGTCCACTCCCCACAAAATGAACAACTTTTAAATGGTCTGAAGAACTTGAAAGTTTCCTGACAATTGTGTGGGTTTTTAATTCGGCATAATAAAGATACATCTTTATGATAATTTTTGAGACCTTTTTTCTCCTAGTGGATTCCCCTGGTTGCTAACTTGTTGGTTACCTAAATGTATGTGCCTCCCCCAGTATCCTTGGGCAGCTTTCTCTTCTTAACTACCCATTTTACTTTTTATCTATAGGACCACTAATTGGCCGACAGATATTCAGATTTAGTGAAGAAGGGCTCGTGAATGCCAGATTTGATTACAGCTACAACAACTTTCGGGTAACCAGCATGCAAGCAATGATCAATGAAACTCCACTCCCTATCGATCTGTACCGTTACGTAGACGTGTCTGGGAAAACAGAACAATTTGGGAAATTCAGCGTAATCAATTATGACTTAAATCAAGTGATTACCACCACCATGATGAAGCATACCAAAATTTTCAGTGCCAACGGCCAAGTGATAGAAGTGCAATATGAAATTCTGAAATTCATTGCCTACTGGATGACCATTCAGTATGACAACATGGGACGTATGGTGATATGTGACATCCGAGTAGGAGTAAACGCCAACATCACAAGGTACTTTTATGAATACGATGCTGATGGACAACTTCAGACTGTCTCTGTGAACGACAAAACTCAATGGCGCTACAGCTATGACCTCAATGGAAATATCAACTTACTCAGCCATGGGAACAGTGCACGGCTCACTCCTTTGAGGTACGACCTTCGGGACCGCATCACAAGGCTAGGAGATCTTCAGTACAAGGTGGATGAAGATGGCTTCCTTAAACAAAGAGGGAATGACATTTTTGAGTACAACTCCAATGGTTTCCTGAGCAGAGCTTACAACAGGGTTTCTGGTTGGACAGTCCAGTTTTGCTATGATGGTTTGGGACGACGAGTGGCCAGCAAGTCAAATCTAGGTCAACACTTACAGTTCTTCTACGCAGATCTCTCCAATCCAGTAAGAATTACTCACTTGTACAACCACAGTAGCTCAGAAATCACATCCCTTTATTACGATCTCCAGGGTCACTTGATAGCTATGGAGTTAAGCAGTGGCGAAGAGTACTATGTGGCTTGTGACAACACAGGGACACCCTTAGCTGTCTTCAGCAGCCGAGGGCAAGTGATCAAAGAAATCCTTTACACGCCTTACGGTGAGATCTATCAGGATACCAACCCAGATTTTGAAGTTGTTATCGGTTTTCATGGTGGGCTGTATAATTCTTTGACTAAGTTGGTGCACTTGGGACAAAGAGATTATGATGTCATTGCTGGACGTTGGACAAGCCCAAACCATCGCATCTGGGAAGAACTGAAGAATGTCCCCAAACCATTTAATCTGTACGCATTTGAAAATAATTATCCAGCTGGCCAAATACAAGATGTGGCGAAATATACTACAGGTAAGACATGACTTAATTTTCTGGCTATTCATTTGGTTAAACTGAGGTTAATGAACTTCATTGTAGATTTCTGTAGACTGGCTATAGAGAGATTCAATTGTCCATGAAGCTTGTTGGATAAGAAGCAAAACGTCTTCAAAGAAAAATCAGAAAGCCGGGTTGCCTCTTGAAAAAAGCACCTTTGGGATTTCTGTACACTGATCGAAGTGGATCTTCTCTGAATCTTTTTGTTTCATACTTATATAAGTCACTTTTTCCCCTAAGGAGAACAAATCAGTTATCCATGCTGTTCTCATATGATAGTCATATGCACTGGGTTAGACTAGAAGAATGTTGCGTGCTCAATTGTATTCAGTTCCATTACTCAACTAGATGGCATCATCGGTGCTAACATCTGCTTGAAAATCATCAAACTCGGAGAGCCCACAGTTCGATCCTGAGCTACAAATGTTCAACCCTGAGCTACGCTGCACCAGAAAGAATGCAAAGAGCAACTAAGATGATTAGGGGACTGGAGGCTAAAACATATGATGAATGGTTGCAGGAACTGGGCATGGCTAGAGAAGAGAAGGACCAGGGGAGACAGGATAGCAGTCTTCCAATATTTGAGGGGCTGCTACAGAGAGGAAGGGGTCAAGCTATCTTCCAAAGCATGGAAGGCCAGACAAGGAATAATGGATGGAAACTGAACAAGGAGAGATTCAACCTGGAAATAAGGAGAAATTTTCTGACAGTGAGATCAATCAACCCATGGAACAGAAGCTGCCTTCAGAAGTTGTGGGATCTTCATCACTGGAAGCTTTCAAGAAGAGACTGGACTGCCATCTGTCAGAAATGGTGTAGGGTCTCCTGCTTTGGCGGGGAGTTGGACTAGATGACCTACAAGGTCCCTTCCAACTCTGTTAATTTGTATCTGTAAATATTCATTGGTTCTTAAAACATATCAGCAAACACATAAGTCTATAAAATATACTTTAAAACCCTGAAATCTCATGAGTTTCCTGGGATATTTTGCATTCTCACCTGAAGCCTGGTGAGATATATCCATGTTAAAAAAATTAATATAATTTGGAAAGGGTCAATTTATTGAGTAATGGTTATCTGGAGCCTAAAGAGGCTCTTTCCAGGGTCTCAACATCTTGATCTTGGTGACCAAAACTGGAGCAGGTATTCCCAGTGTGGTCTCACCAGCATGATATAAAGTGGTACGATCACTTCTTGTCCTTTCTTGGCACTGTCCTTCCATTGACGACTATGATTGCAGTGGTTTTTTGGGCAGTTACAGCACACTGCTGGCTCATATTTAAGCGGTGATCCGCTAGGACAGTGATGGCGAACCTTTTCGGCACCGAGTGCCCATACTAGAACACACGTATGCCAGAGCGCTGGAAATCCAAAGATCAGCTGGCCGGTGCACATGCACCTGGTTTTTGGGCACACGCCGGCCAGTTGGTCTTTCCATGCGCCGAAGCGCCAGAAACCCGAAGACAGCTGGCCGGTGTGCATGCACCTGGTCTTTGGGCGTGCGCCAGCCAGCTGGTCTTCATGTACGCTGGAGCACAGGAAGCCCGAAGATCAGCTGGCTGGTGCCGCATGCACACTGGCCAGATGGCCTTCGGGTTTCTGGTGCACACGAAGACCAGCTGACCAGTGCACATGAGTGCGCAGGAAATCAGAAGACCAGCCGGCGATGGCACGCATACCATAAGTTCGCCATCACGGCACTAGGACATATAAATTCCTTTCACAGTTACTTCTGTTGAGCCAAGTACCACCTATTCTATTCCTATGTGTTTGATTTTTCCTGCCTAAGTGCAGAATGTAAGATGAGGTGAAAAAGAAGACATTTGCTTACAGTTTCATCCTTTGCATATTATCTGGCTGTAGATCAGAGGAGTCCAATCTTGGCACCTTTAAGGCTTGTGGACTTCAACTCCCAGAATTCCCCAGCCCCCACGGAATTCTGGGAGTTGAAGTCCACAAGTCTTAAAATGGCCAAGGTCGGAGACCCTACCTGTAGATCTTATTCAATTCAGTTAGTGCTGATCAAGACAGGTAGAGCGTGGGGGTATTTCAGCAGGGACGGGAGTGGCTGTTGAAGATTTTTAGGATCGTTGAGAAATTCCACTACTTCCTTTCCTCTTACGAAGGAGCTGAAATGGAAAGTAGGTAGCCCTGCCGTTTTCCAACTGAGAAGCAATCTTCTCCCTTTCTTTTCTAATAAAAGCCTCCTGCAGAATTAATAAAAGCACAGCACAAGAGTTGGAGCCGCCAGACTAATTATTTAGAAGTCATGATCCCAAAGGAAGAAGAGGTGAAGAAGGAAGATGAAAACAAATGTACCTGCACTTTTCTTAAAAAGTTTAAATAGTCGTGATGTCCTGCTGTACTTTTTAAATATTTTATCAACGTTACATAATTTAAAGAAGCAAGCAAAGGAAGAAATTGTACAGCGCAGGACGTATTCCATCCTTAGTACAGGTGAGGACAATTATTACAGGGGAGAGCTGCAGTTACGATGTGGGGGAATAGCCCTGGGAGACAATGAGGAAAGCAGCAGGCAGGGGAACAGGTAAGAGGCAGATGTGCCCACAGCAGGAATAGGACATGGCAAACATCTCAAAAGGGACCTTCCCTAGTTTTTTTACTATAAAGGTGAGGGGGAAGAAACATTCTTTCAGACCTGAAAGGTTCTGTTAAGGTAACTTTACGTTAAAGTAGAATTAGTTCATCTGTCAACAATCAACCAATGGAACAGAAGTTGCCTTCGGAAGTTGTGGGAGCTTCATCACTGGAGGCTTTCAAGAAGAGACTGGACTGCCATCTGTCAGAAGTGGTGTAGGGCAATGTTGGTGAACCTTTTTGGCACTGAGTGCTGAAATGGGAGTTCGTGCACGTATGGGAGAGACCGGAAGACCAGCTCCCTGGCGCACGCACACGGGAGCACCGAAAATCAGAAGAGGAGCTTCCTGGCGCGCATGTGCGGGAACACCGGAAGAGGAGCTGACCTTCTGGTTTCCAGCATGTACATGTGCACCGGTCACCTGGTTTTCTGGTTTCTGGCACACATGTGCACACGAAGACCAGCTAGCCAGCACGCATGTGCACTGGAACCCGGAACAGCAACAAGCAACGTCTGGCGTGCCTGGAGAGATGGCCCTGTGTGCCACTTCTGGCACGTGTGCTATAGGTTCGCCATCACAGGTGTAGGGTCTCCTGCTTGGGTGGGGGGTTGGACTAGATGACCTACAAGGTCCCTTCCAACTCTGTTAATCTGGGCATGCTTCCTAACTGGACTACCTCACAAGGCTGATTACTGCTGCCCACTCTTCCAAACATTTCTAGTCGGATTTTTCTCACTCCCCTCACTTCCCAAACAGAAATATTTAAGAGACTTTTAATATTTGGGAAAGTTTGTTTCACCACAGTGTTTCCAGTATACGGGTTTCGTAGAGATCTTAATCAAAGAAGATGCTTTTTTAATGTTTAGAAATTCTTTGCTGTTATCTGCTGTTATTTGTCCTCTTCTTGGTTTCCTTGATAGATATCGGAAGTTGGCTTGAACTGTTTGGGTTTCAGCTTCACAATGTGCTTCCTGGGTTCCCAAAGCCAGAGATGGACGCTGTGGACACAACCTATGAGCTTCTGCAGCTTCAAACCAAGACCCAAGAGTGGGATCCTGGAAAGGTAGGCCAAAGACTTCTGAAGAAATTAAGTTGGAGAAAGCTGATGACACCCAATGATAGGAGTAATAATATCACAAACGGGAGAGGGAATTTACAGGGCAAATACAAATCTGTGCACAAATCACATAGAGCTCTTTGTAGTCTTATAAAGCCAGAGTATTTCAGCAAAATGGAGAAGGTCGATTTTGTGGTTGGTGTTTCTCTGATGGAGAAAGGGTCTTAGCTGATGTCCCTTTCTTTGAGTGGGTTATTGATAGCAATAGCAACAGCCCTGGAAGGCTGAGTCAATCTTGAGCCGGTCAGGATTGAACTGCTGACAGTGGGCAGAATTAGCTTGCGATACTGCATTTTAACTACAGGGAGGGAGGGAAGGAAGGGCAATACCAATAGCAGGTAGACTTATATACCATTTCACAGTGCTTTACAGCCCTCTCTAAGCAGTTTACAGAGTCAGCATATTGGGTCCTCAGGGTCCTCATTTTACTGACCTTGGAAGGATTGAACCTTTTGCTGGTCAGGATTGAACTGCCGAAATGCTGGCAATCGGTAGAATTAGCCTGCAATACTGCATTCTAACCACTGCGCCACCACGGCTCTAGGTGTAGGAGATGACCAGGCTGAGCTCAAGAGAGGGATCAAATGTGTCATCAGTCCCCTCGCACCCACAAGACATCTAAGTTCAGCCTGTCGAAGCGTGAATCAGCCTCATTCCCCCCCTGGGGAAACTGTAATTAATTAGAGGTGAATGGATTTTGTTTTCCATGCTGTATACTTTCAAAGAAAGAAAACCCGAATGTATTCTAAGAAACATTTTATTATAAAACTAGCTAACTACATTTTTACTGGCAGTTATCTCAGAGACGAACAAAAAAAGTAGAAATCAGGAAGTTAGAAAAGAAAGAATGTAGACATGTGCAGTAGCTCAGAAATCACAAGACAATCTTATCTCAGTTGCTACAGATAAATTCTCTGGCAGACTACCGTACTGCTCAGAATGGAAGCTCAGCTGGCAAACACTTAACGCAGTGACACAGCCCACCTTGAATTCCTTCTATCTGTAACTATCACCAATTTCCTTTGTCTGTTAGTAGTTCAGATTCTTGTCGAGAGCGTAATCTTGCAATAAATCTTTATGCCCACTTGAACTGCCTGGGTCTCCTGATTTCCCTGGTGCTTGACAATTGATTAGGGATGGAAGCATGCAAAGATTCTGTGAATATAGTGTGTGGAATCCAGCAGGGCACTGCTTATCTTCCTTCCTTCCTTCCTTCCTTCCTTCCTTCCTTCCTTCCTTCCTTCCTTCCTTCCTTCCTTCCTTCCTTCCCTCCCTCCCTCCCTCCCTCCCTCCCTCCCTTTAAAACTTAATAGCACAACCAACCTAAACATAGTCCAAGTGCTCAGAGACACAATCTGTACCTTCCAACCTGTAAGAAATGTAATACATAATTAATAATTGTAACCCCGTTTCTTCCAACCTGAAATATAGGAGGCAGAAGATTGCCTTGAGCGACAGTGGGGCATTTTAAAATGTTTTAATCACATTCATACCAAACAAACCTTAAGTCAGGAATGGCCATCATCGGTAATTGGAAGGGGACACTCATTCTCAAGCACAGCTTCACTAAAATCTACAATTTCTGCATTATTTGCAGGAAATAATTCTCCTCCACTGTACAAAATGTTAAGTACCGGTAAGTGCAGACCAAGAAGTTCCATATCCAGTCAATAAAGTGACGGAGGGACAGATTTTAAGATCAGTTGTTCAGTTCTGGAAACTCACAAATATATCTCAAAGAGCAGGCATCTGGAAACGAGACTTCCAGTGCAATTTTGTTTTCTCATTTCATCAGTCTTGCAGAATCTGCATCCACATCCACACTCTCAAACTGTTACTCATGACAACTTTCCTGCACCAATGTTTGGAAATTCCCAGGCAGGGAATTCAATGAAAAGTTTGTATTGTGTTGTGTTGCTCTAATAAACTATTTTCACTTTTGATACTGTCTTCTTCCTTTCTTTTCCTTCCTTCCTTTCTTCTTTCCCTCCCTCTTTCCTTCCTTCTCCTGTTTTCCTTTCCTTTCCTTTCCTTTCCTTTACGTTCCTTTCCTTTCCTTCCTTCCATCCTTCCTTCCCTCCCTGCCCTTCCTTCCTTCCTTCCTTCCTTCCTTCCTTTCCTTTCCTTTCCTTTCTTTCTTTCTTTCTTCCTTCCTTCCTTCCTTCCTTCCCTCCCTCCCTCCCTCCCTCCCTCCCTCCCTCCCTCTCTGCCCTTCCTTGCTTGCTTCCCTGCTTCCTTCCTTCCCAGACTATTCTTGGCATTCAGTGTGAACTACAGAAACAACTCCGGAACTTCATTTCCTTGGACCAGCTTCCCATGACCCCCAAATACAGTGACGGCCGATGTACAGAGCGGGCAAAACAACCCCAATTTGCCGCAGTTCCTTCAGTCTTTGGGAAGGGCATCAAATTCGCGATTAAAGATGGGCAGGTAACAGCAGACATTATCGGCGTAGCCATTGAGGACAGCCGACGCATCGCTGCCATCCTCAATGGCGCCCATTACCTGGAGAACCTCCATTTCACCATCGATGGACGAGACACGCACTACTTCATCAAACTCGGGTCTTTGGAAGAAGACCTCTCTCTCATAGGCAACACCGGGGGGCGGCGGATCTTGGAGAACGGGGTCAACGTCACGGTGTCACAAATGACTTCGGTCATCAACGGGAGGACAAGACGATTTGCGGACATTCAACTCCAGCATGGTTTTTTGTGCTTTAACGTTCGATACGGGACGACCATTGAAGAAGAGAAAAACCACGTTTTGGAGATCGCCCGGCAAAGAGCTGTGCTACAAGCTTGGACTAAGGAACAAAAGCGACTGCAAGACGGTGAAGAAGGTACAAGGGCTTGGACAGAGGGGGAGAAGCAACAGCTTTTGAGCACTGGGAAAGTGCAGGGTTATGACGGATATTTTGTCTTATCTGTGGAGCAGTATCTAGAACTTGCAGACAGTGCCAACAATATTCACTTTATGAGACAGAGTGAAATAGGCAGAAGGTAACAGACCTACAAGCGACATGTTTCCTGCCTTCACATCACCAAAGACTGCCTGTTTTTAAATGAAGATGTTAAGTAACAGTTTATTGTATTGGTTTTTCTAGAGCAGAACTCTGTGTATATATAAATATAGAGGGGGAAAGAAAACATATCCTACTGCCTTTAAATGTGACAGAAGATGGTATTTTAATATAGTTTGTTTAAATGCTTTGGGAGATGGCAATGGTTCTTCGTTCTAAGGCGGTTATATTCAGTGTTTGGGTGCAGCACTTTCAGTGTTGAACGTCAATCAGAGAGAATCCAGATGGGCAAAATATTTAATATACTGTCTCCTTTCCTTTCTTCAGAATCAGCTTTTTGGTTTCTTAGCTCGCCCACAACATGTTAAAAAAAAAACACACGATGGAGCCAGTGCCATGAATTGTTTGGTTTTGCTCATGACCCCTCTCAAAACCATCTTTGCAGACTACACTTTGGGTATCTCATTATATATATAACAAACTATTCTAAAAATACGAGTTCCAGGTATCTTAGTAAAGAAAGAAGCAGACATTCTGTGAGCTCCGGAACATAAAATTTTAAAATAATTTTGAAAAATTATTCTACTATGCCATTAATCAATTTGGCCATTGTGCGTGTAAAAGGCCCTTCCAGCCATCTCCCACTTGTAATTAGCTGTGTTGTTTTTGCTGTCGTCATGCTGGATGATGGAGGCTTAATTCGTACTGTTTCCTGTTTAATGGCATATAAAGGCAGAGATCTCTGTAATGGTAGTTTAATACTCTGACGATGTCAGCAGATGGCTGACGAAAGCTTAGTAGAATAAAATGTTTTAATTATTTTAAAATTTTAAGTTCTGGAGCTCGCAGAATGTCTGCTTCTTTCTTTATATATATATAACGCTGTTTTGCCACAAGCCGTTTAGTCCATTGAAAATAAACCAAATTTTAGTTGTTGCCTTATAAGAAAAGATTAAAACGAATTCCGCTTAGAATTCCGAGGTTAAAAAAAAAGAAGAAGAAGAAGTCATGTGTTGGTTCTAAGTTTGTGAACAGAATGGACACTAGCTAGGAATGAATGCCAATTACTGGGAATTTCCCTTTTTTCTCCCCCTTTTTTGTCAGGAATTAATTAAATAAATAAATAATAAAAAGAGCACTTGGATAGAAAAGCAGGTTGCATTTACTTTAGTAACTTTGTGATGCAGCCAATATACCATCTGTGTCAGGGGTCTCCAACCTTGGCAACTTTAAGACTTGTGGATTTCAACTCAGCTTCCTCAGTCAGCTTTGCTGGCTGAGGAACTCTGGAAGTTGAAGTCCACAAGTCTTAAAGTTGCCAAGGTTGGAGATCCCTGATCTATGTTATTCAATAATTTAAAATTTTAGGAAGTTTATAACAGTGCTAGTAGAGGTTTCTATTCTAGTACTTCCTGGAATGATCAGGCAACCACACTTATTTTGTGGTTGCATGGCTAGTTCTAAGGCTGCACAGAAAGCAGATATGAGTGTCAATGTTCTAAAAGAAAAACGTTGCAGACAAGATTGACAGGATCTCTTACCCATCTCACAAAGCTTCGAAAGGAAAATGCCAGCTCCCTCCATCTACAAGTTTGGTCAACGTAATTCTGTGGATCTTTAATTAGAAAATAAAATCAGACCAGGAATTTGCTAATCTATCCCTAAAATGGAGCAGATTTCCTTTGGACTATTAACCCTTTTTTTAAAAAAAAAATAGATCTAGGTTTCCTTATAGGGGCAGTTAAAATATGAAGTCAAGATTGTAGAAATTGAAGAATTTCTAATGATCGGGCTGTCAGATATAATACTTTGAATACATTAAATGGAAAAGCATAAGGAGGGAATGTTCACCTAACATTCTTATTGCAATCTTGCAAGAAATTGAATAGCAGTTACCGTCTCTTTATCGCCTGGGTGGTTAGTACCGCTTGCAGTACTTCTGTCGAATGCAGCCTTCAAAATGTTTGCAGTTATAGCTCATTTTGCGCTCTCCAAAATGAGATTTCCCCGATCGTCAAATGCATGTCACAAGTTCTTGTTCGTTGGACAAATATTGGTTCATGAAGAATTTGGGATCATGCGAACAAGACACCAATTGCTAATTGAAAGCTTCCTTTCGGTAAATTGCATAAACGCTAAGGAATTTGTTGTGCTGTAATCTGTGATTATCTAATGGGCTATATTGATGAACATTCTGGCCAGAGACAGCTGTTCCCTAGATCTTAAAAAAACATTATGTCATGACCTGTTTCTTGAATCCATGACGGTTAGATTCTCTGTTTGATGGAGAAGCACCATTAGAGAAATAATGTTATGTTGAATGTTTCATTCTGTACCCACTGTTTCCTCCTGTCCATGTACAGGTAACCCTTTACTTACAACCACAAATTTCAGTTTGCTAAGCAAAACTGTTGTTATGTGAATTTTGCCCAATTTTTCACCTTCCTTGCCAACGTTGCTAAGTGAATCACTGCAGTTGTTAAGCTAGTAACATGGTTGTTAAGCAAAGCTGTCTTCTCCATTGACTTTATCAGAAGGTCCCAAAAGATGATTGCATGATCGTGGGACCCAGCAAACGTCATAAATGGGAGCCAGTTGCCAAGCTTCTGAATTTTGATCACATGACGTTGGAGTTGCTGCATCGGTCGTAAGTGTGAAAAAGGGCCATGAGTTACTCTTTTCAGTGCCATTGTACCTTTGAACGGTCACTAAACGAATGGTTGTAAGTTGAGGACTACCTGTAGGCTGGAGCAAAATACTAGATGCACATGAGACAGAAAGAGCGGGAAATTCTTCAGAAATCTACAACGTAGAGAAGTTCTAGTTGACTCATGGTAGACATGAGGTACCCAAACACAGTCTGCCTATCTCTTTCTCTCTACCATGCTACCCAGAAAAAAAAAAAGCTTCTTGCGTACTCACAATGGAGAAAAAAGAATTATTGTCATCTCAGGCAAAGATGTGTCAATTTTAGGGTCTCAACTGGACCAAGAAATTCTTCAGAGAAATAGGCAGTGGATGAAAATGTCCTTTTTCTTCTTCTGGATATTTTAAAAGGGGTACAAAAAAGGGGGGGCTGGTTCTCAGGAATCAAAGATTTTTCAAACATCAGGGGCAGGATTTGGCAAAGTCTTTTAATAAATTCTCCACGAGGTTATGTCATCCCAATATAAATGATTGGTATGAATATTATGGACCATTTACAGGACAAATGAAATGTTGAGCGTAGAATGAGTGGATGTTCGGAGGGAGCCTCTGTCATTTCTGTTCCTTCAAATATATTGTTTGTAGCTTAATTAGTATTTATGTCAACAATTTGGGGGCAAATTGCTGGAAGATTTTTTCCCCCCCACTAATAATTTTATCTTGTGGGTTTACAGTGGGATTTATAAACAGCCTTTTATCACCAAACATGTTGTGCCCAACCTGATCAAGATCGGTAATAAATATGCTGAAAACTATACACATCAATAAAGAAAATCAGAAATCTAACGAAATAGCAGTAATAAAAGTGTTAGAGATTAAAGGCAGCTGAAGTCTGGCTTTGCCATGGCACAAGTGAATTACAGATTCATGTCTCAGTGCCTTAGTAAGACATTTCAAAGTCCTATCTTAAAATATTAGGATGATTTCGTTTTAAAAGTAAAATCTACCTTGAGACAGATTCACCTGGTGATTTCATGGATATACTGTATCTGTATAATTTCCTTGGCAAAAGTGGTTTGCTGTTAATTCTTGACAAGATCTATCTATCTATCTATTATCTATCTGTCTGTCTGTCTGTCTGTCTATCTATCTATCTATCTATCTATCTATCTATCTATTCCAAATCTAGCCTATAGCCATGGGATTTTCTAGTGATTAATCAGATAAAAAATCTACTCAGTAAAGTAGATTTAATCTACTCAATTAAGATGTTCTGGATCAGTGATCCCCAAACTCATGAATTCATTCATCTCTTCATGAAGTTTCAGATTGTTCATTGACACACACACCCAAACATTCATTATATGAACATAATGCAACAATTACTACTTTAACTAACGGTACTATTATTAGTAATAATTATAACACCTAACAATGATTAAGAGCAGGAAAACTGAAGAAAGAGATAGAGGGGCTAATTCTGGCTATACAAGTTCAAGCCTTAAGAATAAATGCATACAAAGCCAGAATAGAGAAACAGCAACCATCTGCAAAGAAGCTGGAAAAAAAAAAACCCACAGTGGATCACACAGACTGATGCATTGGAAGATCTGCAAGAAATACATTTGCCTGTAGGCAAAAACTAGTGAGACCATAAAATAGGCAAAGTAATAGAAAATGAAAAGAGACATGGTGGCTCAGTGGCTAAGATGCTGAACTTGTCGATCGAAAGGTCGGCAGTTCAGCAGTTCGAAACCCTAGTGCTGCGTAATGGGGTGAGCTCCCGTTACTTGTCCCAGCTTCCGCCAACCTAGCAGTTCGAAAGCACGTAAAAAATGCAAGTAGAAAAATAGGGACCACCTTGGTGGGAAGGTAACAGCGTTCCGTGAGCCTTTAGCATTGAGTCATGCCGGCCACATGACCACGGAGACGTCTTCGGACAGCACTGGCTCTTCGGCTTTGAAACAGAGATGAGCACCGCCCCCTAGAGTCGGGAATGACTAGCATATATATGCAAGGGAAACCTTTACCTTTACCTAATAGAAAATGAAGACACTAAAGCACCCTGGGACTTTAGAATTCAAATAGATAAGCACCTGGCAAATAAGATCCCAGAGTAAACAATTGTTGATAACAAAGACAAAAAAAGTCTGGATAGTGGATGTGGCAGTACCTGGAGATAGCAGAAGAGAAGAGAAAGAACTGGAGAAGATAACAAAATACAAAGACCTGCAAATAAAAGTAGAAAGACTGCTGCAAAAAAAAGCAAAGGTAGTACCAGTATTAATAAAGCCCTTTGGATAAATCCCAAAACAACTGGAGAAGCACTTGAATACCATCGGCATTAACAAAACTATCAACAGTCAATTGCAGAAGGCAGTTTTACTTGGAACAGCTTATATACTGAGACAATACCTTTAATTCATCAGAGAAGAACATCTGTCTATCCCAGGTCTTTGGGAAGGACTTAATGGATGTATAAAACACCAAGTTCCAGCTAAAGATCTGTGATGAACCATAATAGAGACAACTTAAGCCACTCTTGTTGGTGACTAACCATCCAACTCTGAGTAACACTGTCTTGCCACTAGCCACCTCACCTTCAGAACTAGCAACTGTCATGGAGCTCTATAGATACCCTCAATTGATCCCAATCAATCTTCCATCATTTATTGACCAGATATTGACTCCCAGACATATTCTGACCTCTTTTGACCCCCAGACATTTATCAAAACTTTGCATAGTCTCATCAACCCTTGAGGGTCAATATTGACCACTTCAGGGTCTTTTCATTTAGATGTTTCTACCTTCTGCAACTGACTCAACGACATGCAGCCAAGTATTTGGGCTGGTGTTCTTTTAATCTGTAAATGATAAAGGCAACAACAGAATGTTAAATAGCAGGAAATATTAGGATTTGGTGGAGAGAAAAAGAAGGAAATCACTCTAAGCTTAGTTAACGATGATTTTTAACTGAGTTTACAAGCTACAATCACAGCATTTTAAGCCCAGTGCATTTTGGTTTAGCATGATGCACTATATGACTTCAACTACTATTACCTTTGAATCATGATTTGTGGCTTATTATGTATGAACCAGATTGTTCTGGCTTGTTCAACAGACTATGGAAAAATATACTATGACATAGTATGTTGTGTGAGTCCAGATACTATCAACATGTTAGTTTGTCGGATGAAATGGTTCCATGTTATTTTGTGTAATATATAGCTATATCTTAATAGCCAAAACAGAAGAGGACGTTGAATAAATTGTTCACATTCAGAAAGGATAACGCTTGCTCGTTAAAATTGGCTAAAGCTCGAATGTGTGGCATGCTTTCAAAAGAAGATTGCTTATTTGGCTATATAGAACATATGATTCTTACCAATGACCTTGACTAATATCAGCAGTTCTAAACTTATCAAGATTATCTCAGGTTGACTGAGATACCTGCATTTTATTGGCCTCTGACCGTTAAGAGATACAGTCACAAAGAAAAATGTTGAGAATTCACAGTGCCTCTGTTTGGATTCTCTTGTGAGCGAACACTGAACGGAAGATTTGAAAACATGTAGACTGTATTCAACTGTATTCTTCTGATCAGTGGTCATTTCCCATGGATCAGGGTGAATCTCAAAAGCATCGTCAGATCTGTAGATCGTGCACTTTTGAATTCACAGAAAATCATTTCTGGGCTTCATTTATGTAAAATGTTTATTGGTGAGGATGCTATTTAACAGTGATTTCAGATATCAATACGAGCCACTTTGCTTACCGTTTTTAAGCAAGTCTACTATTTGAAACTCGTGCGTCAAGGGATTTTCTCCCTCCCGCCCCCGAAGCTTTAAAATAACCAGAATTAAGAAATGTTTTGAATTAAATAGTGATTAGCTTGAACTGTGCATTTCTAGTATGTAATACATATTTTGTTAGCTTGTGCCTTGAGTTCTTTACAGTTATATTATTATATTATATGCAGGAAATGCACTTTATATTAATGAACGTGGAGGGTTTTTTAATGCTGCCTTGAATGTCGTAGTCTTCATTTTTATGCCAAAAGTCCATGAAGTGAAATGGATTACATTAATTCCCCCTGCCTCTGTTGGGATTTACCAATGAATAAATAGAATTACCCAGGTGGTATATATTGTGTTATAAAATATGGACTAGAAAAAAAAATATTAAATAGATTCTGGTAGTGTAAGAAAAATGCTTTTTAAAATCCTGTCTGCTTCTGAAATTCAGGAAAAAAATAAAATATATGTTATAATTTACAAGCCAGGGACCTCACCCTCCAAGCGCTGCTAATAGGGTAGCCCTGGGTATGGAAGTGATGGATAGTTGTGCAGAATATCTGAATGTGTTTCACTTTAAATTCAGTAGTGAAATCCAAATTTTTTTACTACCGGTTCTGTGGGCGTGGCTTGGTGGGCGTGGCAGGGGAAGGATACTGCAAAATCCCCATTCCCACCCCACTCCAGGGGAAGGATATTGCAAAATCTCCATTCACACCCCACTCTGGGGCCAGCCAGAGGTAGCATTTGCCAGTTCTCCGAACTACTCAAAATTTTCGCTACCGGTCCTCCAGAACCTGGATTTCACCCCTGTTTAAAATCACTTGTTTAAAACACATATTAACTGTGCCTCTTTTGGACCTTGTATTGTGCAGTCCAAATCAGCTTTGGGTCGCTGTGGAAGTGATGGAGGTTGAAATCCAACATGTTTGAAATGATCTTGTTTTGGGAAAGTTTGGGCTAAATAATCATTCCAACATTTTGGTGCTCTGCTGTTCTGTACTGTGGATTCTAAAATTGCAAGAGACCACAAACTTCTGTTCTTTTTCATGCTGATGAAGAACTGTAGCTATAGCACTGCTAAAATCTTGGCCATTCCAGCCAGGATCTAAACCACTCTAAAGAGAAACACGTCCAGCAGCTTTCAAAATAGTTTGTTCTGTTCTTATTTGCCAAAAAGTAAACTCTAAGGAGTGACTGTCCCATCTAGGCAGTGTAGTGATTTGTTCATAGAGGTTTGTCTGCATTTAAGCTGGAACGCCAGAGGTTCCCTTCCCTACAAATAAATGTTGTTTTTTTCATGTGGGGCGTCTTTGATTTCTGATTATTGTTATTGGAAGCATTCCAGTGGTATCTGGATTACCTGCCAAGCTGAGCAGATTCTGAACAGGAGGCTGAGCAGCTCCAGATGCTGAGCAGATGCTATAGAATCAACTTCTTCCAAACATTTTAGAAAGTGATTAAGAGAAGATATCCAGAACACACAGGTATTGTCCCCTGTTTAGTCTGTATCAGTCTGCAGGGTACGGGAGGTGCCACAGCTGGGACAATTAACAAAACTATTCCAATTAATGAAAATGAATTTCCCCAAAACACAGATGCGGTCATTATGCCAGTATAAATAAGATTAGCGGAGCCTTTTGGAATGCATTTGAGAATGGGACTTGTGCAAAATAAGCCAAGAACACCTTCGTTAAATTATACATTTGTTTCTTCAAAATCGAGACCATTTTATGTTATGTATCTAATAAGTTAATTTAAAATTACCATGTCTTAAAAAAAAATTTTAAAGAATAAAAATGTGGATAAAAATAATAAGGATAGTATTTATAAAGGAAAACGATGAGTGAAAAAGTGCAAAGAAAGAAATGAAGAAGAAAAGGAAAAGTAATAAGGAAGCTGCTTCCATTCGTTATAGTAGCTACAAGTATATTTTATTTTACCCCCCCTCTCTCTTTCTGGGGTTACCACATAATTTCCTTCTTTCCATAGCCTTTCCCATCATCAGGTCTATCAATTGCTCTTTTTTTTTTCCTTGTTTGGAGAAAAACTAAATGATTTCCAATCACTAAAAAAGGGGTCATTGTCCTTTCTCTAATCAATTTTGCCATCTCTGCTATTTCTGTCAGACCATTTTATGTTCTAAATAAAAAATAGCATGCTTAGTCTCTATGTGCTTTAAAATGCCTTTTTTGTTTTGTTTTAACCATCTCCAGCCATTTGAAAGAAGGAAGAAATTGTTTTCAAATGAGTGGGATGTTTACCTGCCATTACCATCCTTGTGGCTTATTCCATGTATCGTTGTGAAATCATGACTTGGGTTGAGGTAGAAATTTAATCACTCTGTGTCTCCCTCATTTATAAATCCTCATATGGATTTATAGAGGGGAGGAGGAGTTCACAAAGCTATCTAGATCTTTGAAAAAAAGGGACAAAACCAACCAACACAAAATAGAAACCCCACAGGTAAGTTTCTAATAGCGGGCACAACGGTATCTTACACTAGAGAAAAATAAAAAAGCTGGACTGTATTTTACCATAAATTGGTAGAGGTCTACAATATTGGTTTAGGTATCAGTGTTCAATATTCTGCACTTCTATCACTGCCTTCTGAGTTCGTGTTGGTTTCTGTGGACCTTAACTATGAGGTATTTTTTGTTTGTTTTGTTTTCAACATTTTGGGTCATTGGCCCAAGCAAATGTGTTTACCAATCTTTTCCTTAAGATTTTTGTGGTGGACGTTAGCCTCTTGATCAATGTTATTACCTGTCAAAGTGTATATTTTTAACATCATTTCACACACGGAACAAACCTCCATGACCGGATTCTAATTGATAAAGTGTTGATGATAAAAATCAGAGAAGCCAAACATACCTTGCTCCTTTTTGGAAAGCGATTTCTTTGGTTGCTCAGAAAAAAAGTAATGATGTTTACAATGTACGCCAAGGGTTTCCATGCCTATCAAACGATGGCAGTTCTAATTTTACTCAAAATTGTAGTATAATGGCCTGAACCTTGTTGCTAGGACACAATAGACTTTGGTTTTATATTCCTGCCTTCACACTGGCTAGATACTGTACAGGTTTAGGTGAAATGACTGCATTGAAATTGGTTGTCGCATTTTGCTCTGGGTTTCATACCAGAAGCATGTATTTTCTACCAGACCGTTACAACAACTTGCTGTAAATAGTCAAAGTTAATATATGATGTGTTGACATTTGAAAGACAAAGTACTTTGAATATTTCATTTTTAAAAAATAAAGTTGCAAACAATTAGACAGCCGTGGGGTTTTTTTCTGTAGATTTTTCCCACGTTTGGGAAAAAGTGGGAGAATAACACAATTTGAAAAACTGTGATGTTGTGCGTGGGGTGCGGGGTGCACACACATGCCATTTTGTGGAATCAGTGTTCACAACTTTATATATTCATTTCTTGTATAGTTCCTTGTGCCTTAATGATGGTCAAATGTAGTTCTAGGTTCGTGCCTCGGTATGCTGGACTCCCAATTTAAAATACCAGGAAAAGGAAGACCATTTAATTTACAATTTATTTGGAACATTCCAAGATAAAGAGAAATTCCCGTTTACAAGGGAGAGAACCTGGAACATAGACTTGCTTTCATTTTATAGTTTGCACAGTAAAGATACTTCAAAGTAAACATTGATTGAATTATAAAATCCAGTATTAAATAATAAACACTCCTGTAAGCCAGATTCAACTCCTGGCTGCTAAATAGGCAGATCTTTGGATATTTTGTAACAAAAAACAGTTTAACAGAGTTGGAAGGGGCCTTTTAGGTCATCTAGTCAAACCCCCCGCCCAGGCAGGAGACCCTACACCATTTCTGACAGATGTCAGTCCAGTCTCTCCTTGAAAGTATCCAGTGATGAAGCTCCTAAAACTTCCGAAGGCAACTTCTGTTCCATGGGTTGATTGTTCTCACTCTCAGAAAATTCCTCCTTATGATAGGGAAATGGTTGACATTTCCTCTACCTATCTACCTATCATCTATCTATCTATCTATCTATCTATCTATCTATCTATCTATCTATCTATCTACCTACCTACCTACCTACCTACCTATCTTATCTATCAATCTATCAGCCTACCATCTACCTACCATCTATCTATCATCTATCTATCTATCATCTACCTACCTACCTATCATCTACCTATCTACCTATCATCTGTCTACCTATCATCTGTCTGTCTGTCTGTCTATCTATCTTGGCTTCCCAATCTAACTTTCAGTCCAGAAATTCAGATCCAACCTTGCTTAGCCTTTTCAAGCATCTACAGCCTGCTTCTTAGGTAGACAAGATGAGTATTGTTCAACAGAGATTGATTTTTAGATAGGGAAAAGAACATTATGTAAATTAATATAGGATTATATTGTCCACCAACCCTATTTGCTGAAGTGGGAATTCAGAATGGATCTATCCAAAGGCATGAAGCCAGATTCAAACCAGGATTTCTGGTTTTTATCAAAGGTTTGAGTAGGAGAGTTACATCAGAAATAGCAAATCAAATCAAGTGGTCTCTTACATCATAAAATAGAATCTTGTAGATTATACTTTTCACCAATAATTTCCTTTTTAAACCACTACTACAAAATCCTCCTTACATTCTTAGGAGGAAAAAGAATGAAATTACACAATCCACAAAAGAGAAGAAGAGGAAGGAAAGTAAACATCGTCAAAAATGGGGAAAGGAAACAATAAAATTATATCATTTATTCCAAAAAAGCAATATTATACTTCCATATAGTGCTATTTTAACACAATAGTAATCGTGTACTTTATATACAATTAATAACTTTAAAACAAATTCTAGAATTTAGGATTGACCTAAGAAAGGTTATGAAAGCATCCACTAACAAGACAGCAGGCCCCCAGGGAGCAAGAATTCTGTGCCAGCTGAAAAGTAGCCATGAACTTCTGTGATCCCATGAAGTAAATTAGCTAATTTCTAAATCAGCTGCTGTCTGCTTAAAAAAAAACAACGAAATGTGAGACTCTGTAAATGGCATATTTGCAAGCACAACTGTTTCACCTGCTTGTTATCTGTAAACAACAACAGTGTGCTGTTTATCAAAATAACATTTGATCCAGAAAGGTAGATTAATATCTCTTTATTTATTTACACATAAGTAAAAAGATACCCTCCACACACATACAGACGGGTATAGGGTGAAGAGCTCTTAAAAGGAAAGAAATCACTTTATATACAAGTTCATATACTGTATGTTGAGTTTGGAATGTATTCTTCAATTGGCCAACATCATTTGAGTTATGGAGCATTTAGTGAGCATGCTCCACAACTATATATGTACCATGTAACATATGTGGAGGATGGGGGGGCTAGCGTGCTATGGTCCGTGAGTCACTAAGAGTCAGACACGACTTAGTGACTGAACAACAACAAATAACCATGTAACAGTTCATAGAATCTTTATAATATTCTTAGCATTATCTTGTCCATACCTAATTGTATATTCAAGAAGTGTGTTTCCCACATTACAATGAGTTTTCAGATTATTAAAGTTCATTTCTTTGGGCAACTCTTGTCTCTGGCCAGTCTGAGCCGGTTCTTATCAGAATCCACATTCTTGCTTGTTAACTTCAAAGAAATAGAAACATTAATCAAAGGCCCTCCTTGTTACAGGAAACAATTACTCAATGGAGACCCTTTCCTGCTCCCACCATGCTTATCATCTTGCCTATGCAGGTTTTCGAGATTGGCAAACAAATGGGTAGTGGAAACAGGTGGGAAAATGAAAATCTCTTTCTGAAGGTCTCAGGAACCTGAAATGAGCATCATCCCTGTGGAAATTAAATGGAAAAATTCAGTAGTCTTTTGCAGAGAAAACGTTGCTCTGAAAAATCCAATTTTCTCAGCTTGGGAGTGTTGTCATTGCTATCTTCTAATTGCAGACTCTCAAATCTGTTATTTTACTGAAAATGATTGGATTTATACAGCAGCCATATATTGTAAAACATTCCCTAGGGGAAAAAAACAGGTTGCACGTTCTTGCTAGGTTTGTGTGAAGTGTAGAAAGTGGATATTTTGATAAATCAATCATTGATAAAGTAGAATTTCGATTTCTTCCACTGAGTCCTACGAGAGAATCCCCGCAGGAAAAGAAGAAGGATAGGAAGAAATTTCATTCATTCAGAGTAATGCATTTCCAAGCTGCATTTCTATCTCTAGGTCCGCCCATGGGATTTCAAGAGCCATTCTCTAGGGGGCGCTCTACCGCTCGCAGTCTAGTTTCCTCTCAACCGGAAACAGGAAGTAATGGTTTCTATGGTGCCTCACCCTGGCCACTTCCGTTTCAATGCCACTCAAGTGGCCGGTATCATAGAGATACAAATTATAGAGTGAAAGTAAAGTAAAATATGATATATATTTTTTTGTTAGAAAGTGGAATGTGGCCATTTTAGCAATATTATTCATAATGATGATCACATCGGTCATAATAATAAAGTATTTTTTTATATCGCTGACTCTTAGGGACTTTGGAGGGTTCTGAATTAACTCAAAGGTCTCCTTTGCCTCATTAACAGATTAACTGAGTTGGAAGGGACCTTGTAGGTCATCTAGTCCAACCCCACGCTCAAGCAGGAGACCTTACACCAGGAGTCTCCAACCTTGGCAACTTTAAACCTGGAGGACTTCAATTCCCAGAATTCCCCAGAATTTTGGGAGTTGAAAACCTCCAGGCTTAAAGTTGCGAAGGTTGGAGACCCCTGCCCTACACCATTTCTGACAGATGGCACTCCAGTCTCTTCTTAAAAGCCTCCAGTGACGAAACTCCCACAACTTCTGTCCCATTGGTTGATTGTATAAAAAGTCCTTGCAATCAAACTGAATGAGAGAACGTCCCCTGGTCCAATCACAATCTCGGCCATTGCGTCCAATTTTATTTTATTTTTTTTTTAAAAAAAGAACCGCCCCACAAAGTGCCTTCCCTCTCTCACAACTCTATATATTCATAGATCTACAAACATTCAGCGCCTCCTCCTCCTCCCCCGCCCCTTTCCCCGTGACGTCACGGCACTCCCGCCTCGCCTCGCCTCGCGCCGGGCGGGATGAGCTCATCTCCTTTTCCTCGGGAGGGAGGGAGGAGCCGCCAGGCGGAAGTGACGCACGCAGGGGAGCCGGACCGGAAGCAACGCGAGGCGGCTGCCAGGCGGTGGAGCGCACCCGCTGAGGCGTCTCTCCTCTCTCTCTCTTTTCTCGGCCAGGCTTTGCTCCGCCGCCGTCCCCGCGCCAGAGCCATGTCGGCGCCCGGAGGAGCCGGCGGAGAATTCGGCAACCCGCTGCGCAAGTTCAAGCTGGTTTTCCTCGGCGAGCAAAGCGGTGAGGGAACCATCCTCCCCCCCCCCCGCGCGCGTGGTGTGGGGGAGGGGCTGCCCCGCCACACACACACACACACACACACACAAAAGGGAGGGGCGAGGGGGGCGAAAATAGGCACGAAATGCAGCGGGGAGGGGGAGGGGCGGCGACGCCCTCCCTTCTTTCCCCTCCCCCCCCTCAGCGTCGGGCTAGGATGTGGGGGGGGGGGCTTGGAGGAGGTTTTGGTTTTATTTTGTATTTTCTTTTTATGTCTCTTTTTTTAATCTCCCTTTTTGAGGGATTGTTGTGAGGGGTGGGGGAGGGAGGAGGGCATTATGGATGCTAACAGATAGAGACATCCACATTTAGGATATAGAATAGAATAGAATTTTTTATTGGCCAAGTGTGATTGGACACACAAGGAATTTGTCTTTGGTGCATAGGCTCTCAGTGTGCATAAAAAGACAAGATACACTGGTCAAGAATCATAAGGTACAACACTTAATGATAGTCATAGGGTAAAAATTATAAATCGTAAGGATACAAGCAACAAAGTTAAAGTCATGCAGTCATAAGTGGGAGGAGATGGGTGATAGGAATGATGGGAACAGAACAGAACAGAATAGAGAAAATAGAATAGAATAGAATAGAATAGAATAGAATAGATTTTTTTATTGGCCAAGTGTGTTTGGACACACAAGGAATTTGTCTTGGTGCATATGCTCTCAGTGTACATAAAAAGAAAAGATACATTCATCAAGAATCATAACACTTATTGATAGTCATAGGGTACCAAATAAGCAATCAGGAAACAATATCAATATAAATCCTAAGGATACAAGCAACAAACTTACATTCATACAGTCATAAGTGGAAGGGGATGGGTGGTGGGAACGATGAGAAGATCAACAGTAGTGCAGACTTAGTAAATAGTTTGACAGTGTTGAGGGAATTACTTGTTTAGCAGAGTGATGGCAAAGGACCCCTTGGGATCCCCCATATCAAGACAACTTACTTTTATGTGCGGCCAGAACCTGAAAACAACATTGAACACAAAATGGTACTTAAGCAAATTGGTTCGGTTGGGATTTGCATACCTGGGACTGATTGGGGGTAGATATTTTGACGCCGAAATATAATTTTAGGCCATTTTATTCTGATATATATATATATATGTATGTATGTATGTATGTATGTATGTATGTATGTATGTATCAAATGATAATACATCTAATCCTGTGACTATTGTATTTTGCCCGACTTTTATTTTAAATTGATTGTAGGAGATTTTGATGGTGATACGTGTTTGGACCTTGTGTTTTTGATATGGTCTATAGCAGAGGTCCCCAATCTTGGCAGCTTTAAGACTTGTGGACTTCAACTCCCAGAATTCCCCAGCCAGAGGAATTCTGGGAATTGAAGCCCACAAGTCTTAAAGACTTAAGGTTGCCAAATTTGGAGACCCTTGCTGTAGCTGGCTGGAGAATTTTGGGAGTTGAAGTCCACAAGTCTTAAAGCTGCCAAGTTTGAAGACCTCTGACCTATAGGCTAATCAGTAAAACTAACTTGAGGATGAGGAGAAGTTGCTGGGTGGCTGCACTTGCATCCTCCTGCCGGATCTTCTCCCCTCCCCCCCCCCAATCCGTTTGCTTTGCTTCATTTTCAGATCACCCCTTTTTCATCCTGTCTTTTTATGCTTGTGTTTTAAAAAAAATGTTTATCATTTGTATTCGGTATACATGCCTTGAATTGACTATATTGGGAGGAGGGAGGGAGGGCCGGTTTGGTTGTAGGGATTGAAAGGCACCTGATTAGAAACTGGGAAAATGTGAATCAAAATAATAATAGAGCTTGGGAGGGACCTTGGAGGCCTTCTAGTCCAGTCCCTTGCTCAAGCAGGAGATACCTTTTCAGACAAGGCTCCTCTTCTTCTGAGTTCTAGTCCTGCCTTAGGTATGAAGCCACCTGAGTGATCTTGGGCCACTCACATAGCACTGGTGAGGTTACCTGGGTTTGGGTAATGAAACCTCTGCAAAGTAAACAAGCTCAGAGAGCATTAAGGATCCCACAGTCCTCCTCCTCCTCCCCCCTGCAAACCCCACACCCTTTGAGTACTGATGATGTTACCCCAGGTAGTAATGAAACATCTGCAAGAAAACAACCCAGCTCAGAGAGCACCAAGGACCCCACAGTTCAACCCTGAGCTACAAAGATTTGTCTTTATTGACACATTTCTCTCAATCTTGGGAAGGAAGCAGCAGCAAATCAATTTTTAAAAAAAACCTTGCCAAGAGAACTGCAGGGAGTTGCCCAGACAATTAGCCAAGAATCAAGAGTGACTTGAAGACACACACACACACACACACACCAAAAATTCCCACCAGCCAAGAAACTATCAGCCGGTAATGCAGGTAGTTGCTAGGGGTCAAAACCTGATTTGAAGGTACTTAAATATGTATATATGTGTGTCAGCTCAGGGCAGCAAAAAAGGCCTAATACTGCTGCCTCTTATTTTTCCCATCACAACCACCCTGTCAGGTGGATTGGCCTGAAAGAGAGGGATTTATAGTTACCTAGTCGTGAAGTATGCTCTGTCCCATAATAGGGTAGATCAGGTTGCCCTGACAAAAAAACCACTTAATTTTCCCCCTGGTATAGTCGACAAAGGGAAGAGAGGCTGTGGCTTAGAGGTTAATACATCTACCTAATATGCAAGTAGCCTGGGTTCGAATCCTAGAAGGGTTATAGCTAGCTGATGAGAGCTAAATAGCTTGAAATAGATCTATGCTAGTCTCCCTTTATTTCTTTGTCAATAAAACATAAATTCAACTCGCCTAGTCATGCTTAAGGCAAGACTAAAACTCAACATCTCCTGGTTGATTGGCCCAAAGTCACCCAGTTGGCTTTCATGTTTAAGGTGAGGCTGGAACTCACCATCTCCTGGTTTCTGGGCCAGCCCCTTCACCCTCACATCAAACTGGCTCTTAAATAAGTAGAGTTGCTGTGGTTAAGGTCCCCATGATCTTGAGCGTTGGCTTATTTTGAGAGGTTTATCTTCATTGATAGACTGGCTGGGGTTTGGGGCTTCAGGAGTGCCCACACAAGCCACGTTAAGGGCAGGCAGGGATGGGAGATCACCATTTATCATTTTTAATTTAGATGTCTAAGGCTGAGGACTCAGGGCACTGTAAAAACAATGTTTTCAACAGGATTTTTAAAAAAGGAACAATACATTAAAAACCAGATTTGACAATGGTTTTTATTTGCCAGGGTGTATTATGAAAAATAAGAGTAAAACATCTGAGAATTTCATATTCCCTACCTATTACATCATAGTTACTGCTGCAGTGTATCATTCTTAATTACCATATTTTTCGGAGTATAAAATGCACCGGATTATAAGACGCACCTACCTTTTTTGGTGAGGAAAACAAGAAAAAGAAATCTGCCTCTGCTCCCAGCAATTTTGTCTCATTACAGCAAACAGCCTGCTTTACTTTCGTTTTCATTTTCAGCATAGCTTGATTAGCACAAGGAAAAAGAAAAAATCTGCTCCAGCAATTTACCTCCTTGCAGCAAGCAGCAGAGGTCTGCGCAAAACAGCTGAGAATGGGGAGGCCGATCCAATCAACTTGTGCTAATTAGGCTATGCTGAAGCTGAAAGGAGCTGTTTCTTCTTGCTGTTTGCTGCAAGGAGGTAACTGCTGGGAGGCAGAGGCCAAAGGGTGGGGGCCAGTGGGTGGGCAGGGCTACATTTGGTATATAAGACGCACCTAAATTTTCACCCCCTTTTAGGGGGGAAAAAGGTGGATCATACTCCGAAAAATACAGTAGTTAATTATAATTACATCATGTTACATGTTGCAATTTAGGTAAGCAAAGGCAATTAATGGATATACAAGTTATGAAGCATTAATAGTATTATTTCATGATATTTTGCTTCCTCAGACTGATTTGAAAGTGGCGCTATTCTGATTTATACCAGACTGCTAATTTGTATTAAGGTGTGTGAAATTAGTCTTGCAGATAAGTTGGTTCAGATGGCATAATTTTGGCACATGAACCCATTTATACTTATGGAACCCCTCCTACCACAACTGATCGCATGAAGGAATCCTTAACATCCCAGAGAGCCACTCCTAGATATGTATGCTAACAATAGCTATGTATAGTAGCATTTATACAATATGCTAACTATAACTATGCCTTTATTTGTACATGATTCTCATGTCCATTTTAAAAGGGGAGCAGACTGAGAGATCATAATTTTTTTGGCTTATGTTAGTAGATTCAATAATTTTATTAACTATAGAATAATTTTAAAAAAGAGAGATTTAGCTTTATTTTGAGATTAACTTTTGATTTACAAATGTACATGTGTGTAGCCAAGCTTCCAGGTTGTACCAATATTTTAAATAGAGCATAATAACTTTTTAGTGTGGTACCACTAAATTATGTCACACCATTGGTTCTGATGATAAGCTCTAGCAATGGCAGTTTAAAATTCACATTTTAACAGAGATCCTTGTTTACCTTTTTATATACTTATCAAACAGAACTCAGTCCACATGTGTCAGACACTTCTGGTTGTCAGAAAATATAAAATAACCTCTGTAACAACTTCTGAAAGTAACAGCAGATCCAAAAGTCCATGCAGATTTTACTAACGTATCTTATTTTTAAAGAATGGGATTACATTGTATGATGAACAAATCAAAGTTTCCTGATGGCTTGGTATTATTTGTTTCTTTAACAACATGCCTACTGTTTTATGTATTTTATTTTATTTGTATTCCACCTTTATTTTTACAAACAACTCAAATTAACTTATACGTATTAAATTAAACTTATGCATAAATAGTTGTGCTTCTTTTTTTTGTAGTTGGAAAAACCTCCTTAATCACTAGATTTATGTATGACAGTTTTGACAACACTTATCAGGTAAGAGTCAAAAAGATGATCCCTTGTACCATTTCAGATTAATTATCAGACTACTTTAATCATGAGAGACTATACATCTAGAAAGATAAGAGTTCACTGCACTCATATTTTTCCATTTGAGGAAAAGCATACTAAAGCATAACTAATTTCCAATCATTAAAATCATACAAAAGCTATGAAAGTCACATTTTGTTCAGATTAAAATTGTAGATGAAACACAGCAAAGAGCGTAGTCACATGGCACTCAGTAAAGATTTGATTAAATCGAAGTTTTCCTGTTCCTGCTGCCTGACATGCGAAGGTAGTATCTGATCATTTATATCATCTGAAAAACTGCTTTCAAGTTTCACATAACTTGCAAAACATAACTTTTATTCCGCTAACTACAGCTAACCCTCACTTTAACTATGGTAATTAGGACCATAGCCACTGTGTGGCTGCTAAGCCACACAGTCACAGCTTGTGATGTCACATGACTGTGCCGACTTAATGATGGAACTTCCAGTTGTGATTAGGCAACTTCTGTGCGTCATTAGTTGCCATGCTGTATGATCATCATTTGCAACCTCCTGCCAGTTTCTCCATTGACTTTTCTTGTCAGAAGCCAGCAATGAAGGTCGCAAATGGTGATCCCATGGCTATGGGGCACTGGGATGGCCATAATTGCAAGATGGTTTCCAAATGTCCAAATTGTGACTGTGTGATCAAGTGAATACTGCATCAGCTGCAACTTCAAAGACGGTACAATAATTCTCCTTGTTCCTCTTACCAAGAAAATTTATACAAAACGTTTTATAGATGGCATTTACCACCTGCTAGGTTAGTTAAAATGTTTAAAAATATGTCTAGCAAATGTTGGAAATGTAACCAAAAAACGGGCACATTTTATCACTTTGACTTGTGTCAAAGCAAAAAAAATTTTGAGCAAAGATACACAGGTGGCTAGAAAAGATGATAGGGAAACATGTAGATTTTAAATCTGAACTGTTTTTATTAGGTATAATATCAGAAAAGAATTGATAGGAAAAGTTTGTATTTAATATTAAATGTCTTAACAGCAGTGAGGATTATATTTGCACAGTACTGGAAAAATAAAGAGAGAGGAAGATACTAGATTGTGCAGAAATAGATAGATTGACATTGAAAATTAGAAAGAAGATATAGAATATATATATATATATATAGAATATTATCAAACATGGAATTTATTTTACCAATGGTTGGAAAAAAGTGGTAGAGATTAAGAATGTAAATTTGTACTATTAAGAAAATTAAATATCCAGACAACACAATGTTTATTAAGCACTAAAGAAATGTATTTAATGGAAAATCAATTATTTTTTTTTAAAAAAATAATAATTTCCTTGTTCAGCTCTATCATAACATGGAATAGTTTCTGAACATTAAAATAATCCCAAATTCTAAATCAGAACCTAGCTGACTTTGTTTGAGCATCTTGTTTGATATAAATAGCACGTGTACAGTTTCTTAGACTGTTTAAGTGCTTTTATGAGAGAGTCTACCCAACACCAAAGTGTATTTGCCATGCTTCCTTGGGGACAGCATAGAAGTAGTTTGTAGTTGCCTTTTTCAGAGAGATTTTTAGTCTCTGCATAAGAACAGAAATTAATGCAATTAATAAGAATTTAATCTCACACAAATCCATAACACTCTTAGTCTAAAACCTTCAGTGTAGTTTCAAAAATTGCTGATTCTCATCTATGAAATATCAGGGAAAGATACTTAATATTCTGTTACGGTTTGTGAACTATGAATTGGATTTAAAATAATACTACATACGCCGATTATTATTTTGTGTTCAGTATTCTCTGATTTCCAACCTAATGTTCCCTGGCGTGCTCTTTTTAAATAAAGAATGTTTTTTATGGTTCAAAAATGAATCTTTTCTCATTTTTCCAGGCCACCATTGGAATTGATTTCCTTTCAAAGACTATGTATTTAGAAGACCGCACGGTAAGTGGATTTATCTGTCTGCTAAGGTTTGATTGATTCATCTCTCTCGCAATCCCATGTTACTTTCCCCCATCAACATGATCTGTGGCTTGAATCTCCAGGTGGGAACCTAGGGGTACCAGTGTGCCCATAGATATTCTTGAACTCTCATATGTTTTCTCCCCTGATTGCCTTTTACATTAAAAAAGTTAAAGTTTTCAAAAACGGAAGATGGCACATTGAAATCATTTTCATTCCATAAATACATTTACCCTTAGATTTCCAACTTTTGCCTGGATATCCTTCAACTTGCCCCAAGAAAAAAGTAAGCATAGCATGGGAGGTAAATGAATTGTTTTGTAAATTGTTATATCCTCTGGAAGCTGTGATTGAAGCCCACCTTCAATTCAGTAATCATTTTATGAAGGTTTCCTTAAACATGGTTTCAAAATAAGCCTTCACTCCAGTCTATAGGAAGAAAGAATTGGCAGATTGAATATATTTCATTGACGCCCATTTTACAATCTGTGATTGGATACTGGCAGCTTGGTGTGGCAATTCCATTGTTTTATCATTGGTCCAGAGTGCAGGCTTGATCTGAATTTCCTTTAAGGGTTCAAATCCCTAGTGCCGTGTAATGGGGTGAGCACCTGTTACTTGTCCCAGCTTCTGCCAACCTAGCAGTTTCAAAGCACATAAAAAATGCAAGTAGAAAAATACCTTTGGTGGGAAGGTAACAGCGTTCTGTGCGCCTTTGGCATTTAGTCATGCTGGCCACATGACCACGGAGACGTCTTTGGACAGCGCTGGCTCTTCAGCTTTGAAACAGAGATGAGCACTGCCCCCTAGAGTCAGGAACAACTAGCACATATCTGCAAGGGGAACCTTTACCTTTAAGATACTCTTTTAAGGAGGAGGAGAGAAAGGGCATGTAAGGTATCCATGCCTTAGATCAGATTCTATTAAGCTTGCAAATCAGACTAGCTACATTTTTCTCATTTTTCTCTCCAGCCTCATGGCACTGCCTTTTATTCTGTCTGGTGCATGGGCCAGTCTGCTGATTTTGGCAGCTTGAGGGAGACCAGTCTACCATCCTGTTCTTACAACAACGCAAAAAGATTTTGAGGACCAACTATCCCTATGGATGAAGCCTAGATTGAGAATGCCTTTGTCATGCAGCAAATATGATGCCTGACAAGGGTACAAACCTAGATCTCTTTGTCCAAATACTTATCCATGAGGTCAGATTGCCCTTGTTTTACTCAGCCGACCTCTTACACAGTCTGAAGAAGCTGTACCTTGAATATTACTTCGTTGTTGTTGTTTTTAATTTTAAGGGATACCAGGAACATTGTAATTTGGGATGAGTTTTCATCTTAGCCAGAACAGAGATTTTATACAGTTATATATGAAGGAAGTCAGCTTTACAGGGCAAGATAATTCTTGTCTTAAGTTGTCGTCTGGACCAAACAATAGATTTTTTTACAATTGTGGATATTTTGAATGGTCAACAGTAGCCTCCATCCACCAACTCAGTAACTGCAGATACGTTGAAGTATCTTGAGCCACTTCCTGATTTACCGTAGGGTGAACAGCAGTTTTTCCTCATGGAGTGCCTCTTGTTTGTGAGTGATGAGTTTTGTCTTCATGATTGACTTGCTTAGCACAGTAGAACCAGGACAGAAGTTGTGCAACAGAAGCAATTCCATGATGGCCTGGATGGACTTGCAGTTCCTGAACCCGGAATAAAGCATAAGGAAAGATAATAGTAGAAGATTCAAGCCAAATGATTCATGGGATTGTTGGGGGTGGGAAAATAAAGGCTACCAGGTCTTTCATAAAGAGTTCCATCTGGAGGAATAGATGACAAAAGCTTTTTTTTGTTTGCTTATTTAGGAAAAAAACATGACACTTCATTTTTAGTTTTACGCTGCATTTTAGTTTCATTTTAACTTCCCTCTTATTTATTTGCATTGTTTCTTTTGAGTGTTGTCATTTTTTTTAATTTCACATGCATTTTGCTTTATGTTTTTTTATTTTTGTCCATATTCCTGCTCTTCTCTTTCCTCCTCTCCACCCTTCCCTCCCCCCTCCCCTACATTTTCTCTTTTCCCAGATCAGGCTGCCGCTGTGGGCCGGGGGAGATTCCGCAGCCTCATTCCCAGCTACCTCCGGGACTCTGCTGAGGCTGCCATTGTCTTTGACCTGACAAGTAGGTATTGGGGTTTAAGCTCAGCAGGCCCCTTGCTCTGATTGAGGGGAGAACTGAGTTCTAGTTCTCAGAAAGCATCCAGGACTCCGTTCACCCCTCCCAAAGAGAGGCAGTGTTCCATGACATTCAAGCCATGACAAACAGTTGAATAGAATCTCTGGCCACGAATAAATGGGCAGGCCTGGCTTTTATTTTATTTATTTATTTTTTAATTTGGAAGGGACAATAAGATGAGCATATGTCTTCTGGACATACTGATTTTGTATCCCTCCCAAAAGTAATAGATCTTATTGAAATTCTGTGGTATATACCAGTTTTGATCAGAGCACATGAAGTTTCCTGCTTCCTAAGGAAGAGCTGAGATGAAAGCTAACTCTTCTCATTGAGTTCCTCTCCTACTTTTGAATATACCCCTGTATAACTCATAACGCTTTATAGCTCCACAAATTACAGGTAGTCCTTGACTTACGACCACAAATGAGCCCAAAATTTTTCTGACTAAGCGAGATAGTTGTTTTAAGTAAGTTTTGCCCCATTTTAATACCTTTCTTGCCACAGTTGTTAAGTGAGTCACTACAGTTGTAAAGTTAGTAAGATGATTGTTAAGTGAAACAGGTTTCCCCGTTGACTTCGCTTGGCAGAAAGTCACAAGAAGTAATCACATGACCCTGGGACACTGCAGCCGTCATGAGTCGGTTGGCAAGCAGCCGAATTTTGGTCACGTGACCACAGGGATGCTACAACAGTTGTAAGTGTGAAAAACGGTCATAAGTCAATTTTTTTCGCTGGGACTTTTTGTAACTTTTAATGGTCACTAAACGTCAGTCAAGGACTACAGGTACAGAAAAAATTCTCCCAAGGATTGTGTGGGAACAGTTAGCTTTGACATTTTAGTTGGCTTTATTTGAAAGCTGAATTGTTTTCTCTTAATTCCTCTGCTGTTGACAATTCTGTATACATCTTAATTTTTTTTCTGTATATTCCCACTTTTATTTGCTTATATATTTTGAGTCGCTCTTCATCAAAAGCTGTTTTAGTGCCGTTCATGCTAACTTGAGAATTGCAAAAAGAAAACTTACAAGTTTGTTGTAGGCAGAAAAAACATTGGTTAACTGAAAGTGATGAGCTCAGACCACTCCATTCCAACCTCAGATCCTTCTGTATATTCCAGAAGTCATCCAAATTGGCTTATTCTAAGTGATCTAGAACCTGGAATATTTTGATACTTCTACTAATAATAATAGCAATAGCACCTGGATTTATATACCTCTTCATAGAGTTTTACAGCCCTCTCTTAAGAGGTTTAAATCAGCATATCGCCCCCAACAATCAGGCCCTCATTTTACCGACCTTGGAAGGATGGAAGGCTGAGTCAACTTTGAGCCGGTCAAAGACTGTGGACAGAGTTAGTCTGCAATACCCCACATTCTAACCACTCTGCCACAGGAGCTCTCATAATCCTATAAAATTCAAATGAAAGCCATACTTGTAAACTATTTAGACAGGCAAGAGTCAACTTAATATCATAGTTAAGGCAGAGAGAAGAAATTGGAAGACTGAATTCTAACTCCTGAATCACCAAACCAGTTGGATTACTTTAGCCAGTCACTCTCTTTCAAGCTAGAATGACAATGGAAAGTCACTTCAAAAATCTTGCCAAAAAACACTGCTTTAAAACTGCTGCACCCCCTTCAAAACTCTTACTATAATTAATAGGTTCATCTTGAAGATGTAAAAAGCTGATGCAAACAATGGTTCGTATAAAATGGTTCATGTTTTAGGAAGCAGACGACTGCTGTATCTGGAAGGTCTTTCGAGGCAAACCTTTTGTTTTTTTCCTCCCCTAATTATAAAGTCAGAGCAGTCTTAACAAGATAACTTCACCATATGTAGCTGCGTTTTAATTTTTATTGTTCCTGTAAATATTCAAAAATAAAATTTGTTGGTTACCATTGTAGAATATGCTTAAGGAGACATATTTTATTTTCTTATCTTCCTGGAGAAATTGTTGACAAAGAAGCTTGGGTGTTGAAAATATTCCTGTGTTATATTTAAGGCTCCCTGGAAAATGGGCATTACTGGAAGACTTGGTGGGATATACCTTTTTATAGAGCCGTGATGGCAAACCTATGGCACATTCCAGAGGTGGCATGTAGAGCCCTCTCTGGGCGGGCACGCCGTCACCAGCTTCTCTTCTGGTTTCAGAAAATAGCCTGAAGACGGCCTGAAAAATGGCCAAAACGGCCAAAAAATAGTCATACAGTGCTGGCCAGCTGGTCATCGGGTCTCTGGCATACACGTGAATGTGCGTTCTGGTTTGGGCACTTGGTGCCGAAAAGGTTCGCCATCACTGCTCTAGAGCATTGATCATATTGGCATAAAATCTCCCACTAGAAATAACTCCCCCCAGTACAATTTTTTTTGCAGTGATCCCACATAGTAGGGTCCCTGATAGATTAGCGTAATGCAGCTAATTTTCTTTTTCTCCAGAACAGATCCATTCACCTTCTATTTATACCGGAAACAAAAGATTATGGTAACAAATAAGTGTTGTTATTCTTATTTTAGGGTGATGTGCAAGCAAGCATCTCCTCCCTTTCTGGCTGTAGTTCATCTCTTAATTCTCCTTGTAGCATCTGTGCTGAGTTGCTTCCGCTACTAAATATTTCCCCTTATTTTTCTTCATTACCCCCATTCCCATTATTATATTTAATAATTATACAACTAGATGGGAGTCTTGTGATTTTGGCAATGTACAAACTTAACAAATCAACAGCATTTTCTGCAAGCAGGTACTGAAGTTCGGGCCTGTTTTTAAAGTCATTCACTTTGTACCAGTAATTCATATTAAAACGATACGTTATTATGCCAGCCATTCTTGACTTGGGGCTTGCCTTGATGAATGTGTACTGGCTTAAAAAGAGGCTTTTAAAAAGAGACTGGACAGCCACCTGGCTGAAATGGTATAGGGTCTCCTGCTTGAGCAGGGGGTTGGACTAGAAGACCTCCAAGGTCCCTTCCAACTCTGTTATTCTGAGTAGAGCAGGTGACCATCTGACAGGCGTATTTTTTCTCACCTTCATTTGTAGTTCAGTCCTTATTGGTGACCGTGGGACACTGCAGTGTTGTAATTGGGAGGCAGATGCTGAACACCCAGATTGTGATCATATGACATAAGGGACACACTGCGGTTGATGTAAGCTTAGGACCAGTCATAAGTACCATTGTTCAGTGCTGTAAGAAGTTTAGTCACTAAATGGGTGGTTGTTAAGCAAGGACTATATGTATATGCTTATCTAGTGGTCCCACATAACCCCATAATATTCTTTCCCATGCTTCATTAATCATATTGGTTGTGTTTTGGAAATAGCAGTAAAATCTTCAGCCAGTGATAGTACTTGGCTCTCAAGCGAAACCATCAGCTTGAGTAATTAACTGGGATGATCTTCATTTGTAGGTTCAGCTAAGTGGTTTTTTTCCCCCCTCTGGTAGTTGTCAAGTATATCAGGCCAACAACACAGGCCCAAACTGAAAGAGAAAATACAATTTTATTCATGGTGTGTCCTAAATTGAAATGAATTTGTTTCTACTAAGTCAAATTACAGACAGTTATCACACAAGCATTCTGACTTCTGAGGCTCCTGGCTCTTGGGGCTGTCAGCTGAGGTTTTAAATTCTTATTGAGTGTGCATCCTCCAACAAGCTCAGTATGAGTAATGTTATCTCATACTTTTTTCACTCGGAAATCTTTATGGCTAAGCAGGGATTTTCTTTGTCTGGTTCTCTTATCATTATGCCCCATCCATTATTACAGAAGTATATAGTATTGTGTGTTTTGCAGGAAGAAACGTTTTCTGTATTGCATGCTCAAAAATAAGAAATTTGGTTCCACTTTATATGGAAGGTTAACTTCTATGAATCTGTCAGATTTCTAGTGGTGACTGTATGGAAAATCGAATATGCGATACTGCAGTGTTATTTTCAACCCAAATGAAATAGATTTTCTAGGAAATAATGACTTTTTGAAGGAAGTTTTTCTTATATAACCCCCATTGTTTTATAGCATGCAAAGATCAAGTAGTCCATGACTCTGTAATTAATCTGTACCACTGGCATTCTCATTTGTCTTGATGGAGAGTTTTTGGAGTGAATTTATTAGATAGCAGAGAGCAGTAGCCTGTGATGTGAAAATTTTCTGTATTTTTGATGCCCATGCTACATTTTCTGATGAGATATTTGTATACAATCCTATAGAATTCCTTCTAATGCATTGCCTTTTCTCTAAAGGACATTTTCTTTTCTTCTTTTTCTTCTTCTTCTTCTGCCTTGTGTCTTTCTGTTTCTTCCCTGGGCTGGTACCAGCAGGTCCGACTTCAGCTTTGGGACACAGCAGGCCAGGAACGGTTCCGTAGCCTCATTCCCAGCTACATACGTGACTCAACAATTGCAGTGGTAGTCTATGACATTACAAGTGAGTGAGAGATTTGTGTCATGGTGTACCAAAACACTTTGCTCTAGGAGAAATCTGAGCCCAGAAGCCCTGAGTCATCCATGAAGGCTCAGTGGGCACAGCTCAGGTGAGGCCATGCTGACAAGCAGAAGGCCCTTAGGGCCTAGGCAAAGAACCAAGCTTTGTTTGTTTGTTTATCTGTTTGTTTGTTTATATGTCATATTTCTAACCCACCCATCTCCCTCAAAGAGGGCCTCTGGGCAGTGTACAATATTATATAACCAGTAAATAAAACAATGCATGAAAATTAACATCAGAAATTAGAGTTAAGCTTTTCAAAATTATAGAATAATGACGATTAAACATCAAAAGGGGGAAATCTTACAATGGCCATTTAACATTGGATTATTACCAGTGCAGGGGGGGGGTGCTCTCAAGGGACTAGACAGCCCCAGTTTTGTGAGGTTCTCCGTGTTGCCACTCAAATCTGCAGAGCGAAGTGTTGACCGCTTTATGAAAAGCCAAGAGATTGGGGACTTTCCTTACCTCTGGGGAACGAGATGTTGCACAAAGTGGGGGCAGCGGCAGAGAAGGCTCTCTTCCTAGGCCCCACCCGTCGAAATTCTTTGACTGGAGGGGTCTGTAGCATACCTTCCTTGCCTGGTCAAGTGAGACGGGCTGGTGAGGTAGGAGGAAGCCGCTTCTGTGGGTCTTAATATTCCATAGGTGTTAATTCTGTTCTTTGACCCGACTGTAGTGCATTGAGCTACCTTCTCCTTGCAGATCTGAATTCCTTCCAGCAAACCTCCAAATGGATCGACGATGTGCGAACAGAAAGGGGAAGTGATGTCATCATCATGCTGGTGGGCAATAAAACTGACCTTGCAGATAAAAGGTAATTATAGGGTTTGAAAAGAGAATGTTTGGGGCAGGGAAAGGGGACGATGTACTAGAAAATGTGTGGCTAATACTTGGAAGAGCCAAAGAAACTGCATTCCATCCAGAAGTTGCCCTTGGGTATTCTTTGCCCTTGGGTATCAGTTTGGGATTGTTGGGAGTATTGCAACAGCACATACATACTGCCTCACAGTGCTTTACAGTCCTCTCTAAGCAGTTTACAGTCAGCATATTGCTCCCAACCATCTGGGTCTTCGTTTTACCAATCTCGGAAGGATGAAAGGCTGAATCAATTAGGTCAGGATTGAACTCCTGGCAATGAGCAGAGTTACCCTGCACTCCTGCATTCTAACCACTGTGCCACCACATCTCAGCAATGCCTGGAAGACCACAGATTCTCTACTATTTGGCATGCAGAAAATGTCTTTTTCTTTCCCTTTTCATCAAAAGAGCAGAATTAAATATTGGAAAGGACCTGGCAATATCAGAGTCGATGCTGTAGTGAAATGGACACACTAATTTATTTCTTTTATCTCCAAGGTAGATTAAAAAAAAAATTCTTGCAGCTTACTCTACCAGCACAAAAATATTATTCATGGACCTTAGTACCATTCCTATTATTTTTCACATCTAACTTGAGTGTGTTTGCCTTATTCTTCCGCCAGTAAAACTCCCGGGGAGGCTTACATAGATCAGTGATAAATTCCCTCCAGCTTGTAATGCAAAATTCATGACACATAAGAAAAGCAGTAGGAAGAGGCTGAGGTTGAGACACCATTGATGGAATGTAGCTGCCGCTGAGAGCTACAGTAGGGTAAAAGGCCTTACTTCTTTCCCTTAAGCTATGCTATTTTTTGGAAAAGCAGGATCAATTGTTCCTTGCTGTGCATCTTTTCATCTTTCTTATGTTGGCGTTTCTATTGGAGATGATCTAATAGGGTCTGTCCCAACATGTTCTCAAGCTGTTCTTTGAATGGAGGAGGTGAAATTTCTGATCACGGCGCAGTAAAATCCTCACTAGGTCATTGTGTGTGTGGTGTGTTTAGTGTCTTGTTAATTGGTATTCAGCGGAGGTACCTCTCTCTTGATCTTGCACGAATTCTTATTCACTGGAAGCCGCTTAAACAATAAGCTTGTTTTTGCACCCCAGAATTGAGCTCATGGAATAAGAGTTGGCTGGAATTCTTCCAGAGTAATACATTCCTTTTTTTTTTTTTTTTGACTCTGCTGATTATCTTTAAAGAGTGCAAAGTGTTGGGTTTTATTTTCTTTGTTTTTAAATAACTACCAGCCAACTGGGAAACAGGCCAGTCAAAGGACTTACTGCTAGAAAGATTCGGTTTGATGGATGCATTAAAAGACTTACAAAAATGTTTTGAGCTTCTGAGGTTGCTTCTACTTTCATGGCATATTATTTCACAATATAGGTACCACCTCAAAGCAACTTAAATGAATTTCTGATAGTCAAGAAATCAGACAAGAAGAGTGGTGCGGTGGCCTAGAGGTGCCTCACAATCAGGAGGCTGTGAGTTCGATCTAGGTAGAGGTAGATATTTCTCTCTGAGCACAATGAGAATATATCTGCTGAACAAAGCTCTGTGTTGGTGACAGGAAAGGCATCCAGCCAGTAAACATCCTGCTAGCTCTATTCAGTTGCTCATACTCCATCCCGCAAGGGATTATGGGGTCGTTAAAAGATGATGGTGACGATGAAAGCAGACAAGACCCATTAAGGATGTGCCTTTGGTAGACATCTGTACAGCATGGGTCTGTAAAAAAATATATATGTATATGAAATCTTATTCTGTTCACCGCCCTGAGTCCTTCGGGAGAAGGGCGGTATAGAAATTCAATAAATAAATAAATAAATAAATGGGTCAAATTGTATAGGAATGCAATAGGAAATCAAATAATTGGGCCTGAACTGTTTTAAAACAGAATCCCATCCATTAGTTAATTTTCCTTTTCATTTCTGCAGAAGAGGGCTTACAAAGAACATAAAAATTCAATAAAATAAACCAACAATAAAAGTTGGATTTACTATAGAAGTGGGTATGTATAGCTTGTTAGATTGCTGTCAGATAGTTAATTCCTACAGAGCTGCAAGACAACCTTTTAGGCAATATGGAACTCAGTCCAGCAAAAGCTATTAAATCATGCAAAGCTGCCCTTTCTGGTGGTTTTTTTTGCAGTCCCTTCCAGGAAACAAAAATAGGTTTAGCCAGTGCCATTGGCTAGCATTCATTCCTTAGAGCTTTGATTTAGTGGGACATAGAAATGCATAAAAATATGTTTTCATTACTGTAGATCTGATGAATTTAGTTTGCCCACAGCCTTCAGCCAAACATCACATGCCCCCTTGAGCTAATTTCGAAAGCCTTCTTGGGAAACTGTTAGTTTATGCTTTTGGCAGGCTGGTTGCAAAGGCCTCAGAAGTCTCGTTTCTTACTTTCCAGGCAGATTACTACAGAAGAAGGTGAACAGAGAGCCAAAGAACTAAGCGTGATGTTCATTGAGACTAGCGCGAAGACGGGCTACAACGTGAAGCAGGTAATTTTAACTGCAAGTTTCCATAGAAATTGTTCCATCTGGTTTGAGATCCCCCTCCCCCTCCTTAGCAAATGTGGGCTTCCTTTGCTTAACACCGACATCATCTACAAGATGAGCTTTTCCAGCTTTAATTAATGTTTCATTTTTAGTATCTTTAAAAAAGAGGAGCTGCAATGTCACTTTATTTATTTATTTATTTATTATTTATTTATTAATTCAATTTGTATGCCGCCCCTCTCCGAAGACTCAGGGCGGCTCACAATGCATTTAAAATCATTATAAAAAACATTTAAGAATTAAAAACATTAAAACTCATTCACACCATTCATGGCCGGATCTCGCCATTAAACTACTTCTGGTTTAAGGGCCTTTCATGCTAACTGCTGAAGGGCTTTTAGCTCTGTACATTGGATATGGAGATGTTTTAGCTCTTCCACGTCTATTCTCATGAGGGTAGACTTCATATTCCACTACATGCACTATGTTCACAAAGTTTGGGGTGTTATCTTTCAGCTTTTCCGCCGTGTTGCTGCTGCCTTACCTGGGATGGACAGCGCTCCCGAGAAGAGCAAAGATGACAGTATCCTTACCCTGCTGATCAGGAGCTTTGTACTGTATTTACAGACTTTTTCTGTCTACCGTGTCATTTTTAGAGATGATATTATTATTATTATTATTATTATTATTATTATTATTATTATTATTATTATTGAGATTTATATGCCGCCCTATCTCCAGCCAGACTCAGGGCGGCTCACAACAGTAAAAAACATCTAATGAAAAAGTTAAAAAGAAATTAAATCCAAATCTCATAATTTAACAGTTAAAAGTGCAATTAAGACTAACAAGTTAAAAATTAAAACCCCATCAGTCCAGGCCAGCCAAACGAAACAGCCACGTTTTCAGGTCGCAACGGAAAGAGCGGAGGTCGGGGGCCACTCGGAGCTCCAGGGGCAGTTGATTCCAAAGGGTAGGTGCGCCCACAGAGAAAGCTCTCCCCCTGGGGGTCGCCAGCCGATACTGTCTGGCCAACGGCATATCTAGCTGGTTCTTTCCCCCCCCCCCCTCCATCGGTGATCTTACAGGCAAATTGCCAAAGTCAAGCAATTGGCCATCTCAACCTTCAGACCTGTCAATTTTGCATGTATCCAAAAGGACATTGAAAGGTTGTTAAGGTCCAACCTATTACTTCTGGAAGTAGAGTTGAGCCAGTTCACCTGTTTAAAAGAGGGGTCCCCAATCCCTGGGCCATGGACAACTATCAGCCCACGGCCCATTGGGAACCAGGCCGCCAAAACAGCAGGCAAGGGTGTGAAGTTTCATTTGTGCATGTGCGGGATTTCGGTTGCATGTGCAAAACTATTTCCCCACACACACACCGTCGCTGTTGAAACCACTGAAGCCATTGCCGCTACTGCCAGTCCTCAGAATGAAAAATGATAGGGGCCCCCACTTTAGAAGCTATTTCTGCTCTCTGAGTTTGTCTCCCAATAACCTTTTACTTGGAGTTGGGTTTTTTTCTGGAATGCTGACAGCTTCATTGTTTTCTTGCAGATGTTTCAGTATCCAAGCTAGGTAACATCCTCAGTGATATCATGTTACCTAGTTTGAATAATGAAACATCTGCAAGAAAACAACCAGGCTCAGAAAACACCAAGGACCTCTCAGAATTTAGTATTTCCAAAGGATAATTTAATCAAGGTGGTCCAGTTTTCATCTGCATCCATCCCGTTAATGTTTTGGATAATACTTCCCAAATGCCAGTGGGAAGGACAAGGGCTGATTCCCTCAGTAGCAATAGCAGTAGCACTTAGACTTATATACCGCTTCACAGTGCTTTACAGCCCTCTCTAAGCGCTTTACAGAGTCAGCCTATTGCCTCCAACAATCTGGGTCCTCATTTTACCCACCTCGGAAGGATGGAAGGCTGAGTCAACCTTGATCCCGGTGAGATTCAAACTGCCAAATTGCAAGCAGCTGGCAGGCAGCAGAAGTAGCCTGCAGTACTGCATTCTAACCACTGCGCCACCACAGCTCAAGCTCATTTGATGGGCTTTGTGGGATCAAAGAGATCTATTTGGGTTTTTGTGTGTGTGTGTTTTTCAGCTTGTTCTCCCACCATAGAGACGTGTTTTCCTTAACCTCTTCTCTCCAGTGATTGACATCAAACTAGAGAAACCTCCTGAGCAGCCTGTGACGGAGAACGGCTGTTCTTGTTAAATGTTCTCCAGCGTGGCAGCCCCCCCTTCCCAGTTAGCCAGTTCAGTCTCTCACCGAAGAGCTCCACTTCTTACTGACTACCAAAACACGACTGTTCCAAGGGCCGAAAAGGCCACTTTAATAGGCGATTGGAGTCATCCCGTCTCCTCCCCCCCCCTCTCCCCACGTCGTGTGGACCAGCCCCAGTTGCTCCCGTTTACTGCATGGTGTGAACCCTCCAATGCCTCTTGCCCTTCGTTGGTTGTTGCACTTTGGTGCTGCTGCGGCACTCTTCTTTGCTAGGTTTTCCTTGCTGGGTTGTCCTATGAATGTGCAAGGGAGGAACTTTGTCCATCTTTAAAAAAATAATAATAATACTGGTAAACTTACCATAAAGGAGCTCATGCATTCTTCCCTTCTCCACCTCCCCCCACTTTTTCTTTTTTTAAAAAAAAACACCTTTCTACCGCTGTTTTTTTATTCATTTGCAAATCCTCTTGATTTAACTAAGTCTTCGTTGATAGCAAGAAGAAACGTGTCATCCTACTTAACGTTTCTGTTGTTGTTTCCTCACGGATGGTGCTAAGGAAGAGGGGAACCCCTCAGAGAGGATTGACACACGTTCTTCTCTCTCTTTCCAGATTACCTTAAGTATCTTTTTATCCCAAATGGACTGATTTATCCCTCCACCCCACCCCCCTCGTCCATTGCTGGATATGTACAGAGATGGTAGGCAGAAATGGACCGGTGGGGGGAAGGGTCCTGAGCCTTTATGTGGGAAACCTGGTTCCTGCATAGTGCTGAGTTGGGGAGTTTCCAAAATGGATGCGTATTCTCCAGCAGTTTATTCCACCTTGCTCTCTTCCCTTCTCTTAATACTCTCAGGAAAAAAAAAAATCTTCTTCTTCGTGAGTTTCTGAAGTAGAGGGTAGCTGGATTAAACAAGAGACTTCCCTAGGCTCAGACCAATGCCAGGAGCTGCTATTTTTACATAATTTATCACTCATGACTTATTTGAAATATGCAAAGTGCTTTACAACGGCCTCCACTTTTTGCTTCGTTCCTTGGTTTGTCATTTTGAATTATGTGTCTCTACATCAGTCTGCTCCAACCTGCAGATGCGCCGAACTACTCTCTTCTATATTTCCTAGGCACTAAGGCCCAGGATTTGCAAATTTGGAAAGTGTTAGGTTGGGGAAGAGTTCCCATAGACGGCTATAAGAGTCCTGCTGAGTCCTTGTCTCACTGTTGGAAGGTCCTCATTTTGAATTCTAGGTCTTTAGTCCACTCCTTTACCCTGGCCTTCAAAACCTAGATATCTAGTTAAACATGGAGTTGTTTTTATTTCATGTACAGTGGAAGAAATGCTAATCCTTGTCAGATGTCTGCTGGTTCTACAAAGAATATTGTACGTATTTAAAAGAAAAAAAAACTAGAAGTTTGCATAGATTTCTTAAGCTTCTGATTTAGCACAGAATTTATTTTCAGGTATTTGCTCTTTGACTGAATGCAAGTTGCACTAGCATGCAAACTAACATGGGAAGACAGGTAGAAGATGGCATGAACTGGATAATATTTTCTGATGATATTTGAATAACATGTTTTGTTTGTCTCCGTGTGATTGTCCTCCCGTAGATCAGCCTTCCTGAATTACAGCTCTTGAGTTCCTAATCTACGTGGCTACTGGCAGTATAGGCCAGTATTTCCTAACCTTGAGAAGTTTAAGATGTTTGGACTTCAACTCCCAGAATTCTGGGTGCTGAAGTCCACACATCTTAAATTTGCTGAGCTTGAGAATAGGCTGAAGATTGCTGGGATTTGTCATTTGAAACAAAAGATTATGGGAGTTGTGATCTGACCCATTTAAACAGTGCTGTGGAGAATGGGTCCTGTTGTGTTGGTCTTGCTTTTGAGTATAGTTTATAAAGATCTCTGTGCCTGTAATTTTACAACCAGGCGATGAGCTGATGCAAAGTATATAACTCATCGAGGTTGGGGATGATAAGGTGATATTAACCATTTTCTTTTGACTTGACTTGTGGAAGGATAGTAACACAAGATGTGGTCTTCTGTGATTTTTCTCACTTTTTCTGCTGAACATGGCCTGAGCTCATCTGAAGCCAAAGTCACTTTTATCCTCTTCTGAAAGAATTTGGGAATTAATACCAGAAACGTTATCCAAAATGAGTTCTGCCTATCCGACCCAGCATAAGCATTTCCTTTTCCCCATCTGAGGATTTCTTTGGTCTGCTTCTTTCACAGGGACTGAGCTGCAAACGATTGATTTTCTGCTTTGTCTAAAATGGCCTCCTCCTCCTCCCCGGCTGCACCCATTTGCCAACTCTTCTCTCAGAGTCCTGGGCAGCAGAGTTGAATCCTTCCCTTAAGTTCACAGGAAACCATCAAACGGGAAACGCTTTACATCAAAGGATGCTAATCTTTACCCAAGCAGTACTGCTACAGCCACAGTTATCTGCAAGATACATCATGAAGTACCCGAAGAAGGCTCAAACTCAACTTTCTTGCTTGAGAAACCATAGAGATGAGCCAATCTTGTTTCAGTTTATCGATGCTGCAGGAAGTTGGTGGCTTTTTCTTAGCCCTTTGGTGTTTTGCTGGTACCCCCTCGTCCCCAATCTAGAAGCCTCATGCATAAAGGATGACAACAGTTATGCAGATGCATAGAATATTTGTATTAGGCCTCTGCACGTCCACCCTCTTCCAGCACTCTTTCCTCTTCTCTCAAAGGTGCTTTTTCAAGAGGCCACCGGACTTGCATTTCGCTCCTCATCCAAGAAAGCGTCATCAGTTCTGACTCAGAACTAATGATGCTTTTTGGATGAGAAGCGAAATGTTTTCTTCCTCAAAGAAAAAAAAAACGTAGTCCGGTTGCCTCTTGAAAAAAGCACCGTTGAGACAACCTGGATGACACAGGATTGCCATAGACCAGAGTTTTCAAATTTGGCAGCTTTAAGATTTGTGGACTTCAACTCCCAGAATTCTCCAGCCAGCTGGCTGGAGAATTCTGGAAGTTAAAAGTCCACAAGTCTTAAAGCTGCCAAGTTTGAAGACCTCTGCCATAGACACTCCATCCTCTTGTTTTTGGAATTGAGAAAAAAATCACATAGGTCTCCCTGCATTTAGAAATCGGTGCTTGTAAGGGCCAGCCTCTTAGCCCTGGCACCGAGACTTCCCATTGCTCAAAATTCCCGCTTTTCTGCTGCCTTTGAAGGCACCTGCAGCCTTGAAATCTTTGAAGAAGTAAGTGCGTTGAATTATTTCCAATTCTTAAAAGCACCACTGACCTCTTCCAGAATGTTGGCCACACCATATCGGGCTGCAGAGAGAATCAGTTCCCTTCTTCGATGTGCAAAGCTGCTCTGGCATCTTCCCACATGCCTTTTACCTGAACCCAGGTAGCCTGCGTTTATCCCTTTCCCTCTCCATCAGAATCAGCCAGCCTTGCAGAGCTTGGCTCCCTGGATTTCAAAAGCAACTCCCCCACCCCCCTTTGCAAAAGGCCTGTTCCCAACCTGTATAGATAACTATATATAGATCTAGAGAAAGATATATACTCCCTATTGTGTGGGAATTGGCAATGTCCTGTCACGTGTCTGTTCCTTTCTCCGCAGTTAACTGGGGCTGCTGCTCTCTCTCTCTCCCTTTTTCCTCCAGCCACTGCTGTCGTGGTGTTCTTTGAAGATGCACTGGAAAACTACTCTCTCTGGAGATTAGGGATTTAAAAAAATAAAATAAGAAAAAAATAGGAAAAAAAAGCATCAATGTTTGTGGGTCGAGATGGCGGTTTTGGGGGAAAATAACCTTGTGAACGACACTGTTCGCTTTCCCCTGCCTTCTCTGTGATTGTGTATAATACTTGAGTGTGTGTCTCGGGGTCTGCTGTCTCCTAGCTGTTAGCCAACTAAGTGACTCTTGATATATGAATATTGACTGTCAGACTGCAACTGTGTATCACACTAAATAAATTCAGTTCACCACAGTTTTTGGTGTCGTCGTGATGGGCTTTTAAGGAAACTCTTGCATCCGGTAATGCTCGCTTTCCAACTTTCGGCGAGAGGCTGTTGAGCGCATATTAAAAGAGCAAGAAATCCAGGAATCTAGTAGCAATTTTTTTTTCAGGTCACAACATTTATTCAAAGGCCAACGGACAGTTTTCATTCCCACTTTTTAATGGAAGCTAAATGGAGAAATGAAAGAAAGCACTGAACCTCTTAACTCGGCAGCCTTTTTTGCAAAGCTCTTCCGTAGCCACAAGGACCGAAAATTATATTTCAAGTGAAGAGAGTCGCTTTAGCTCTGGGATTCTTCCATGAACTCTGCCTCCATTCATCATTTAAAACAGACAATTTGTCTGTTTTAAAAGGCAACACACGGGGGTCCTTGACACGCGCTGATCTTGTTTGATTTCTTGCAGATCTAGTGATATTGGGTAGAGAAAGCAAGTAAGTCACCAAGCTCGGCACCAAGGACCCCACTGCTCACTCCCGAGCTACAAATATTCTCTTCCATAAGCTTATAAGCTTCTTTTATTACTTCATCCTCTTGCAGATTTTGAAGCTAGGTAGTTCCCTGTAGCTTCAGAGCTGTAAACTGATACTGGAAAATTAACACTACCATCTGATAATAGATTGAATAAACAGTGCAAGATAAAATCCAACATTAACCCTTTTTTTTTTCCTGGAATAACCGTTTTTCTTCATGCACCGTGCTACCAGTAGTAGTCTCAGTTCCCTTGTCTACTTTGTGGTTAATGTGAAAGTTGATTTCCCACAGCAATGCAAGTGAACAAAAATATGATTGTATCTCCTTTTTTTAATCTGGAAGCCCTGTAATTGTGAACTACAAATCCATAATCCACTGTAGCTGCAGTTTTACATGGGTGAGGCTTAGAATAAACATGCAGATGTGGGCTTTTGCTTGTCAAAAGAAGATATTTTATAGCTTTACAGTTATAATTTATACTCACCTGCCCTGGGTGCCTTCTTTTGCTTTCTGGGTTCGACACAAGAGTTTGGATAAATGTTGTGTAACGAGTTCGCATCTCAATAGGCAGAAAAATTGGTTTGAACAACTTCGTAACCCTGTGTTATTCCCCCAGTTTGTCGCTATTAAAAGGTTTGGATGTTGACTGGCCTATCAGATGTGTGCAATTAAAGCATTAATGTGAATTATCTCAACAGGGCAGGCAAGTATAGTAAAATAAGTTTAGCCAAATGTATAACATCTGTAATTGGGCAATTAGGTTTATTGGACCAGGCAAAAATTGAAAAGATAAATGAAAACGTGCACAGCCATGGTATTTGGTGTATGTGTGTTCTAAAAAACCCAGTGATGGTGTGAATTCCTGGCAGGCTTACCTTATTTGTCCTTTTATTATTCAGGAGGGGTTTATATTATCCCTTTTTCAAGGTTGTACAAACAGCTCATGATCTCAGTATCAAGGGTGTTTTCAAGCAAATGAACTGCAATACTAGAAATGTGTCTTTGAAGCTTAAAAATGGGGGGGGGGGGCATGACAAACCTTGGGGTTAATTTAAATTATACAGCAATGTCATATTTGACAATCCCCATCAACCATCTCTCGGGCAAATGTGCCTAAGGAGAGGTCCAGAGCTGAGAGACCCATCGACGGAGCATCTTCTAATATAATATTTATTTATTTATTTATTTTATCCGGCTTATATGCCGCCCTATCTCACAATGGACTCAGGGCGGCTCACAACAATAAAACACAAGCCACAATATAAAATAAAGACCAAAATCTAAAAAATTTAAAATTAACCCTTAAAACCAATTAAAAACCCCATCATCAGTCCAGGTCAAGGGATTTGAAAAGCCAAGTTTTTAATTCCCGGCGGAAGGTGCGAAGGTCAGGAGCTAATCGGAGCTCCAAGGGGAGTTGATTCCAGAAGGTGGGCGAACCGACCAAGTCATTGGATTTATTGATCAGCCCATCACCAGCAGATAAAGCTACCTAATTTTTAAGGGATTAATCCTTTCATTTAGAGCAGAGGTCTTCAAACATGGCAGCTTTAAGACTTGTAGGACTTCAATTCCTGGCTGGAGAATTCTGGGAGTTGAAGTCCACAAGTCTTAAAGCTGCCAAGTTTGGAGACCCCTGATTTAGAGACATCCAGAATTTGGTCCATGCATGGCATGCAGTTAAAGCTCCGATTCGTGGCTCAGTACTGACCCAAGACTTTTAAAAGCTTTTTTATACAATTTCATAGTTTGGATCTTGGTCTACCATATGGCAGTTTCTCAAATCTCAACTTTAAACCTTGTGGACTTCAACTCCCAGAATTCCTGGCTGGGGATTTCTGGGAGTTGAAGTCCACCCAGCTTAAGGTAGGAAATTGGCCTGGCCTGCACAAGGAAATCTGTGTCTGCGCTCATCATGCGGAAGGGTTAAATTCCCCCAAGCAAAACCTCCCCCCTCTGGGACAGGCACTTCTCTGCATTTCACATGTTCTCTGTGTGGCCTTTTCTGCCAGAACAGCCTTCCTGGCTCAAACAAAAAGCTGCTCAAAAAAGAGCTTTTAAACAAGACAACCTCAAAGATCCACCTCGTTTACACACAGCCCTCCTCCCAGGAGCAACTCCAAGAGGAATTAATCTTGGAATAATTTCTAGCAAAAACACCTCCCCTCCCAACGGCAGGTGGAACTATTTTCGCTTTTTTGCAAAACGTCTTTTGCAAAACGGTTTGGTGGTGATCGGTTTTTCTCACGCCCACGTTCTCCGTCTCTGGAGTTGTGGGTAGATTTTTATGGTTTTTAAATCACAACTTGCATTTGCTTTTACGGCACAGGGACGAGTGCAGATGGCGAAACCAGACGGTGCATAAGCAGGGTGCATTTAAAAGAAGCCAATGTGCTTCGTAGCCCCAATTGAGAGTTGCAGGGGAGGAAAATCTGGAGTTTTTCACCTCCTCCCTCTTGCTTTCAAAAAACCCCAAGAAATATTTTTACCGGCAGGCAAGAAGTTGCAGTTGAATATGGATGTTTTTTTCTTTTTTTTCCTTTTTTTTGAAACTATTATTTATTTTCTCTTATTTTTTCCAATGCTTTTGTACTGGAGACAAATTCCTTGTGTGTCTAGCCACACCTATCCAAATAAATATTCACTTAACAAACATGTCACTAACTTAACAATTGCAATGATTCACTTACCAACAGTGGCAAAAGAAGTCATAAAGTGAGGGTAAAAGTCACTTAACAAATGTTGCACTTGGCAACAAAAATGTTGGGCTCAATTGTGGTTGTAAGTCAAGGAATACCTGTAATATTTCAGGCTTTTTTTTTTTTACTTTTTAATTGTCCTCCCACTCTCACTCATTTTTTCTTAAAAAAATATTTCTGGCTCAGTTTTCCAAACCTCCCTCCCTCCCTCCCTCCCTCTCTCTCTCTCTCTCTCTCTCTCTCTCTCTCTTTCTTTTTCTTTCTTTCTTTTCTTTCTTTTTCTTTCTCTCTCTCTCTTTCCCCACTTCTCCCTCTTTCTCTTCCTCCCTCACTCCCTCCCTTCCTCCCCCTCTCTTTCTCCCTCTTTCTCTCCCACCCTTCTTCCCCCCTTCTCCCTCTTTCTCTTCCCCCCCTCTCTCCCTCCCCCTCTCTCCCTCTTTCTCTCCCCCTTCTTCCCCCCTCTCCCTCTTTCTCTCCCTTCCTCTCTTTCTCTGCCCTTCTCCCTCTTTCTCTTCCCCCCTCTCCCTCTTTCTCTCCCACCCTTCTTCCCCCCTCTCTCCCTCTTTCTCTTCCCCCCTTTCTCTCCCTTCCTCTCTTTCTCTGCCCCCCCTTCTCCCTCTTCCTCTCCCTCCCTCTTTCTCTCCCTTCCTCCCCCCCCTTCTGCCTCCCTTACTTTCTCTCCCTCTCTCCCTCCTTTCCTTCCCTTCCTCCCTCGCGCGCGAGGCGGTTGCAGCGGCTCCTCCCGCCCGGCCGGGGCTTCCATCCCGGAACGCGCCCGACGGAGCGCCCGGCGTCTCTCAACAGTCCTCGGCGGAGCCCTTTCCCCGGCCGCCCTTTGAAACCTCGCCCGGCGCGGGGGCGGAGAGCAGCGCCTTCCCAGCCGCGGAGCCCCGGCGGGAGGCGGGCGGCCAGGCAAGCGGGCGCTCCCGGGCGCGCCCAATCAGCGCCTCCCCTGCCCGCCGTGCGCTCCTTTGGCCCCGGCCGGCCTGGGAGCCTGGCACTCGTCCTGGGCGGCCCGGGAAGCCTCGGGCGGCGCCGCTCCTCCTGCTGCTGCTGCTGCTGCTGCTTTGGCCGCCCGCCCCGCCCGCTCACCTGCCCGCTCACCTGGGCTGCTTCTCCGGCCGCGGCGGCTGAGACGGGACGCCCCGCATGGAGCCCGTCAGGCTCCCCGACGAAGCCGCCTTCCGCGCCTTCCAGGCGGAGTGCGAGACGGAGCTGGGCTGGCTCAGCCGCTACAACCGGGATGGCATCGCCGTCTGGGGGCAGCTGCCTCCCCAGGGGGACGTCGCCGTGCACCGCGTCAAGGTGAGCCGGCGAGGGAAGCCTCCGTGGGAATGGGCCGACACGTGTTAGCGGGCAAAGCCAGGCCACAGAGGCGCCGGCCGCGGGGAGGGAGAGCAACAAAACTTCCCCCCCCCCTCAAAAAAAAGACACCCCTCCCCACTTCTCTGCCAGCAGCGAAGCCCCTTAGCCTTCTTCCAAGACTTGCGGGTGGGTGGCTTGCGTGTCAGCCCTCGCCTGTCCCGAAGGGCGCATTCTTCCCATGTTTTCCCGAGTTGCGGGTTAGTCAAGCGGGTGTCCATGCGTTCACACGTGCCTTGGGGCTGCGGAGTCCGCCATCCAGGAGGGGCTCGGACTTTGCCTGCGTGATGCTCTCTTGGCCCAAAACCTGGGTTAATCGAGGAAGCCATAGTTCAATGAACTATGAAGGGGAGAAAGTTGTAAACGCAGCCTTTCCCTTCCTGCACGTGTGAATCAAGGAAATTGGGGTTCCCCCTCCTGTCTCTCAGCTGCCACATCCCTTCCGGGAGTTGAGGTTAATAACAAGCCAGGTGTGGTAGGAATGTAACAGAAACCTGACATTAAAAGCCAAATTAGCTGTAGGAACAGAATTTTCCCTGCCTTTTGTTATTCTTTTCTTCTTCTACTTTTGATTCCTATTTATACTTCACTCCTGTTTATGCGAATTTTTCTCCCTTTAATTCTTTGTGTTTTGGGATAGCTCTGAACTAATGCAGCCCAGGTCCTGGTTGGGATGTCGGTGAGGTAGAAAAGATTGGGGGAGATTCATAGACATTTTTTTTTTCAAATGTTTATTTCTTTTATTATATAAAATGCAAAGAAATAAACTAGGATATTAAGGGAAAGAAAAAGAGGGGGGGAAGGAGGTGTGAGATACAAGGGAGGAGAAAGGAGGGAAGGAGGAAAGAAGAAAGGAAGAGAGAAAGAAAGGAAAGGAAGGAAGGAAGGAAGGAAAAGAAAGAAAGAAAGAGAAAGAAAGAAAGAAAGAAAGAAAGAAAGAAAGAAAGAAAGAAAGAAAGAAAGAAAGAAAGAGAGAGAAAGAAAGGGCATTGACTTCCGATTCTTCTTAGCACAGTACAAGATAAAAACATTCCATCCTCAACTTTTTGCTTTTACACATTATATTAATGTGTAAAAAAAAATTAATATATAACTAGCCATTTCTATAATGACAAATCTTTCTGATCAACAAAACCAAAGTCAGTTTCATTTTTTTTTCATCACAAGCACAAAATCCAGAAGTGATATGCAAATGAGAATATAGTTTCCTCTTTGAATAAAATAATCGATTTAACCATTTCTGCTTTCTCTTCCTTGCTATGGAAATAGTATGTATTTCTATTTGCATCTTTGTGAACTGTCACCGTTTTTTATTAACAAGGTTCATTGTACTCTTTCAAATTCTTTGACCTTACTGAAAGAAAGGTTCATAGACATTTTAAAAGCTATAATTCTTATCAGTTACTGGATTGTGAATCTCAATCCAACAGGGCAAGCTGGGAGGTATCTTAGGTTTGTTGTTGGGGGGCTGTCCATCTCTAAGAATGCCCAGAGCCAAAGCCCCCATGGTCCACAGCCAGCTGAGTGACTGTGGATCACTTCAAATAAGGGGGAAAATGCTGCAGTAGTTAGGTTGTTGAACAATTAGCTAAGAAGTTCTGAATGCTGGAGGTTTTTAAGAGGAGATGATTATTATTATTATTATTATTATTATTATTATTATTATTATTATTATTATTTTATTGAATTTATATACCGCCCTTCTCCCCGAAGGGACTCAGGGCAGTGAACAGCCGAAAATTAAAATAACATACAATATAAAAGTTAAGATAACTAAAAATTAAATTAATTAAATTAATCGGCCTCCCAATTTAAAACCCCAAGCTATACAATTAAAAAACTAACCCATAAAACCTATTCAGGCCAGGCCGGCTTGTTGAAATAAAAACGTCTTCAGGGCCTTACGGAAAGTGCGGAGATCCGGGATCAGCCGTATTCCGGGAAGTAGCTCGTTCCACAGGGCGGGTGCCCCCACAGAGAAGGCCCTCCCCCTGGGGGCCGCCAGCCGACATTGCTTGACCGACGGCACCCTGAGGAGGCCCTCTCTGTGAGAGCGTATTGGCCGGTGGGAGGTTATCGGTAGCAGAAGGCGGTCTCGTACATACCCTGGCCCTAAGCCATGGAGCGCTTTAAAGGTGAGAACCAACACCTTGAAGCGCACCTGGAAGACCACCGGGAGCCAGTGCAGATTGGACAATCGTCCATCTGAAATGGTATAGGTCTCCTGCTTGACTAGACGACCTTCAAACTCCCTTCCAACTCTTGTTATTCTGTTAAATTCAGTTCCTCAGTTTCACCATCAGGGATGTGACCTGGCCTGCAATAATTGTTCTCTGTCAAAGATACTCAACTAACTTCATGGAGTTGTGATCATCAAAAAGGAAGGAGAGCCCAGAATATAATCCTCTTGGCTTGAGCCCTGACTGGCAAAAATGTGACCGATAAAATATTTTCCTTTCTACTGATCATGGTCTTCAGTAATAGTTGCTCCTTTAATATCTGCTAGAAGCAGACACTTCTTGAGCAAGAAACTCAAAGTTATTCATGTTAATCTAATGGGAGCCTCTGATTGGAAGTACGCCTTAATTAGAAGTTGGGCAGTAATGATGCTGAAATTACTAGGTACCGAGACATACCAAAACCTAATTTAAATTTTACTTGGGCAGACAGTCTTATCTTGTAGACTTAACAACTGCCTACCTGGCCTGAGCCACCAAGAAACCAAGATGCTGGTTTTGATTAGACTTCAAAGAGCTCTATCATATTTAGGACAATTTTATCTAACAGCTGTTTAGCTGTTTGGGTGGGTTTTTTTGGGGGGGGGGGAATGAGTGTCTTCTGAAGGCCTAACCATTTTCACAAAGGATGCTTAAATAGACATTAATTAGTAGTCCCTTGATTTTTAGTTATTTCAATACTTGTGTTTCAAAAATAACTTGTAGCACTTTAAATGAGAAAAAATAGTTTCTTTAGGCATATAAGGCTGCCAAATTGGAAATTGTGGCTTATAATTAAAAAAAAATAAGAGCAGCAATCCAATACAGAATATAGACAAATCGTTTGGAAAAGTTCATAATATGATTTTTGAACCATCATTTATTGCTCAGCAAGATCTAAAGACATCTTGGTCTGTGACTGGTCAAAAGATGGTTTTTCTTGATGAAAAAAAAAATATCTGGAATGAAACATGGAAACTTCTCCAGTATGGGCTTGAAAGTGTTTGATATAGTTCTATATAAAAAAAATTAAAATAACCAGAAGCAATAATTCCAATATAAGAAACTGCAATAAAATAAATCAGGGCACGCTTCTTTTTCATTGTTATTCTGCCTGCTGAACTTCTGGCCAGTAATTGCATTTTTTTCCTCGACTTAAAATATCTTGGAACGGCAAAATTGATCTCAGTCTTCTTTTAACTTTCCAGCAACCCTTGAGGCAGTCTAGGCTGAAAGAATGGAAGGTTGTGGATTCTGCTGTTCATGGAGTGCTAATTTTCTTTGAGGTTTTGAAAGATTAGAAGGAACTGTAAAGTGTGGTTTACTGACTAAACGGTACATTCATGCACCTCCTCCCTTCCATAAATTTATGCCAGATTTCCCTGATTTTATAATCTCCAAATGTGTTTGGAGAATGGATTGCAACTCTGAAGGAGGCCCCCTCTCAGAGGCAGCAAACCAAATAGAATTAATTGTGCATCCTAGCTTCTAAATGGGTTACAGATAGTCCTCGAATTACAACAATTTGTTTGGTGACTGTTCAAAATTACGACGGCACTGGAAAAAGTGACTTGTGACCGTTTTTCACAGTTAACAATCTCTGTAGCATCTCCATGATCATGTGAATCAAAATTCAGATGCTTGGGAATTGGTTCATACTTACGACCTTTGCTGTGTCCCAAGGTCATGTCCCAAGGCCCTTTTGAGACCTCAGTGGGGAACCTGGATTCACTTAACAATCAGGTTGCTAAATTATCAATTAAATTATTATTATTATTATTATTATTATTATTATTATTATTATTATTATTATTATTAAATTATTCTACTTAACAGCTACGGCCAAAAAAAAGGTCATAAAATGGAGCAAAACTCACTTAACAACAGAAATTTTGGGCTCAGTTGTGGTTGTAAGTCAAGAACTGCCTGTACTTGTTTTCTTGAAAACTCGTACAACTATAAGAAAGTACTGAATTTTCCCAAACTAAGATTGATTCCTTTCAAAGTTGTTACCAATCAAAGAGAAAATTCGTAGCTCAGGGTTGAAGTGAGAGATCCTTGGTGCTCTCTGAGCTTGGTTGCTTTCTTGAAGCACTGATGATATTACCTAGTTTGGGTAATGAAACGTTTGCAAGAAAACAAAAACCCCTCATGCACAAGCTGCACTGGCTCCCGGTGGTCTTCCGGGTGCGCTTCAAGGTTTTGGTTACCACCTTTAAAGCGCTCCATGGCTCAGGACCTGGGTACTTGCGGGACCGCCTACTACCACCAATAGCCTCCCACCGGTCGGTATGCTCTCATAGAGAGGGGCTCCTCCGGGTGCCGTCGGCCAAACAATGTCGACTGGTGGCCCCCAGGGGGAGAGCCTTCTCTGTGGGGGCACCTACTATCTGGAACGAGCTCCCCCCGGAGATACGGAGGATCCCGGACTTGCGCACCTTCCGCCACACTCTAAAAACCTTTTTATTTCACCAGGCCGGCCTGGCCTAACTTTCTCCCTCTTTTTAAACAATTTTAATATTTTAATATTTTTTAATATTTTTAATCCTCAAAGTTTAAATTTGTTTTAAATTGATTGGAGTTTTAATCTGTCTGGGCCAAACTATTTAATTCGATTTTATTTCTGCTTTTTAAATTTTGTACGTATGTATTTTATTGTTAGCTGTTCACCGCCCTGAGTCCTTCGGGAGTAGGGCTGTATACAAATCAAATAAAAGTAAAAAGTAA